GTGCAATTGTCCAAAATTAATACAGCCAGGCGATCGCGAATAGATAATAATAATCTAAGGAGTTAATACCTATAGATAGGCTATCCCGCTATTTATTATCTTTTTAGGTAAGTACTACCTCTCTATATAGTATAAGGGTAATAATATACTACTAGACTAGGTTATAGCAGTAAGCAATAATAGCTAGACAATAAATAAGCTTAGTATTACCTAGCTGTAGTATTTTAATAAGTATATAAAGGATCGCACTATAGGTATATATTAGCTGCTAATTATTAATAGCTATAAGAGCCACCGCTTACTTAAATTTAAAGAGATTTATAAGGAGAATAATATTATTACTCTCTGCATGCCAGCGCATTTATTACACCTGCTGTAGCCGCTTAATATTAGCTGCTTTATACTGTTAAAAAAGGTATACAGGCGCTAAATTAAGAACTTAATATACTACTATATTAACTATATTATAAAGCTAGAGTTCTTACTAGTATTTAAAGCAGCCTTCTATAACTTAATTATAAAGAGTAATATTTACGCAGGCTTTTAAGGCGCAGGCCTTATACCGCTTAATCTAGAGGCAGTGCTCTTAAAGCTTAATATTTAGCTTTGTACGCTGTTGCCTCCTGCCGTGGTAGAGGCTTAATAGGAATTAAAAATACTAAGCAACGCTTATAAGCTAGGCTCTTAATCAGCTTTAATTTATAATCGTATTCAAAGGCATCAAAATAGCTCGCCTACAGCAATTCTTGATGCGCTTAGCAGCCTTTCCAAAGGTGCTGCAACGATGATGCATTAAGCCACGCTACTGCGCGATACAGTTGCCAGCCTTCAAAAGGCAAATGAAGCCGCCACAAAGCGCAAGGCGCGCAAAAAGAAGCGGATCCAGAGAGAAGGAATTCTAATAATGGAAGCAGGCTCTCAAATAGCTGCTCAAAGGCTTGATAAGGACGCCCAAAGCAAAAGGCAGCAAGGCGGGGCAGATTCTGGCGGGAGCGCGCGGCGCTGTGGACGCTGCGGCGAGCTAGGGCACAACATTCGTACGTGCAAAAATGATGCAGAGGTTGCTGCAGATTAGGCTACAAGTTGTATATAGTTGATATCTATTGGCGTTGTGGAGCAATTAACGTTTGAGGCCGGTTTTCATGATGAAGTGGACGGCTCGCTTGGGTGGACGGCTCGCTTGTGGAATACGTTATAAGGTATTAGTATACACGAGCCGTCGAAGTCTTTTATAGATAGCTACGCTCTTACTATATATATAAGTTCCTAAAATATATAGAAAGGAAAAAAATTAAAATATATACGCTTTCTTTTTATACTTTACACTTCCTCTAGCCACTAGATATAGGCTATTTTTAGCCGATAAAGTAATACTATAGCTAAGCGCTTAATAACCCGGCTTAGTATAGTAGCTATAAATTTAATAAAATATAGTTTTTAGCGGCCCTGCAGGAGATTAGATATAAGATATTTATACAACGTATAATAGCTTTAGGCTTTAGACGTATAGGTATTGTTCTATTCTATCTAGAGAAGGTTCTTCTATATCTATACTTTTTTAAAGGTGTTGATATTACAGGCGGAGAGGACTAAGCCGGCCGGCCTCCACAACTTAATAAGGCCCTCCTTACCGGGCCTATTAGCAGGGCCTCTACTCACCCCTTAGCCTACCGAGGAAGAATTGAGGTTTATTAATAATCTAGACCCGAGAGTTCACGATTTCAATATAACATTGTGGGCAGCTGCTTAAGGCGTACGCCGTAGACCTATCCCCCGCAACGATGGGGTGCAACGCCAAGGCGCAACACCGTGCCCAGATATTCGCGAGGCATCAACAGAGCATATAAACAGACGAATTAGTTAGCTATTTCCACCCAAATCAATGCAACAGAATGCCCAGAACATCTAATAATATCGATTTTGTACAGAAGAGTGATCCGCACACCAGAATATCGAAAAAACCACCCCCCGAGCCATGGCCATTACCTACATTCACTCCCCTTCAAATAGACGACTATTGGGACCCCGGAGAAGCCCATCTGCCTCACGGTCTCGACAGGCACAACCCCCTACTGCTTTTCAAGCTATTCTTTACCGATAGGATGGTGGATAAGATGGTGGAGTGGACAAACCAGCATGCAGAGGCTCACCCAACACTGGATGAGCGCATGCTAAAGGGGAGGCCTAGGAAGTGGCTGCCTATACACAGAGAGGAGCTGTATGCATATATTGGCGTAGTTATTCACATAGGAATTACTGTAGAATCTGCAGTAGAGGACTATTAGGGCCCCCGGGCCCGTGGAGCGGATCACAAGGTATCCGACTACATTAGTTGCAACAGATTTCAGCAGCTAGATCGCCATTTTCGATGCTCCCCTGTGCCGGAGGATGGTTTCCAGGCTACATTCGACCGTGTTAATAGGCTCTCCGAGCACCTGCGTATACGCTGCCGCACGTACTAGAGCCCCGGGCCTCACCTAGCTATAAATAAGACTATTCAGCGCTTTACAGGCAGGGCCCCTAAGATTATTAATATACCGTCGAAGCCTACGCCCGAAGGCTTTAAAATCTGGGTTCTAGCAGGGCTATATTCTGGATTGGCTATGGCATGCTAAGGGCGATAAGAAGGGCCCGGTTAACCTGGATAAGTCCTTCCTTAACAAGGGCTTTATAAAGACTTAAGCTGTTGTACTCGACCTCCTTACACAGCGGAATCCTGTCACTAAAAAGGCCCTCTACCCCCCCCCCCCCCCCACAAACACGTAGTCTGGCTAGACAATCTCTTTAGCTTAGTAAAGCTATTCGAGCGGCTCCGAGGCCTAGGGATTGGGGCAGCTGGCACGGTGCGAACGACACGAACACGGCGCAAGGAGCTGGGCGACGAGGCCATAGATATTAAGGAGGCTTTTAAGGAGAACACACAAGGACGGACAGCGCGCAAAAAGAAGGTGCCTGCAGAGCCCTTCTCAGCATCGCTAATAGACCTCAAATTGAACTATTCCGGCCAGATTGCATAGGGGACGCTCTACGGGGCCCTTTCTAAGAGTGGCCAGGTAATGCAGTTTATATAGAAGGACGCCACGGTGGTTCTATTTATGTCTACAGTCTATAATAGTAAGTATAGCAGCTTTAATTAAGGTCGCAGAGCCTTAACACTATGCCGCAGAGCCGCTAATATTATACATTACCAGGTTAATCCAGCATTAAGAAGAACTGTAAGCGGCCTACTATAACTGCCTACAGGCTACATACAAACTGTTAAGATGTTCGGTGACGGGCCCAGAGCTCGGCTGCCTATTCCCGACCTAATTAACGAGTACAACTACTAGATAAGCGCCGTTAACTGCGCAGACCACTACCGCAGCAATTACAATATAATCTAAGTCCACAGGAAGACCTGGAAACCATTATTTTATTTCCTGTTGGATACAACTGTCGACAACACCTTCCTCCTCTCCTCCTATAAGCCCGGGCCCGGCGACTAGTGCTCGCGCGAGCAGAGCCACAAGCAGTACCGTTGCGACCTCCGAGATGCCCTCTTCGAGGCCTCCGTTCCACCTAGGCAGCCAAATAGTACGCCAAAGAGAAAGAGCATAAAGCAGATTATATAGAGGCCGGTTAAGGAGCATCAGCACAAGCGCATATAGCGAAAACAGGTCTTCTATTCTGCGTGTCTTAAGGCCAAGCGCTTAACTACAACACCACACCGGGCGGCTTATAAGCCACTTGCAGATCTATCTATAAACTCTACAATAAAGAGACGGGAGGATGATAAAGGCTGGAAGCGTCGGGCAAGGCCTCCAAGAACTACATGGGGTTGTACGGTCTGTAAAATTCCGTTCTGCACGCGAGGACCGTGTTGGAGTGAGCATATGGCAAAGCTTAACTCCAAGGACTAGCTACAATATTGTTATATGCACAGAAATCACGGATTTGAATAACCTCAAGGTGCTGTGCAGGCCCCATCACGGTGCCAAGAATCAGGTTGAACCAGAGCCTCTGATTGGCCGCTCTCTTATCGATAACGTAGGACCAAACTCATCGTTGCGGGGGATAACACCACCTGCTGCGCACGTAGCAGGCAATAAATGGCATACTCCGCTCACCGTACATACACTCAAGAGGCAAGCGGATAACCTTACGCAGCTTGATCTTGAGCCTATTGTTATACAATTATTGAAATCAACACTAAAAGGTGCTATTAGCGAGGCCTATGCAGCTGCGCAGTATAAACAAGAGCTATATTAAACTTAAGCCGCCTAAAATGTATACAATTCCCGTAGGCAATTAAGCAAGAGAGTAGTTAAATCCGAAGGACCTGTATACGCGCATCAGGCACGTAGAATAAAGGTCTAAAGGCTTAATAAGAAGGCCTTTTAAGGCGCTGCATTGGCTATAAGAAAAACCAAGGCGTTTAAGGCCCGATTCAGGAAGCTATATAAAGAGAAGGTGATGTCTAATCTACGCTGTATCACCAAGAAATGGGCCAAAATATATAACCTGTTTGAGCCGGTTAGATGACGTATATTACGGTGTATATACAAGAGCCTAGGGGAGAGGATGAAGGCTGCAGAACGGGTATTGCGACCGAAGGAAATGACCCCGACTTTTAGTGACGCAGATGAAGATGAGGGGGCATCAGATTAGTCCAGCTGCATTTTTGGTGAATGTATCTAGGCTGGGTTGTGAATATATTCAATTTCTAGATGAACCGTGATAAGATTCGGTGTTGAGCTTATAGGCCCGCGGGCATTCGCGAAGCGAGAACTGGTGAGGGGCCGAGTACATCGATGAAGAAATTAGTCTGGAAGTGAGGAGATGAAGATTACAGAGGTTTGGTGACGGCACGTGGCGGGGTCGGAAGCTATTCGGCCCGCAAAAAGCTTGATTCGGAAAAATGGTTTAGATTTCACTCAAGTTTCCAATTCTTACATCACCCGGGCAGGATGAGCTTGATTGTCGCATAAAGTTCATACACAGGCAACTCACTCCGCGACATCATGGGGAAGCGCGGAAACAAGAACGTAGGCTGCGCAAACATGTTGCACTATCGGCCACCAAACGTAGACTGACTGGACCGTAGCATCGAGGCCGTGGTGGACGAGGAGGTGGAGGCGGTGGTGGAGGACGAGGACCAACTACGAGCTACCCCGAGATTCCGAAGGAGAATGAAGCATTTGAAGGGTACTACAACAAGCTTGGCATAATTAGAGAGGACGAGCGCGACCAGTTCTGGACTACCATGAAGAAAGAGCTGCCCAACAGCTTCCGTTTCACTGGATCCAAAGGGTATGTATCAGCAAGATCATGGAGAAATCACATTGGCTAACTCTTCCAGTCATGCGCTCGCTGTACAGCAGCGTTTGAAAGACCTATACATCCCCGAAATCACCGGTGTCAAGTTCAATGGCCAGCTCGTCGACCCGCCTACACAATTACCATGGTATCCGGAACAATTGGCTTGGTCTATGACTGTCCCGAAGCAGGTCATTCGCAAGTTTGCTCCTTTCGCATCGTTCCAGAAGTTCTTGGTCTCGGAGACACAGGTTGGAAATATCAGTCGGCAAGAGGTGGTCAGCATGATTCCACCGCTTTTAATGGACATAAAACCCGGCATGACGGTATTGGACCTGTGCGCTGCGCCTGGAAGCAAGTCTGCTCAGCTTGCTGAGATGGTCCATGGCGGGGAGGAAGCCCGCGTGCGGAAGGTGCTCCATAAGCTTGCGCAAGAACAAGGTCGAGAAATGAGCCCAGACGGTCGAAAGATCGAGGCCGACATGTCGCAGGCGGAGAACGAGGACGACTACCAGGACGACGGCAGATCGACTGGCCTACTCATTGCCAATGACGTGGATAACCGACGCGCGCACATGCTGGTGCATCAAGTCAAGAGACTAAATTCTCCGAACTTGATTGTCACAAATCACGACGCTACTATGTTCCCTTCCATCGAGATCGAGTCCGAGCCAGGCAAGCCTAAGAGATACCTCAAGTTCGACCGGATTCTGGCAGATGTTCCATGCTCCGGAGACGGCACTGCACGCAAGAATCCCGGTATCTGGAAGGACTGGACGGCTGGAAACGGATTGGGTCTTCATGCATTGCAAGGACGGATTCTGGTCCGAGCTCTTCAGATGCTTAAGAAGGGTGGCCGCGTGGTCTACTCGACTTGCAGTCTCAACCCAATGGAGAATGAAGCTGTAGTCGCGAGCGCCATTGAGCGTTGTGGAGGAGCTGCAAATGTCCGCATCGTCGACTGCACAAAGGAGTTACCCGGGCTGATCCGACGCGAGGGCCTAACAGACTGGAAAGTGATGGACAAAACCGGCCGTTTCTGGAACGAATGGAGCGACGTGGAGAAGCAGAAGGAGGAGTTTGGAGAGGATGGGCTCTCTCGACTGGCCGAGAGCATGTTTCCACCTAGTGCTGCTAGTCCTGAAGAGCGAATTCAACTCGAGAGATGCATGAGAGTCTATCCGCATCTTCAGGATACTGGTGGATTCTTCATTTGTGTCCTCGAGAAGCTTTCTGAAATCCGGGCTAAGCCAGAGGCAGAGCCGAAGAACCCTCCCGCTCCCGCCGTGAAACAGAATGGCAGCGCGGCACCGGCAGCTTCATCGCCTGCAAAGAGGTCTCTAGAAGAGGACGACGACGACCAAGCGTCTACGAAGCGCGTGAAGGTAGGACAATCTGAAGACCTTGAGCCTCCTGTCGAAGAGCTGGAACCTGCTACTCCGACTACCAATGTCCCATCTACCGATCTTGTTCCAGATGTCACGATGACTGATGCCCCTCCGGAGACCAGCGCTGCGCCGACCGTCGCTAAAGAAGAGACCAAAAGCCCCAGAATCAAGACAGAAAACGCGTTCAAGAAGCGATCTAACCAGCCACAGGAGGAACCCTTTAAATATCTTGATCCAGAGCACGAGGAACTCTCAAAGATTTACGATTTTTACAGTATCTCTCCCAGGTTCCCACGAGACAGGTGGATGGTGCGCAACGCAACTGGCCAGCCCGTAAAGGCGATCTACTACACATCAGCTCTTGCGCGCGAGATCCTGGTTCGGATGGAAGGAAAGGGCATGAAGTTTGTGCACTGCGGAGTCAAGATGTTCATGAAGCAGGACGCACAGGGGCAGGACACCTGTCGCTGGCGAATACAGTCGGACGGCCTACTGATTATCGAGCCGTGGGTCGGCGAAGAGCGGATCGTCCGCTTATACAAGAAAGAAACGCTGAGAAAGCTTCTCATTGAGATGTTCCCTCAGGTAGCTAAGGAGGGCTGGAAAGAGTTAGGCGAGATCGGTGAGAGAGTGCGAGATATAGCGATGGGATGCTGTGTCCTCAGAGTTGAGACGAGCGATGACGATGACGGCTTCAAGTATAATTCCCTACCCTCCTAGAAATTGTTCTTTGACTAATGGCGATTAGGGAACGGATGGTCCTTCCGCTGTGGCGGAGCGTAGCCTCTCTCAACCTCATGCTTCCGAAGGAGGAGCGAAAGTAAGAAACCCTTTTATCCTACATCCTGCAGAATTCCTGCTAACGAACGACAGGGCCCTCCTCCTCCGTCTCTTCAACGACGACACCCCTCTAATCGACCACTCCAAAAACCGCTTCAACAAACCCAAAACCGAAGACACTCCAACACCCGCAACTAACCCAGCGGAAGCCGCAGAACCTGAAGACCTGAAAGCAGAACCAGGAGCGGCGGAGGAACTGGAGCCCGTGGCAACGAACGGCGACGCAGCCACCATTGATGAGGATCTGGATGACGGGGTCGATGGCGGTGTTGCTTTGCCCTGATTGCAGCACGGAAAGTACTGCTGTTGAGCAATGCGATGTGATAGATGATATGGGAGGCGATTAGCCAGGGCGACTCTGGCATGGCATATACACTATCAATGAAAATTATGACAATTTCTGTTTTATTCCTCCCCTGACGGCTATGAGATAATAGCATCACACGATGTTGACGGGTCCGATGCTAGGGTATTTGTCCGTTCGAAAGAATAGGGGTGTTTATTTCTAGACTTCTTGCATGCCGATTTTGCTAGGTGAGTAGATGGCCCCGAGGTGATTCAGTTGGTTATCGCATTGTCCAAAGGAGCGGGAGAGGTAGGTCCGATTTGTGGTGTGGTGGGTCTTACATCTTGTTCTGGATTTTTGAGATGTGTCTGAGGTGGCTTGATGGTGTAGGTTGGTGCACAGGAAGATGGTAAATTTGATGTGAAATGGGCTGTGAAGAAATCCACATATGGTAAGAACAAGTGCTTTTACGCTGGGCTGATTCGCAAGGCGTGGATCTTTTCATCTTGCTCTCAAGTTTTGGCATTGCGTTGAGGTGGCTCAGTAGGGTACGTTGGTGTGCAGAACGATGAGTCGACTTAATGTGATCTACGCTGCGATGGAAATCAGATGTGGGAGAGTGAGTGAACGTACGCTGGTCTAATTTAGGAGGTGTTGAACTTTACGTCTTGTTCTCGAGTTTTGAGATGTGGTAGAGGTGGCTCGATGGCGTAGGTTGGTGCCCAGAAAGGTGGTGAAGTTGATGTGAAATAGACTGTGATTTGATTTATCTGCCTTGAACCGAGTGAATAGATATTGAGCTGATTTACAACGTGCTGACATGTGTCGGAGGTGGCTCAACGGGGTGTACTGGCGTGCACAATGATGAGTACACTTGATGTGATTTACACTGTAGTGGAAATCAGGTGTTGGAGAATGAGCAAATATGACCTGGTCTAATTGAAGAGGTGTTACATCCTGTTATCGATTTTTAAGATAGGTCTGAGGTGGCTCGATGGTGTGCGTTGGGGTGCAGGAAGATGGCATACTTGATGTGAATTAGACTCTAATAAGATTTACATGTAGCAGCAAGAGTGAATGTTCACTAAGCTGATTTAGAAGGTGAAACCTACTACCATACTGGAGGCCTTCTAACAGTATCAGCACATCAGCAAAACGCTCAAAGCAACGCACCAATATCCATCACATCACCAAAGCACATAACTTAATGAATCTAATTTTGATTGAGTACGGTACGCTGCTGCTGCCAACCAGGAACACAGTATGCAAGCCACCTCAACGTGGCAACAAGCCTATCAAAACTGCATGCCAGCAGTACCTAATACCTGAACGCCATGCAGAAGCAAAAAAAACCAAAAAAAAACATAGACCCAAGAAACAGAACAAGTAACCAAAGCAACCACGCCATGTACACCTTTTTGTACAATTCAAGACCCACCGAGCCCACCTAACCGCCTCATAATGTAACAAACGCCATACCAATTCGTACCCCTCAATCGCTTCATGATGCCCCGAAAACGCCGTCACAAGTCGTGCCATTAGTAACTACCCTCAGTTACGTTTGTTCAAAGTAGGAGCAGGCGATGGGTGGTAAGTCCAGTGCCCGTCCCGAAAAAGCCTCTCTCGGGCCTCTCTGTCCCGCTTCTTCTCCGATTCGGTGATCTCGTCGTTCGTCCAGCGCGCACTGCTGGTACGCTTCCTGAACTTTTCGTGCCTCTCTGGGTGGTCCTTGAAGATCTTCTCCATGTTCAAGGGCTGAATGGGTCCGAATATCGTCTCCGGATCGATGAGCTGTTGAGCTTTGAGAAGCTCCTGGAGCTGGGGGGTGTTGGCCCAGTCCGGTCTCACGAAACCGTTCTCATCGTCATCGTCTTCGGAGTCGGTGAAACAGTCCGGAAGCTCGATTTCGTTGCCAGGATTGAAAGAGCTTGGGGAAGACTTGGTCGTGCTTGGTGCCGCTGAGAGCATTCCACGAACAGGCGTCTTGTAGTTCTGTCCGTAGTGGTTGGTGCTCGCAGGTGGGTTCGGAACCTCAGCGAAGGGAATCTTGCCGTTCGCAAATCTCGCCATCTCGCCCGTCTGGCTGGACTTCATCTGCTGCTGGGTATAGGCATGACCAGTAGCAGTCTTCAACATCGTGGATGTTTGTTGGGGCGCCTGCATGTAACCGCTGGGAAATCTGTTCGCGGCGTCCTTGCGCATGTTCGAGTGTCGAATCGGAGGAGCCTTCACCGAAGGCATGTGCTGCTCATACTCGTCTTCTTCGTCAACCGTCTTGCGGCGTTTGCCATCCTGCTGCTGGAATGATGGTCCGGCACGCTGGATCCCTGGTCGTTGAACAGGCTCATCGTCCTCGGGCTGGAAAACCCGCTTCGGTGGTTTTGCTGGGTTGATCGGAGGGACCGGACGGGTCTGGTCTTGAATAGTCTGCATTCGGGAGACAGACTTCGCAGCACCGAGATCTGCTCGAGGATGAGGCTGATTTTGTGCTTTTTCCTGCTGCAAAGCATTGGTCTAGATCGTTAGCAGCTGAGCGTATGCAGAGTGGTGATTAGTACTTACCAAGTTGTTTTGGCCAGGCCTGCTCGCAGGACGAGCCGCCTGCTGGCGCTCTGCCTGCTGGCGTTCTGCCTGTTGTCGCTCCTGCCTCTCCATCCTTTCCTGGTGTTTTTGCTTTGCTTCCGCAATGGCCTTCAACGTTGCCTTCGTCCGCTCTTGATCTGCAAGCCTCGCAGCCTTCTGTTCCGTGAGCTCCCTCTCAGCTCGCTCCTTCTCTTCGGTTGCGGCTTTCTGGGCTGCCCTCGCTTTCTTGAACATTAACTCGCGTTGTTCAGCTGCTTTTCGCTCTTTCTCAAGCTTCTCGTCCTCGGCCTTCTGAGCTCGTTTCTGCTCCAACTCTCGTTTCTTTTGCTCCTTCTCTGCGGCCTTCCGTTCTTCCTCCTTCTTTTTGTTGGCTGCAGCGATCAAGGCGCGGTTCATCCGGGGAGGTGGATGACTGGATGATGCAGTGCGGTTGAGGGTCTCTGCACTTGCCTTGTTCGCAATCTCCGGCTGCTTTGGCTGAGCTTGCGTAGCCTGGGCTGCAGGCTGTCCGAATCGACTTCCAGTCAAATTGACTCGGATGACTGGTGGCTTAGCCTTCGGAAGCGTGTCTTTACTCGCTGCCTTGAGCAGACGTTTTGGCTCCCTGAGTTTCTGGCCTCCAGTAGGTAGAGTGTTCTTTTGGGCTGCTGGGGGAGGCATCCTGTGGGAGGAAGTGGGCCTCTCGTCTTGAGCAGCGGTCCCTTCGGCTTTGCCCGCAGTGTCAGGTCTGGACAATGCTTTCTGAGGCTCCCTCGCGATTGCCTTAGCTTTCTGGAACTGAGTCGCGGCTTTTTGGCGTTCCTTCTCTCGGATTTTCTCGAGGTTTTCGTCAGCTCGCTGCTTGTCCATCGCTTCTCGCGTCTCTTGTTCTTTTCGCTTCTCCTCACGCTCGGTCGAGCTTCTGGTCCTCCGGCCTTCGTCTTTGCTATCTCTAGAAACGGGTCGCTCATCTGGCTGAGCAGGCTGTGATCGTTTCTTGGGGCTAAAAATGCTCTCAAATGAGGCCTTAGGAGCAAGCTGACGTTGGGGGCTTTGAGATAATGCGTCCAGCTTCGCCTGTGCGCTGGCTGCACTCGATCCGATGAACTTCTCCTTTGCCGCTCTGATCGCCGCGTAGAGCTTCGATTTAGAAGCACTGACAGGTCCATCTGGAAATTTCTTTCCCGTTGGAGAACCGGGAGGAGTATTTGCCTCGAGGACTGTTGAGAGATCGACAGGGTTTGAGACCGTAATAGCTTTTTCAAGTCCCAGTGCATCTCCAGCACTAGGCTTGTTGGGAGAGGAGATCGAGGATGCAGAGGCTGATTTGTTGTGGCCAAACATACCGAAAACCTTGTGCGGGGATTTGGCAGGGGACTTGATGTCGTAATAGGTGAGCCCACTCTTTGTCTTGACTTCTCCGTATCTCTGTTCAACTACGTCAGCAGAATGACTTTTGACAAGTTGCGGCCTAGGTTCTTGATCAAGTTCACTAACAGGTAGAATAGGCGCAAGCTTTTCTTTGAAAAGTTGCGACTTAGACTCCCTGACAGGTTCCTTGACAGGAAGGATAGGCGCAATCCAGTCCTCGTCGTCATCTTCGGTGGCATTGCCCATGTCAATGTCGCGGGCGGCGGTGGTGTTTTCCGGAGCTTGTGAGACAATCGCCTTCGGCTTCTCGGTTTCCTCAGAAGGAAGTTGCGGATAGGTAGGCTGCGAAGATGGGTTGCTCTGAGAAGCAGACTTTGAAGAGTCTCGTTCCTTCGACTGGCCAAGCATGTTGATACGATCATGCAGGCGTTGAGTAGATGTCTTGTTGTGAATCTTGGTGGTTTCGGATTGGAAGCGTGGGAGCTCTGGTCTCTGAATGACGTCGACGTCCATGAGATCCTCGTCGTGGTCGTCATGTTTGTTGTCATGGTCTTCGACAGGCGGAGCGTATTGTGATCCTCCGAGGCTTTTGCCTCCGGTGAACCGCCCCATCTGGCTGCCTCGAGACTTTGCCTGTTCCACGTGGCTTGTTCGGGAGGTGCGATTGCCCATGCTCTTCTTAGTCACGAGTGGTTCGCGTGCTGGAAGCGACGCAAAGGTCAAGCTGCTCTTGCGAACAAGAGGCTTCACTGGGCTGGAGCCGTCTGATGGCGATCGTACTTCGTCCAGGTCCATTTGGCTCTGGTTGTCCTCCGTGCCATTGAGCACCGACGACCATTTGGAGTTGGAGGCGGTTTCAGCAGACGCGCTGTATTGCGGGGAGGCAGCTCTGTTATTCGCCCCGGGTTCGTCGATCATCATCGATTCGTCCGGCATTACATTAATATCGGTGTCGATAACTTTCCAGCTTCCATCGTGGCTGGAGTCTTCCTTGGGAGCGTTCTTGTTTTCGAATGCCTCATGAGCTGAGACGAAAGACTCATCTGTTGTGCGTCGTTCGCCATCTGAGAAAACATGCATTTCATCTTGAGTGGGTTGTGTGGACTGAGTTGCTTGTTGTGTGAAAATTTGAGTCGAGTCCTGAGTCTCTGCCGCCGTTTCTTGGGTGGACTGAGCTGCGGGCTGACTCCAATCGAACGATTTCGCGGCCAAAGGCGCGTGATCAACTGCCATTTCATCTTCGCTGACACCGTGGTATCCTGAGTCGGCGTTCTTCACGAGACGGATGGAGTTTCGCTTTGCGGATAAGTGAGGTTGCGGCGCGGGGGAGGGGTCATTGTTTTCCTGGTCTTCAGCGACCTTGAACTGAGCGACGTTCTTGTAGAACTGCGTCTTCTTCGCGGGGCTGAGCGCAGCCTGGGCATTTGGAGCGAATATGTCGCTGAGAGGCTGCGAGCTGTTAGCTGATGCGTCCAGAGCGTAAATTGGGTGGCTGGTAGCTACCTGGCGGGCCTCGAGGGGATTCTTCTTTCGAGCTGTTCGCGGTGTCTTTCCACGTAGCTTTCCGGGGGTTTTGAATATGTCGGCAACGTTACTACTATCGCGCGTCAGTATTTGATGAATTCTGGACTCGAGGACGCGTCTTACACTCCATCCTGACGGAAGATGTCGGCCATGTGTTCGTTGAGCCATTCCAGCTCATTGCGCACAGAGTATCCAAATTCTTCGACTTCTAGGTCTACCAGCTGGTTCGCCTGATGGCGCTCGCTGAGTAGCCACTGCGCAGAGCCCACAGAGGGGACCTTCGATCGGATGCCGGCCATGGTGACGGGTTTTGGGGCTTGTGTTTTGGCGGGCCTTGAACGCGTCGATGGTGACGCTGATCCAAAAGAGCAAATCGGGGTCCAATGCGGGGGCCTATTTGCGGTGCATCTCGGGAGTGCGGGTGGTGGCTGCCAGTTCGAGAAGATGGGTGTGGGCGGTGCTGAGGGACTGTTGTGAAGGCGAGGCGGGTTTGTTTGTGATGGGCTCCCGCGCCAAGCAAGAGGCCCCTGCGCCGGCCTAACCACTTCCATTCACACACTAACTATCTTTATGTATCTCTTCAAGTCTGGCTCACTTTAAGAGTGTAAAGGTAAGTAGATTGCAGTGAAGTCGCCGTGATGTTGGGAGCTTTTATCTGGTGGACAGATCGTTGCGGGCCACCACAAGCCAGCCTTCTCTAAGCACCCCAAGTAGTGCCCTGGAGAAGTTAAACAGCTCTCCAATGCTAATTCACCCTCTCATGATGTTTTCATCTCTTTAGAGTCTCGGGTTACACGTGGAAGAGCCCTCAGTGTTTGTAGTGCTGTCTTTCTGAAGTTGATTTTCTAGCTAAAGACTAAAGCACTACACAAGCCTATATCATACCCGCGAAAGCGCAGCCTCAAGCACCTATAAACGCTCACGATATTGCGATCTTGACGATACCTTGCACGATGACCCTACACTTGACCGTCAAAAACAATCTGGACGGTCCTTTCAGTCCGAAAAAGTCACGCAAATGCCTCCACCCAATGTCCTCATTCTACTCCAATAGCTCCACTTTCTCCTCTCTTACCAACATCTCATATCTCCATTCCATCTCTCAAACCTTCCTCTTCGCCACCGGCTTAACGCGCACCAACCCCCATCCACGCTTGAAACCCCACTTCACGGCAGCTCCTTCAGAACGAGCGGCTGCATCGTCTTGAGCTACACCGTCTCATACAGTCCGCAACCATCAGCAAAGCACCTCAAACCCACGTCTTCAAACAGCACTCACCCCGGCGACCCACCATCAGCCAAGCTGCGCGGCTCGTAACTCCCCAAATGCCGCTGATCCGTGCAACACGGGCTCGCAGACCCCCAGAAAGGCCCAGCCGCGCACGCCGTCCACCCGATATACTCCCCCAGGATATAGTGATTGGGATCATCAGACGGGCCTATCGCTAGATAGAAGTAGATGAAAGGCAAATCAATTGCAAGCCTTTGGTGGGAAGCATCCGTATGCTGCTAAATGATCTTGCCGTGTGCCTGCATGAATCATTGCGCAGCTCAAAGGCGGGTCGAAGAGATTGTACAGTACTAGGTCACAAGTCTGGGCACAGGGAGTTATCACATTTTGCACACTCGACACCACTATGAGAAGCGGCCCAGCTAGTAAGCAGCCAGTTAGTCAAGAGGCAGTCTAATTTGCACTGCTTGAAACTTGACATTGCTCCTAGGTTTATGAAATCCCATGGGGTACGCCAAAACAGTGGTAAATGCGTGTGCACAAACTTATGACCTGACACTGTATTAGTAGAGCTCTTGTCATAGAGAAGCGTCATTCAAACTAGAGCAATTCCACATTCGATAAATCATGATAGACATTAAATTCTTGAAATAGTTTGAGCAAGATAGCGAATTCAAATCCAGCTATGCTTCCGATACGGACAGCGTGAAAGCCGAGGATTCAAATTCACCCTGAGCGAGGCTTCTTGGGTTTCCCGTTCTTCCTGAACTCCCTCTTCGCCTTCTTCGCCGTAGGCGGGCTAATGCTGATGGGTGTCGGTGTTGGGTCGGGACCGTTGAGCACAGTATTGTAAGTCGAATTTCCAGGTAGTACCTCCAACTGTATTGTGCCATTACCTTCCCTGTAACTGCTCGTAGGCGTGCCAACAGTCTTGTACTTGGGCGTGACCTTGAGCTCGCCGGTAGCAATGTCCTTCTGAGCCAGTGCTCGCTCGAAGATTGTGAGTGCGGAGAGTGGTTGGTAGAAGGGCACTTCGTGTCCGGACTCGAAAATCCTGACGAAGCTGAAGAGGCCGCTCTGCCTGACCTGGCCGTGAACGATTCCATCAGAGGTCGTGAGGTTGACGAATCCGGCGCTGGAGTAGCCAGGTGCGCAAATCTCCTCGGCGACGACTTGACCGCCTAGCCAATTGCAATTGAAATCCCTACAGAGGTCAGCTTAGGAAGAGAAAAATAATTAGGACGACTCACGCATCTCCGAAGTACATCATTACTTGCACGCCTTGCTTAAGTAGCTTTTGCACTGCCTGAATGGTGCCAGACTCCCTATCATCGTCGCCAGTGGTTCCAAATGCAGTCGAAACAGTGACAGAACTGTCCGAGAAGTTCTGGTAAGCCCCAATAGCCTTCTGGACCTCCGGCGTGTTAAGATAGGCGACGTAGTAGTTGTACGGGAACGGATCCATGTTCAACTCCCGCATATCGTACTCATCCCGGTCGGCGTAAAGGTCATACAGGTACTCAACTGCAAGGTAGCAGAAGTTGTCAGCAGCGCTGCAGACGTCATTTTCGCCGGTGGCGTAGCAATGCTTGGTCTGATCAACGCAGTTGCCGGGACCGTACAGGTTGTTGTACCACTCTGCCTTGACGCTGGCGTTGTATGGATCGTAGTCATAAGTGTTTCCGGGGAAGACGGTGTAGTTGTAGTACGCTTGGTATTGGATCAAGGGATCGTACCACCCGTTTCCGATCAGCACATTCTCTAAATGGATCTTGTGAGCACCGGGAATATCCTTCGCGTTCTGTTGCTCAATGTATTCTGCGGAGCGTCAGCGTGAACTCAAACTCCATGTGGCTTCAAATGCCAAGCCATCCAACTTGCTCACTCACCATTGAAGACGGGGCCGTAATGACCGCCATAGCTCTCAGTCGTGAAAGAAAATCCATGGCGAGAGTACTGGGGGAACGCGCCCATGAATCCTTGCAATGTCTTCCACATGCTCGGAGCTGCACCTTGGGTGGTGTTTGCTGTCAAGGTTGGATCGGGTTTAGAATAAGTGCCGCAAGTCCCATAACCCTGAGCGTATTCGGGGCAAGTAGTATCAGGTAGCTGGATGATCTGATTATTGTTGTCTATGTATCCAGGAATCGGGATAGAATAAGAGAAGCCAACTTGGGTAGGGTGGTCGATGAAGAGCATGTTACTCGCGTTAGACCACGAATATGGGTTGTTGTAAGGAGCTCCGTCGGCGTCAATCCCACAAGGACCAAGTTCTTGGAAGAGGCCAATCATAGAAGAAGATCCAGGGCCTCCATTGATCCATACTGTGAGCGGTGCTGTAGTTGGGTCCTCGTTGCGTGCTTCGAAAAACCACCTTCATTTGGTCAGTTTACGCCAACAAGATATCTCGACGCATTGTAGATCGTAGAGCGACCAGAGTTTCCGCAAAAGCCTCAAGCTCGTACTAGAGATGTCTATGCAAGATAAAGTTGCTTACCAGAAAACGTGCTCGTTCTCAGCAATGTCGGCGTAACCGGAGTAGCTCTTCACATTGGGATCCAGTTCGCATATGCCAGCCGGCACCTCTTTATATCGTACATCGATACCAGCGTAGCCTTTCTTAGTGATCAGATCCGTGGGTGCTGGGACGAATTGCCCGAAGACAGTCGACGCCAGACCGAAGCACAGCAGGCTTGGGGAAAGTAATGAGAGCATCTTGTTGGCTGGACAGATCCGCAAGTGCCAAAGCAATTCTGGGAACGAATAAATGTCCTAAAGGAAGATTGGAACCAATTGAAGTCACTGTAAACTCAGAGGTAGCTTCAGAAGTTCAATTGAATGAATCTGAAAGCTGATGACGAAAAATCTCACGGCGGGGAAGGGAAGCTTTCATAGCTTTTGAACCGGGGTAGCTTCGTAGCTCGGCTTGATAAGTGCTCCCATCCTTACCTTCCCTGTCTGGTAACGCCCGCCATCGTGGTACGAGCCAGTCTCTGCATCACCTGTGTGCTTGCCACGCAGAACCTTGGAAGAATCGGTGATCGCCGGCTCGTCAGCAGTTGCCTGCAAGATAAAGTCCTTTTGGGTTGTTGTCCTAGGCCATTTGAAGCTTGTTTAATAGGTACGTAGGCGGATACCTACGATCCGGCGCGGCTAGTCCCTAAAGTCCCACACTGTGGACACGAACACCATGTGCAACAAGCATCGCGGTACCGCATGTATAGATGAAGAGAACAGCGGTAAACATAAACTGACACGCGAGATCTGTGGAACAGAAGAAATAACAATGGATAGAAAGCATCGGCGAAGTTCCCGAGGCTGCGATCATAGCACCGCTTCGTCTGAATCCCAGGCACCGGTGCCCCACGGAAGCCCGGGAAACAAGCGTGGACAACCCTCCCACCTCCCTGGGAAAATATTGGTGGCCGGGGGCATGGCCCATGGTTCTAATGTGATGGTAATTTCAGGAACAGCGTCTCGAAGCACCAAAGAACGAAATAAACTCTTGACGTGTGGTGCTGAACACCAGAATAAGTAGACCCCGCGCAAGTTCCCCTCTCTTCATTGAGCTCTGCGAACAAATTGACAGTTTCTTGAGGTCTCACGCTCTTCGCAAGCTGCTCATGCCAGCATGCCGTCATCATGTGCATGCGGGCTCTGATAGTAAGGTACTTATCCAGAACTGCTAACGAACTAATGTCCATCGGGCAGGTGCATCGCTCCAGGTACCGGACAAGGTCTTTCTTCCGAAACCCGGCTGGCTGCAATCAAGATGCTGGCACTGTGATCGATATCATCCAGAAAGGCAGAATAAGATAGCACATCGGTGGGGGAGAGAAGAGAGTGTCGAAGCTTGGTGATGCAGAGAAGCTTTTAGGAAGCACGCTAAGGGCCGGATTCCAGCCACAACTCCCTAGGAAAGTGACGACACTCATTAGTATACCCACTGCGAATGCCCACTGCGAAAGGCATCCTGGAAGAGATGTGATCACCATCATGGCCGCCAAGGGCTTGTCTCGTTGCTTGTTGCTGCGGATGCCTCTCAAGCCTCTCCAGCCTGTTTGATCGCAGTCATCACAATCACCACCATCATGTCTCTTGAGCTCCTCGAGGCGGTGCCAGCCGACAGCGAGGCCATTGCCTGCCTCTTTGCTCTCTCATGGACGTCTCCATTCACTCGCCTCCAATTCGGTAACGTTGACACTGATGAGCTGGCGCGCAGCATGGCACCGCGCATTGCAGACCACATGAAGAAATCGGCGATGAAATTCATCGTAATGAAGGACCAAGAGAGCGGAGAGATCGCTAGTGTCGCGCAATGGTCCGTTCCCGTAGATGATCATCCGAACGAGCCCGAGAAAGAGACGCCTGAGGACGAGGCAGAGCGCCAAGAACTAGAGGACGAAGCCTATAGGAAGAAACTGCCCGAGAACTCCAACAAGGACTTAATTATGAGGTTTACGCTCGGGACCAGGAAGTTGAGAGAGGATGCTTTGGGCGAGCGAAAGCGTTACTGTAAGGTTGAGAGATTCTTAGCTCGACCGCATTGATACTGATAGAATCTGGCAGTGCTTGAGAACCTCGCAACCCATCCCTCCTATCGCGGCCAAGGTCTTGCTTCGAAACTCATAGAGTGGTCATTCATAGGAGCAGACGAGAAAGGCATTGTTGTATATTTGGATACTGCACTGGATAACAAGGCGCTTCAGTTATACAAGAAGCTAGGGTTCAAGGAAGTTGGCAGCACCACAATTGAGGATTTGAGCATATATGGCGGGGAAGGATCTGAGACGCATGTTGCTTTGATCAGGTACCCCAAGTAGAGAGACAATCCTGATGGCTCAAGATCAGTATAAAACTCGGATACTAATATAAAATCCGACTGGTGAGACAAGCATTCTCTTGCCAGCCTAGATCTTTCTTCTTTCACTCATTCATTCGCGTTCTTCAATACAACTCCTCCATTTCCTCAAACCCCGCGTATTTCGAGGCACTCTTATCACTCGTCACGTTTGCAAGAGAGAGCTGTTCAAATCAATAGGTAATGGTACTGCTACCTAGGGTCAGGCCAATTGAATGGCCTCCCAAAGAATATCAGCTCCATAACGCCTTATCCATTGAGTATGTTCCAATTGAGATCCGAACCAGGCCAGGTTCGCCAGTATTGAGAGCCACCATCAGCTAGGGGAATTTCGAGGAGAGAGGGTAGGGGCTTCCATGCCGAGCTTAATTGAACCTACCAGACCCGTGTTAGATGAATGGGGAGACCACAAGTTGAGTGTGGACGGGCATACCTCCTCTCCTCGTCAGCCTCCCAGGAAGCGATGCTGTCCACTAGCAATTGGTGTAGCCGCATGATTTGCACTGGGTAAGGTCAGCGTCTCACCCTCCAGGTCCGCACAAGAGTATCACTCACGATTGGGTCGGCGCGACAGACCATGAAGACGCACGCCGCAGTCCAGTACTTGTTGTTCGGTTGTTGCTACATGCATGTCAGTCTCATTGTTGCGTGCCACTAGCTTACAGCACAGCTAATGTCAGGTCGAGCGAGGTAGACTCACAGCGCAGCACTCGATGTAAGCGTTGAAGCAATCGCCGCAGGTGGCATCGACCTGAGGATCACTCAGCGTGGTGACTGCGCTGAGGTCCATGCCGTCCATGCCGTTGAGGACTGCGCTGAGCTCGACGCCGGCTGAGTTGACTGCTGGCTGGGTAGGAACCGCAGAGGCCACGACGCCGAGGGCGCCGACGACCGCGAGGAGGACGTTGAACTTCATGGTAGATTGTTAGTATCTGAGTGAGTAGGTGGAGCTTTGTTTAGGTTATTGAATAAGGATAAGGATGTAAGTTGATGAATGAGAATAAGGATGAATGAGAAAAAGGATGGAGGTGAGTGATGATGTAGACAGAAGGTGGTGGAATAAAGGAGGAAGGAGAGTCAGGCGCTCTTTTATATCCGATTTTCAGTGCGCACTGCAACTGCAACACGTCCACCGCCTGTTTCCGAAGTGAGAGCGTGACCTCTCAAGCATTAGGAGAAACTGATAAAGAATCTCAGAAGGGATTTGTGGGTAGCGATAACGCTCTGCTATAAGCCAAATCTGGGGCACACCGCAACACATCTACCGCCTATATCAGACGCGACTTCTCTCTGGCATTGTAACCATAGGCAAGTGTTACTCTGACTACATTAGATCACGTTGCAAGCTTGAGCTTACTGAGATAGATATTCATCCATCACGACGTTATGGTCAGGTTGGTCAGATCATTGAATGTCTATTCCCATTCATGTAAGTAGCATAAGCTCAATGGCTATACCTGGATATCTACCCTCCCGTGCCCTGTATGAAGAAAAGAAAGCCTTACCGCCGACGTCAACCGCAGCACGTGGCTACTCTGGTCGACGGAAACAGCACCGTTGGGGCCCGGCAAGTTGCACAAAGATGCCGAGCAAGAAAGAGATCGAGAGGCTGAAGAGAGTCAAGAGGATCAACGTTCTCGAATCCACACACCCTGTTCCGAATGAGAATAAAGCTGAAAATTCCCTCGAAATCGTGGTGCAACCTGAGAAGGGCACTACATACCATGACGGCTTGAAAGACCTCACTGAAAACGACAAAGCGCTGGACGACGAACAGAAAAGGATACTAAAAGGCAAGTTTCTTTCCAAAAGCTAGTATTTCACAGTTAACCCGGGACAGATTCTTGCGCGATGGTTCCCCCACAGCTATTCAGAGCTTACTCCCTAAGTGGTATGCGATCCACGAAGGGGTACGGCGCGAAGACAATTTTTCAACCCCCAACAGATCGACACCAACACCAAGATTGTCGCGACTCTATCTATGACATGAACGAAGGAGAAATTACCGTAATGTTAGGGCACCATCTAGCATGGCACGACCGCAACGATGACGACTTCGCCTCCTTCACTATCTCGTTCTTGTTTGCGGTTGAGCACGCCCTTGGAAGATCGAGAAACAAGCAATTCGATTGTCATATCGCTGTGGTCGACACAGCTAAGGCCATGACTATCCCCACAACTACATCCACTGGTGGACAGCCTATCCACATACACCCGGCACTGACTGTTTATGAACAGGCCAAAGTCGGAGCTTACCTCTTTTGGGGTCGTCGGGATCTTGGCCGCCTGCACTCTCGGAAGTTCACCCACGAGTTTGTGTCTGTGGGTGTTGTGAAGTATACAAAGATCCTTCTTCATATCTCCCTCGATGATCTTATTGCAAAAGGTCTTTTCAAGATCTATCCCGAGTTTGACATCCCCGAAGGATTCAGGACAACAGGCCTATATACGCGACTCATTGCTCTTCGACAGGCATTATATTCTTCTTCTTCCAGACCGAAGTCGGAATTCGTCCCTGGGGACGTTGAATGGGCTCAAGCAACGTCCAATTCCCTTGACGGTGGCCCAGAAGACATTGAACGGGCGGACACCCCTCTGACTGCCGACATTCCACTAAATTTACACAATCGGTCCCGAGGCAAAATTTGGATTTCGCAGTGAATGTCGCGAAATCTATCGTGATCCTTCAGCCAGGAGAGCGTCTTGTTAATGCGAAAGCGCCCTTAAACGTGGTGCTGGCCATTCTATCTCTGAGATCGCGGAAACGGGGAGGCCCTCGACTACTCAGTTATATCGAGAACAGTTACGATCATACGTAAAGTCATGGCGGATCGATGCATTGTTCTTCGTACTAACTGTCTCACCAGGACACGATCTGGAGAGTCTGCTTTTCGCTAACATCTCTTACGTCACGGACAACCTTCCTGAGCGTATCCAGTATCTCGATCTAATCAGAGACGCATGTGATGCGCTTTCAGTCGGGATGATACCGGACAATGTTGTCTCACATGGTATTAGCATCGACGATCGCGGAAATTTTCTCGAAGAGGATGAAAGGCTCAAGCGTAGAAAGGAGCACAAGCTTTACAAAAAGATTGTGGACAAAACCAAGAAACGAACGAAGAAGCAGACTCCCAGCGAGCAGCAGCAGCTGAAACGTCAAAACCTCGACTCAGCTACACCGGATCGAGCTGCTCGTTCCGCAGAGCTAGAGATAGAGCACGTAGTTCAGCCCCGACCAACAATCGAAGTTGCCAAAGCCTCTACTTCAAATGGCGAAGATGTGGAGACGAACCACAACGCTTGCGAAGGTAACAATGAAAACACTTGAACCAACACCCAAAAAAGTCAATCTATCTTCGAGGAATGTGTAACCTCCGGCGAGCATAGGCGATCTTGAGAGCATTATGCCACTTCACCAAAATGGTTTGTGATTTGCCTTATCTTCATATTTGCTTCATTCTCACTACATAATGCTTTCTAGACACATAGACTCGGGTTGTAACAGCTACAACCTAGGATCAACAACTCATACGGTTCACGGTCACCTACGTACAGACTTGGAGTTGCTGGCATAGTAGCTGCCTACATGCCTAGCCAGTTACAACTTCTACAGAGAGGGGTTGGGGTACGGTGGCCTACCCTGCCTAATGCTGCCTACTGCTGCCTCCAATTAGTGCTTCTGCCTATGCATACAGTCACTTCCTACGTAGTATATAGTTTGGCCTTCGGGCCCCCGAAATAAGACAGAGTTCACATCAATTTTCAACCTGAGTCATAGGATAGGGAGACACTAGAGTGGTATGGTGCTACTACACATTGGTTTCCCAAAAGTTCTGCACTTTTACTCCCCCTTCAGCTCCTCTACATCTTTCAGCTTCTACCATTTTCCATTTCATATTGTCTAGACTCAATGCAAATAGGCGTACAACCGTTTACGGATTGCCATTGGAAACTCGGTTGTGCGCAGACACTGCACCGCTTCGGCATTTCATCGTGGCGCAACCATATATACAAGCCGTACTTACGCCTGTGGCCCGGCTGAGCCTCTCGAACTACCGATACAACGGAAGGTCACACCCTTACCTGGCTCTGTAATTCTCCGAGATTTTGTCTGCCCGGTTGGGACGTACAGGTGCTATGCTATCATCGAAAGCAGAGTTACGACAGAGCTCAGCCTGGTTGGTGAACCTTGTGGTTGGGTTGTGTAACGTGCATCAGTATTCGAGAACCGTTACAGCAACTTTTCATGTACACCCTCAAGAGGCATCAATTCAAGCCGCTGAAAGTGTTGTGGGATGATGAATACGAAGGGGTAACTTAAGAGTCTTCTCCTTATCCTCAATTTTCTAATCTCACTCCTCCGCGCAATCCTTCTTCATACTCGTAGCAGTCATACTCTCCTCATAGTACAATATTCCACTAAGTTATCGGATCTTCTATACAACATGTTACGGCAACCTCATTCTTCGCCCAGTTACTCCACGCTCACTCCCGAGAGCGACACCGACCCGAAACCCCCCACTCCACCCAGCCCATTGACCACCTCAGAAACATCCTGCTCATCACCAAGCTCAAGATTTGGCAATCAACTTTTATCCTGGACCTCCGCCCTGCTAACGATTGTCTTTCTTATCCTCACAGCCGTCTACGCCTCCCGGGTCACCGCAGCATCCCATCTCCGTTTCCTATACTCCTCTAGTTCGAACACCATCTTTGTTCTCAGCATACTGTCCGGGCTCACGGGCTCCTTTCTCACAGCTACTATTGCATCTGCATTCGAGCGTGTGCAATGGCTCCTGATCTCGAGGAAGAATGGTTTACTGCTGAGCAAATACTTGAGTCTGCAGGCTGGAACGGGCGTATTGGGCTTGCTGATGCTGACAGTTGGAGGTGGGCATGCTTGGAGGAGTAAGGTGAGGTTGTGGTCTGCGGTTAGGCTAGGTGGCATGGCGTTGGTTCCCATAGTGGGGATTTTGATCATGAGTGAGTCTGATTGCTTTAAATTTTCGTTGATTGAGAGGTTCTCAAAGTCATAGCTTGTCTGGAATTTAAAGCTCTTTGGTATCTCGCTTTTGCGAATCAACGGAAGCCTCATTTCAGAGCTGACGTCTATTAGGCAATGTGAACACCCGAATGGTCTTCGATGTCCTTGAAGAAGCCCGCGCCTCTCGTGGTTGGGGCATGAGCCTCTATAACACTTCTCTGGCCAAGAATGTCTCCGCCGTCGCCGACCAACTCGTTCAAGCAGATTTAGCCATGTTTCTCTCCGAAAGAAGCCGTTCAGTTGACATTACACCCATGAAATTACGCTCGATTCCCTGCTCCCACTTCCCTGGAACGCCCAACACGCAAAACTGCAGACGGGCCTACTTCGTTCCTGGGGGTGTGGAATTAGCCGCTGCGCCAACGGATAACGAGTCGAACCACAACAAGACCGATGTGATTCTTGCAAGGAGTCAGCGGGGCTACATCTTCGACTTCATAGAGGGGCCTGCGATGAACGAAGAATGGCATTTCGAAGCAGACACCGACTGTGAGGTGTACGGCTTCCCATTCGGGGCGTTCCACCTATGCCTCAAGAATCCGGCCAACAACACCCTGAATGCCAGTAAGTTCAAAAACAATAAAAACTCGATTTTCTCAAGCCTGAAGCTCATCTTATAGGAATCGTCCACTGTCCCAACGACATATCCACCCTCTCCGACTGCCACACAAACAAAACTTGGCACTCCCGCCCCGGCTGGACAACCTCCCTCACCACCACCTTCCGCGACGCCGACGTCGCGTACAGCAAAATCAACGGCACCATCCTCTCGCACACCTTCACCTCCCCCGCCCTCGTTGCGCCCGTCTCCGCGAGCGAGATGCTCGCCGGCTACCGCTCCGCCTTCTCCTCGTTCCCCGACCTCGCCGCGCTGCTCAATCTCTTCGCCGACTCAAAGGCCACGAATCTCTTCTCGCTGTACGTCTACCCCGCCATGATCTGGGCGAACTTGAAGAGCGTAGAAGCGCTCGGCCCGCAGAACCCAGCCGTCGTTACGCGCGCGCAGGATACGCTGCAGTGTTTGCTGGCGATCATGCTGTTTTACTGCCAGCCATCGCTCTTCGCTCGCGCTCTGGCTCAGTATGCCGAGAACGCAACGCTGGGTGATGCGTTCCCGACGCTGAAGGTGTTCGCGGAGGAGCTGATTCACGAGAGTCCTGCGGATACGGAGGTCGTTGAGGCGGTAACGAGGTATCAGTTGCAGGTAGGGCGGGCCACACTCGTGGCGTATGTGGTGATTTGTGGAACGGCGCTGGGGGCGTGCTTGGTTGCGCTGGGATGGGCAGCGTGGGTGGAGGGGACGGGCAAGGTGAGGGTGCCTGAGACGACCCCTTTTCCGGCGTGGGATGAGAGGGTGAGGTGTCGGGTGGAGTCTGTACGGGATGGAAGTGGTGTGGAAGATGGAGAGGTGATGGGTCTTGAGAAGGGTATAGATGGCGGAAAGGGGTTAAGTAGGACTGCGGAAGGGCTGAAAGTAGTTCTTGTGAAGGAAGGGGCCGGACAGGGAGTAGAGGAAAAGCGATCCGCATAGTCTGCTTGAGAATAGTTTGAGACTATTTTCGTACAGATAGAGTACGCAGCCAATATGAGCGTTATTTCCAGAAATGAGACATCTTTGTTTGATATCAGGATGCGTATCTTTGACCTGTATCGGGATTACCTCAATGACTTCTCCAGGATTTCCAGACGATGATAGCCGTCTGAGTAACCCAATTGTAGCAGTGCCTTTACGAGTCCTCGCATTCGTTCGCATTAAGCATGTCGCGCTCTCCAATCAGTGTAGACTCTACCCCTCACTATACCCTCTCGTATGCCAGCCTTGCAAGGGTGTTCTTGAATCTCGTATTTGAAGAACGAGTAGCCCCTCTTCTTCCCTTACGGATCTCTTCTGATACTTTCGAAGGAAGCATATGAAGTCAGCTGTTGCTTAAGCCATCCGTCCGACATATTTGGACTTACCTTTCTGATCTTGTTGCGTTAAGCCCGGGTCTAGCCTTGCTGCATATAAAACGATCGTCCATCAATTTTAGCATAAATCTGGATCCCGCAAGAATGTCTTTCCACTACAACAAGATTCTCATCATTGGCGCAACTTCTGGTATCGGGGAAGCATACGCCGAAAAGCTCATTCAAGACGGCAAGCAAGTGATCATAGTCGGCCGGCGAAAGGACCGACTGGACGCCTTCGTCTCCAAGCACGGCCAAGAGCGCGTCGAAGCCATCCAATTCGACATCAAGCTGCTGAATCAGATCCCAAAGTTCGCGCTGGATGTCACAAACGCACACCCGGACTTGGACTGTGTGCTCCTGAATGCGGGCATACAGCGCGCGTTTAACTTCTTAAAGCCTGAGACGGTGGATCTGTCTATCTTGGACGAGGAAACGCTCACGAATTACACGGCGTTTATTCATTTGACGCTGGCTTTCATACCACATTTGCAGAAACAGCCGGGGGATACGAGTTTGATCTATACGTCGTCAAGTCTTGCGCTCATTCCGGTTGTACAGTGTCTGAATTACTCGGCTTCGAAAGCCGCGCTTCACCATTTCCTGCTCTGTCTTCGCGAGCAGCTTGCGGATGGGCCGGAGAGGATAAAGGTTATTGAGATCTTCCCTCCTGCAGTTCAGACGGAGCTACACGACGATATCAAGAACGGACGGGCGATAGGGATGCCGCTGGTTGACTTTGTTAAGGACTCTTGGGCGAAGCTGGTGCATGGTGATGATCAGATCGCGGTTGGAATGGTAGAGGCTGTTTTCAACGGGTTCGAGAAACTGAGGTCGGGCATGTTCTTCAAGGGTGTTCAACGTCCGACCTAGATATCGGGTGGTGCTGAAAACAGAGGTGGTTTCACGTGGTCGATGAGAACTTCCTCTGAAGCTTGCAGTTGCAAGCATGTAGCTTTTCTACCTCTCCTAAGTTCTCCTGATGCTCGGAGGATTACTGACTCTCATGAGTCCTTTGAGATAAGGGGAATAGTATTGAGACGGATACTGATGATCCCCCGAATGTACTCCGTAGTTGAATGTAATGCCCAGTAATATGATATCTCTCAACCTTGCAATCCAATAAGAGAGATGGAGTCGTAATCTACGCGGGTCGTGCATTGAGGACCCTGCACGATATGCGGGTGTGTCTCCGTTCCCTTTGTGTGGTTGTACAGTACATAGGTGTTAGTGTTTGAGCGAATATCGCATGTCAATAGACTCATACTCCTCTCACATTTCCAAAAGTGAGTCGAAAGGCCCTTGACAGCGGCCAGCAAGTGCCATTCCCGTACATAGTCGTCGAGTAATTCCTTGTTGATAGATCGCCATCTGTCTCGAAGTGGAAGAACATTTTGCACAGCCTCGATGCAGGGGCACAGCCAGCAGCGCATCCCAATCTCTCCACCTCCGAGACCGAGTTGACGACGCGCCACCTCTAGACTACCGCACCCGCACCACCTCCGACCAACTTACACTCGCTCTTCGACTCCACTACTATCGTACACCACCTTCGAATCCATCCTGAAGCCATCAACATGGCCGATGCATTCAACTCCGCCATGGCTAAGAGGTCTCTGCGCACTATACAAACCGTAAGAATATTCTTTTTGGTGCTCGAAAGGACCTCGAAGGGTTTCTAACATTTATACAGGAGCTGGAGTTTCTTGTCGACTCTAACGTAATCACCAACGAACAGTTCACGACTATCGTGAACCAACTTCCCCTCGAGAACACGCGCACTCAATCTGCTGCCACCCCAGTCAACGCCATGGCCGCGCTCGCCATCCAGCAACCGCCACAGCAGCAGCAGACCCAGCATGAACCGCACCATCAAGACGAGAAGAAGCAGAAGATTGGATACTACGCCGACAACAACCCCCCGCCGCCCGCGTACCCCTCCGCCCCGCCAGCTCCAGCGATTCTCACCACCGCTACCGCCCTCTACCAATACAACGCCCAAGATGCCGGCGACCTGGCCCTCATGCCCAACGACAGCATCGCCGTTACCGAATACATGAATGCCGAGTGGTGGAAAGGAAAGAACGAGAGGACCGGCCACGAGGGAATCTTCCCCAGCAGCTACGTGAAGGCTGTCGAGTCGAAGGGAGCTGCCTACAATGCTGTGCAACCATACCAACAAACCCAGCCCTCCAACTACGGCAACATGCCCTTAGATGTGAGCCAAGGCGCCGGTGGCCAACCCGGTACACCAGGCAAAGGCCAGGAAATGGGAAAGAAGTTTGGCAAGAAGCTGGGCAATGCGGCTGTGTTCGGCGCTGGTGCGACTATCGGCTCGAAGATTGTCGATAGCATTTTCTAGGTCTTCTCTACGTGCTGAGTAGTTTCCAGTCCGTGATCATTACTACATGGTAAGGGCGGCGTCCCTGAGACGGTGTTCATTGGCTTCCACTTTTTGCGTCTTTTCAAGGTTTCTAATAGTCAGATACCGAAATGACATCCACCTCTGTGGCAACTCTATACTGAAAACATATTGTATGTCTGTCAAATCATTATCTGATGTCACAGACCTCTTTGCTTGTGATTTGAGGTGAGTCACAAGACCATTGGCACAGTCCATGCCCAAGCGTCATCATCTCCATACGTGACAGAGTGCGGGGGCATATATCGTCGCGGCGTGACGAACGTCTTCTGACTCTCGTGAAGCGGTCAACGTATCCAGCGCCGAGGACAACCGCGATAGGGAAGGGCCGCAGATAATGAGTTGCCTATACAACGTATGCGTCTACATCAAACCTACGACCTGTCACTAGGGTTCTCACATCCAGCTCAGGTCTACTTCTGTAACTCCAACGATGCCTAATACTATCAATGTTGATATCCCATCGTCAAGGCTAGATTTTCAGCCTACGACTTCCCCACAGATCGAGAGGATCAACGTATGGCTGGAAAACAGTCCCAGTCGAAACAGTCCCAGTCTGACTGGTTCGACGTTCGGCGGTCCTGAGTCGCCGCGTTCGATCAACCGCATCAACCAGCGTCAGAATAGATCTTGGCATGAATATCAGGACGACAGAATACACCCAGTTCAAGCGGTCAGAAGTCCTGGATTGACTTCACTGCTGCAGTCGCCTATCAGCAAGACAAGCGGCTCTAAGGGATGGACTGACATCGAAGCTGGCAACTCTGCAACCAAGAACACTACATTGAGGGAGCCCGCTTCTCACACCGAGCCCCGGGTAAGCATGTTAGAGCGATATGATCTCAACCCGCAAGCTAACAAGACTTCCCAGAGCTGGAGACACATCCTCGCCGGCATGGCGGTACTCTTCAATTGCTGGGGCGTCAACTTCGCCTTTGGTGTTTTTCAAGAATATTATGTGAATTGGTATCTTTGGGGGACCTCCCAAGGAAAAGTAGCCTGGATCGGCTCCACTCAGCTCGGGTTCAGCTTCTTACTTGCCATGCCCGTTGGCAAAGCCTTCGATCTTGGGCATTTCAGGCCTTGCTTCTTCGGCGGCGCAGTCATCCTACTAGCCGGACAGCTGTCCCTTATCGCTTGTAAAAACTGGCTCGGAATCTTCCTTACACAAGGTGTGATGATGGGCATCGGATCCGGCCTGATGTTCGTGTCAGGCGCACTCTACATCAGCAGCTTCTACGATGACAAGTTTGACATGGTGATGTCGACGATTTCCTTGGGAGCACCCCTCGGCGGTATCGTGTATACGGTCGTCGCGCAGCAGCTGCTTCGGTATAGCACCTTCACGACTACATGCTTGGTCTTTGGCGGCATAATAACCGTGACCATGGTACCAGCTTCCTTCATGTTCCTCGGGCAGCCAAATCGGAAAGGAAAGCCGAAGCAGATTATCGACATGGGCATCTTCGGTGAGCCGGCCTATATGCTCATGTGCTTGGGCATGGCTTTTAGTTTCTGGGGCTTTTATATCGGGTTCTACTTCGTAAGTCTCACTATCTGTGCTCTGCCTTCTTGCGTTTCCTCTCCTCGACTGACGATTTCAAAGATCATCATCTACGCCATCGAAGTCCTAAGCATCTACCCCCTCGAAGCCGCCAACTTCCTCATCGCTATGCTGGGCGTCAACATCGCCGGCCGCTTCTTCGCCATGATAATCTCCCGCGACCTCCTCGGCCCCCTCACCACCCTCATCTTCTTCACCGCGATGAGCGCGTCCGTCGCGAATCTCTGGATGAACGTCGGCAAGAAGTGGGAGCTCTACTTCATTGGCTGCCTCTACGGTTTGGTCTCTGCTGGAGTGCAAGGCCTGTTTATCCAGACGATAACGGCGTTTATCGAGAGGACTGGCCCTACGCGTGGGTTTCGGATGGGGGTGGTGCTGACGGCAATTGGGTTGGGGGCATTGACAGGCGCGCCGCTGGGAGGGTGGATGGTGGGAATACGGGGGCCGTTTCCCTTTTGCTGGATGCAGGTGTTTGCGGTGGTGGTCATGTATGTGGGGGCTTTGTGTTTTTTGGCGGCGAGGTACTTGAGGGTTGGGTGGTCGATGGAGAGGATTTGAGGCTTGGTTTGGGGGGCCTATGGTGGCTTTGGTTTGGGGAGTTAGACTTTAATATATCGATGTTGGCTTCTTGGATAGGCACATAGGTCTTTGAAGGGCTTTGGGGTGGTGCCTTTAGGACCCTCAAGCAATGTGATAAACCGCATAAGCTAAATCTTGCTAGTGGCTTTGATATATTGTCCACCCGCCCATAGTCCGTCAGGGTGCCCCCTTTTACACTGTCGGCCCCTTCCCGTGTAGCAAGCTTACTCAGCATCTTGTGTATATCTTTCCTCCTTCCACTCAATAGCCAGCTTCCTCACCATCATCAATACAACAGCTTTTGGCCCCACGTCTGGTCTTGATTCGTTTTCCCTCTTACTGCCACTCAACACTAACCCCAAGCCCTAAACCCCAAGCTATCACACAATTAAGACGTACTTATGGCGGCATCCTAAAAATCGACCCTCAAAAAGCTCAATGAAGCTACTATAATGTTTGCAAGACATTACGATAGTATTCCGACCTTTCGGCAAATGGCAGAAATCTGACAGGGGAAGGTTAACTACGAGTGTTACGGTTAACAGCTAAACTTCAACGTCAACTCAGCCCCTCTTCCCACCACAGCTCCCCGTCAATCCACCAATTCAATCTATCAACCACAAAAATGACCAGCACCACTCCCTTCCGCCTCCTCTCCCTCCCCGCCGAACTCCGCGAAACTATCTATCTCTTCTCCTTCTCAACCCGACGGCCCGACTCTCTCCAAGCCCCTGCCATCACCCATACATGCCGCCTCCTACGCGCCGAATCCCTCCCCCTCTTCTACAAAACCCAGCGCTTCGTCCTGAACCTCCTCACCCAGACTTCCATCAACAGCATCGTCTCCTGGCTCGGGAGTCTCTCCCACCATGCCCTGCTGCTAATCCGCCGCTGGACGCTCCTGGTTCGCGTTAAGTACTACCTGGTTCTGGATCTCGACTTGGATGTGCGCCCCCTCCAAACCCTGGCCTACATGGGCGTCAACATCGACCTGGACGCGACGATTCCCGGCGGGCGGGTCCAGGAGATCCGCACGCCTGCTGTCTTTGCGTGGATCCACGGCGTGTACAACTCGTTCTACATGAACCCATTCCGCACGCCGCTGTCGCGGGCTGAGATCGAGTGTTCTGACGCTGCGGCGATGGGCTTCAGTGGCGTGTTCGCGGATCTCGCTGGGCAGGTTGAAAGGCTGTGGGTGAGGAGGCGGGATGGGGTGCTGGGTGCGGGAGACTATGAGGAGTTGTTGATGGGGCACAGCGGGCTGAGGAGGGTGTTGGATGTGCATCCGAGTTTGAGAGGAGGGGGCCAGCTGGAGGTGGAGAGGAGGATGTGGGAGGAGAGGTTTGGGAGTATAGCGGAGGGGTTTGTGGAAGCGGTTGGGGTGTGAAGGAGGTTTTACTGCTGAAATGTCGTAGGAGCTCGTTGGAGGTCTATCTGTGGGTTATTGGTATAAGTACGTCTTGAGTTTTGAAGTATCTTGTTATCTTTCTGCCATTTTCTCTCATTTCTATGTAACTACCGGTGGAAGCCCGAACGACCATAAAGCACCAGGACACAAAGTCTGGGCACATCGTCTTTTGATCTTTTCTCAGAAGTATGGTAATGTGCTGACGCACCATAAACAGCGGCAAGCTTTGTCTAATTCAAGCTCTCAGAAACCTTACATCTTATCAAAACTTTCAGAATGTGCCGAAGCACCTCCAATGATGGTGGGCAAGTGTATCCAGACTTCCGGCAAGGCACTGAGCGCGCCGTTGGAACCGCCTCATTCTTCGCATCTGCCCGTTCCCCAGCCGACCCGACCTCGCTTAAAACATATGCCATCTCACTTCTCACTTAACCAAACGTTATATTTCGAAAAATTCCTTGGCCTCCCACGAGTCACCAGTGTGCGGTAGTAGACATTAGTCTGGTGCATAGCGACCACTGCAGGTGTCAGCGGGAGTCATGAACCCCTGGCGAAGCTCACTTTTTGTCCTTTTGTGTAGCTGAGGTTCGATCCCCGGGTCGCGCGGGTTATGCTCTTCTTTTATTTCAATCTTTTTGGACCTTTTCTTTTCTTTTGGTGTCGAGGGCTTGGAGGAGACTGCAGTGCGTACCTACTTGTTGGTGATGCCGTAGGTGTACGCCTCAAAGTCTTTGACATCTTATTTCTCACTTTTTCCCGTCATCTTCTGTCGTTTCGATACCAGCGAAGGCGCAAATGCCCATTTGAATAAACACTCAACCAAAAATTCGATTCAGCACTTCGTTCCAACCTGATCAACCCCCCCCACCCGCCCCCTCAGCTGCCGCCTCCAAAATCGCCCTCAGCGTCTCCCGTTTCTCCTTCTCTCCCAGCACCATACACATCGCCGTCGCCACAATCACCGCATACAACCTCGTCTTCTTCAATGCCCTTACCCGCTCCTCCAACTCCTCATCGCCAATCTCCCCCTCCCCAGTCTCAACCTCCCCGATCCTCGGATCCCGAAATCCCGGCAACGAAGCCGGGGAATGCTCCACCACGAACCTCCAGATCGCCGCATCGAAGAGACACAGCTGCCCCGATTTGAGCGTCGAGAGGGAACAGGTGTACGTCCCAAGACAAACCTCTTTCCCAAACACACCACCATCCCCATCCCCCCCTTTCCCTCTCTTCCTCCTCCTAGATTTCGACCCAGCAATGGTAACCGGATCCCCACCAGGAACCCTCGCCACAAGCTTCAAATGATTCCACCTCACCCAGTCCCCACACCAACCCCCCTCCCTCACCGTCCGCGTCCCCTTCCAGAAAAACTCCACCCCCGCATACGCAAACACGTACCGCCGCGGCTCCCGCGAGAACGGCGATGCCCAGCGGAGATACGCCACCTCGTCCGCCCTCGCCGCAACCACCACGTCACTCCCCACGTCTCCAACAGCACCAGCGCCAGCACCGCACCCCGTATCCGGATCCACCCACCCCTCCGGCCTCGCCCTCCGCGCCGCCACCACCCCCTTTACGTACGCCCGCCCCGACTCGCCCCACACCCGCCAGTTACGCACTTTGTAACCCCGGAGCGCCTTGTCGTCGGCTTTCAAGACGCGCGCAGAGCCGCCGTTGTGCGCGTAGCTGACGAGGCCGCGGGGGTCGATGACGCCGGGGGCCGCGAGGGAGGCGCCGAGTTGGATTCTCCAGGTGCGCCAGAGGGGGGAGGTGTGGATGAGGGCGAGGGGGGTGGAGTGCGGCCGGGATCCAGAGCCGGCGAGGAGGACGCGCGGCGGGGGGGAGTGGAAGCTCAGGCCCGGGGTGTAGAGGAAGAATTCGGTGAGGTCGGGGCTGTCGGTGTCTGCGTTGCCTGAGTCGTTGGGGTTGGGTGGGTGCTTGGGCTCTTTTGACGCAGGGGGGTTGTCGTCTTCGAACGTGGTCTTGTTTGGGGTGGGGGAGGAAGAGGGATGCTGGGTCTCCGCCGACGCGTTCGCGGTCGCTTTTTCAAGGCGGCGTTCTTGACGCGCGAGGCGCGCTGCTTTCTTGCGCGGGACCCAGCGGCGCTCTTTGGCGGGGTGGAGGGTTGGGGTTATGCTGAAGTGGCGTTTTGTGTGGTAGATGTGGAACACTGTCGTATTTGAAGGAGAAGAAGAAGAAGAAGATGGTAGGAGAGGGGAAGTTGTCGCCGTGGTTGAAGTAGTGAGAGCGCGTTTATGCGGGAGGGAGGAGATGGGGGAGGCTGAGGTGTGATATGGAGCCTGGAGATATCAGTACGGGCTGGTGGAATAGGGGATGTAATGGGTTTAGATTGAAATCAAATGGAAGGAACTGTATTGGGGAAAAAACATACCTTCACCCTCGCATTCAGATCAGCCTCGTCCTCGTAGACGTATTTAGTCGGCATGCTTCAAGCTTGATTCTCGAGTCAATCTCACTCGGATTTGTAGGACCAAATTCAGGTCACCAGATGCTCTCGTGATGGCGCGTGCACAGCCTCCTTCGTATTTCTCGTGTCGCGGCGAATGGAAGGTCGAACCGACGATCTCGTGGAGAGGATGATTAGATTGGAATGTGCGGGGTTTTGGGGTGGGGAAGACTTGGCGATGGACGAGGCGGATTGCAAGGCGGCTTTTCTGGGTGAGGAGGAGATAAGAGACGGGAAAGTGGTTTAGGGTTTGAAGTTTCCTGTAGAAGCAAAGCAAAGGACAAGCATGATAAGTATATGCAGATATATCATATTACCATTACAGCGCTCGCCGCCCTGTGCATCGGAGCTATTTATATGTATGTGAAAGGTTCCCCATCAGTGAACCAATACCCTTCGTATGCAACCCTCACTCACTCACTCACTCACTCACACTCCATCTTTCCCAAACCCACATCAGCAGATGTTGAAGAGTCTGCGTGCAGAGTGACCTTGACCAAAACCAGAGCGCCCTTGCTTGCATGAAAACGACTAACGACGATAAGGAAACAGAGATAGCGCTTGATTAACCTTGACTTTTTGGGAGAACTCGCCAAAAAAGCCCTTCTAGGAGGCGTAGGGTATCAAGTCGGGGAATGGGTATTGTCCGACGAAAAAGAGGCCGCGAGGCATTAAGCAGAAATTTTAGTAAAAATATTGAATAAAGGAAAGAGTAAAAGGTTAGATAGCAAAACCCCTCCCAAGCGACATGAACATCAGTGATAGATATAAGAAACCCATGTCCCAATCATCACAGTCCCATCAGCCCATCCATCTACCCGTCCGAATTCCAGCATTAAAGAAGTTCACACCACGACGCGGCAGAGACGAAGGTTTAAACGCGTTCCTCAAAAGTTCGCCAGCCGCCCAGGCTGCCCCAAGCGGCTAGGACGTCGTCGCTGACACTGCATCGGGTGCTGATTGTGGACGGGACTAAGCTTTCCCGCTTCTTGAGGCTGTTCTCCCGACTCAGGCGCGAGGATTTGCTGATGCGGCTGTCACGTACGGAGCGAGACGTGGGAGCCGTTGATGGAGTGGTGGAAGACGCGACGCTGGTACGGGCGCTGCGTTGAGGTGCGACGATGCTAGAGTTGCGACGGGATGGGCGGGTGCGAGCGCTTTTAGGCTCGGAGTGATACAGCTCAGGGGTGTCTGAGGTGTCGAGGCTCTCAAAAGTGTGTTGGTGAAGTGGTGAGACATGCGGTCGATGACTCTGGGACATTTGTGACTCTGGTCGAGACACATTTCGAGAAACGTTCTGGCTCTGCACACCATCTGAGCCGAAAGGTACGTCGGCGCCACTACTTGCAGTTCGACGACGAGCGCGAGGGCTTACTTCGCTCGTGCGGTGGCTCTCGTGAAGCTTTTCGATGCTAGATGTCATGAAGGGCTCGATAGAACCAGCGCTGTGAACGAGATCCTCGTCCCCATTACAGCTGGGCTCGCTGCCGGCAACTTTGACCATCAAGTCGGCTTCGCCAGGACGGCCAGGTGTTATAGGTGATGGCAGTGGTGATGCATGGCTGGCAGTTGTAGGAGACGCGATGCTAGCGCTTGTTGGTGTTGACGGGAATGGGTCGAGGGGAGAGAAGTCGAGATGGGCTGACAACTGATATCGAGGGTTGTTACGTGCTGGGGAATCGATTTCAGAGTATTGATAATGTGGGGCAGTGTTGGAGTCAGAGGAGGACGTATCGCGAAGTATGCTTGTAGGGATAACCGATGACTTTTGGGTCTTCTTGGGTCGACCCCTTACGGAGCCAAGAGAAGTCAGAGTATCAGAGCCAGAGACCGAGCCTTGCTTCGAGTAATTTGACGATATTGACGCCGGATGGCCTGTCGTTAGGCCACTGCCAGGGCTGTCCATGACCAGAAAGCCAGATGTTCTGTGCAGATCCTCATCGTTTCGAGGAGTTGGTGTGTCGCCACGCTTTGTCGCTTGCGTTAATGCGGTCTTGTAACCTTCAGAGAAGCTGTGCTTTGCCATGGCGGCCCTTTTGCGTCGCATCATCTCTAACAAGGCCTCTTCCTCCTCAGTGACAGCCATCAGCTTGTGTTGCTCGCTTCGAGTTGATCGAGGCTCGCTGCGTGAGGTTTTTGCACTGCGAGGGCTCATAGTTGGGGATAGTGCTGCAGTCTCACCGGCACTTGCAGTTCGTGGACGCGTATCATGCTCAGGTATGGCTGATGGCTGTCGACTATGCCGCGATGCTTTGGTGCGAGAGTGCCGCGGTAGGTAAGACGAGTGTGGATCCGGCGAAAGCATTACCTCAATCGTGGCAGCGCTCGTCGAGACCGATGTCATGCTCAGGGTCGATTCCGACGGTCGTCTTCTATTGGACTCGTTGCGACCGTGTTTGGGCCTTGGCTTGACTTCGAAAGCTTGGGCTTTACCAATGATGATCTCGCCCTCATTGTCGGTCGAGACAGCAAGACTATCCCGGACTGGGGCTACCGGCTTGTGTGGCTCGGCCTCATATTCCTCATCGGAGGAGGACATGGACAGCACACTGTTGTCTTGCAAGTTTGAGGTTGAAAATTTGGACCTCGACGAGATTGCCGTTACTTGACTGTCGACAGACTGGTTACTAGCTGATCGCTGGCGGTGAAGTGGGCGCCTCGGGGCCGGGGTCTTGTAGAACTCCATCTGAGTTGCGGGACTCAAATGCGACGTCTGCGTTCGGTCTAACTTGGGCGCTACGACCTCTCTAGGCAGGACCCTACCAAGAGAACTCTTCCTCAAAGGAGCCAGATTGAAAGCCCGCACCGGCGCTGGCTTTGGAGGAGCTCGTTCTGGAATTGGTGGCGGTGGTGGGATGTCGTCGTCCTCTTCTTCATCCTCCTCGTCCAGTCCCTCAAACCAATGCTGGATGCCACGGGGAGGTCGGCGGACGTTGACCTTGGCGTTGTCAAAGACATCCCGCTTGAAAGCTTTTTGATTCTTAGCTTCTTTTCCTTTGGCCTTTTGGTTCTTCGGACGCTCTACTCGAGAGGGCGCTGGAGGATCCGAGCGTTGCACACTTTTGACGGATGGGGCAGGTGTCGTCTCACGTTGCGAGGCCGCAGGATTGCGGGGGAAATCTTCGGAGGTGGCCGACATGGGCATAGGAGAGTTGACCATCTTGGTCGGCGAGAGTAGAGGTGCCCCATTGCTCGAATTCTGGGTCCGAGGTTTAGGGAATAGCCGAGACAGATCCAGTCGAGGGGGTTTGTTCTTCTTGGCCTGTCGCTTTGCGCTTTCCTGGTCTTGATGCAAGGGAAGACTTGGGGTAGATTTTGCGTGCTCTCCTGGATGTATGGGCCGCTCGCCCTTTCGTAAGGCCATATCCCGGACCGCAGAAGCAGACGTTTGTTGGGAGACTGCCAGGGGAGACTTGTGAGCATCATAAAAGGAGCGTAGGGTCGAGGAAGAGCCTTGGCCGTGGATTTGCCTGCTGACTGTGCTCCCAATAGAGCCGGCACGCCCTCTGTCGTTGTTATATGCGTTTCCCAGGAGATTGGATGACGGGCGTGGATGGAGACTCTGCCACCGTGGCGGGTGGGCCACGTCTTCGACAGCTGTCGACGAGGCGTGGTCTGTGTAATCCGAGCCAAAGCTGGCCTCAGACACAGTGACAGTCATGTAACCTGGGCTCTGTGGGGGCTCAGGAATGGGGACTGGCGCAGTCCGCGTCGGTGGCTGTGGCTGTTGGCGTGAGGACTGGCGAAGGGCAAGATTGGAAGTCCCTAGCAATCGCTCGGCCTTTGAGGGTTTCGAAGGGTCTTCCACGCGCGGAGTGTATTCGGGATAGTGGGAGTCGACGGACGGAATGGAGCTCGTCTCAACGACGTCCTTTTTGGCATGGTTGCGGCGCCCCGGTATGGGGAAAGAGAATTTGGAGCCACGAGCCATATTGAGCTATGGTGGTGCAATTGGCGGTGTGGAGGGACGGAAAGGGCTATGCTAGGTCAATTGAGGAGTCCAGCTCAGGGTTTATGAGCCGCAATGGGCGAGGGACTGAGGGTGGGTTACTCTTCAAGAATGGCGGCTACGTGACCATGTCTGCTGGCGGTGGGCGCAATGGCACAGCGTGAGTGGCGCCGTGTACGCCAATGTGAAGCAAGTGGACAGGCACTGGGATGCGGGTAGTCAGGGAGTAGACAGCGGAATGGTAGGGCGCATGGTGTCTCTTGTTGGTGGGAGTCCTGGGGGATTTGGAGAGGTCGAGGGGTCCACGGGTGGTGTCTGGCTGGGAGAGATGCAGCAGAGGCACTGGGCGTTCTCGCCGAAGCTGCCGGCGAACCAAAGACTGCTAGAGGATCGACAGGCTAGCTCCAGGACTGCCCAGGACTGCCCAGGACTGCCCAGGACTGCCCCAGGATTCGAGTGCCACGAGAGGAGCTGTGGAAAAGCGCCGCTGATCTCACTGGACGGCTGCAAAGCGGTGCCTGGCCCCTGAGCCCTGCGAGCAGCGATGCATTGCCAATATCTGTGTCGCCTTGCCCGTGAGGGTGTCGTCGGCCTCAATTCGAGGACGTCTTGTGGCAGCTCAGGGCCGTCAGGGGCTCCGTGTCTTCAGCGGTGCCGTTCCGGGGCAGATGGACGATGCAGGGCCATCCAGGGGCGCGGCGTCCAACGAGAGGCCGGCCAGTGCGATCGCCCAAGCCATTCGGTGCTCGATGCGCATGCTGCGTCGTGCTCCGTCCGAAGGGGATGCAGGCGATATCGCGTCAGGGCTGGCGGCACAAACCTCAAGCCACGGTGTGACGGTGAGCTGTTGTGCACCGGTAGCCAGCATGACGCATGCCAGCAGCGTGTCTGTGCCTGTGCCTGGCGACAGTTTTAATCCGACCGTGGTGCGTGGTGCGTGGTGCGTGGTGCGTGTGCTTCATTCGAACAGCGGCCGCCTTGCCCTGCCCAGCATGGACGGTGCTGCACCACGCCGGCCGACATTTGGACTGGTGCAGAAAGCTGCAGCAGCGTCCTGTCATGCACTTCCTCCAGCTCTGCGGCCGCTTGGTGGCGGGATGCCGAGCAATCATGGCCTTCCACCAGCACTTGGCCCGCTCAGTGGCGGGATGCCGAAGATTCATGCGGGTGGCCTTCCATTCGACACCCTTCTTGGCAAGCCCCCGCGGTCCGGGGCCAGTGGACCTCATCCCGATGTTGGTCGCCCTGATCCCGATTCAACACCATCGACGACGTGGACGGCAGCATGTTTCAGCACCCGGCGCCTAAGCCCGTCGCTTCCGCCCTGTTCTCGCGCTGCCGTAGGCTCCCGGTGCGCGACCACGAGATGGCGTCTCTCCACGGCTGCTGACATTTGGAATGCCTGCATCGCGATTCGATTCGACGTCGCCAATCTAGCTGTTGCTCAATCCCCCACCTGCGTCCCGCCTGTAGATCTGGGATGCACATCAACACCTGCGATTGCCGTGCCCAAGTCATGGCTGCGCACCTTCGTATCTCGCCATCCCTCGTGGCTCGAGACGCCATCTCTCGAGCATACGTGGTGTCGCCGAGTGCGGCCGACTCCTGAGGTGCGTCGAGTCGTGCACATATCGGCCTTGGCCTGCTGGCCGCTACCAGAAAGCCCCGACCTGCATGCGGCGGAGCCCTCGCCACGAGAACGACCCTCCCAGCCGTGGCCGCATGTCTCGAGACATGTCTTTGACTGTTTGTCCACTTAAATTTCAGCCGTTGTGTTCCATCGCGACCTCGCCGACCTGGTGCTTGGGTCCATCGGTCCGGCGGTGCGTCAACCACCCATCCACCAGCCTCATTGTCCAGCCTGTTGTTTCGCAAACAATAGAATCTCAGGCTCGTAGATGCTCGAGCAAGTTCGCTCCCAGAAAGGAGCTGTCGGGAGCTGTTGCAGATGTAGGTTTTCATAGGTCTGTGTTGTTTCTCGCCGTCCTGCTCTTACATTCCTCGACCTCGTCAAATGCCCCTGGCCCGTGCCCATTCCAGAAATGGCAATTTCAGACTCTCACTCTTTAGGGCCATCCCGACACCATGAGCTATGAGCTTATTTCCACCGCAGCTTCGCCCTCGCACTGTGCCTCTTGCTGCCCTCTATTGAAACAAAACAATCAGCTTGTAGGACTCTGAAGACGCTACTTCGCGACTATGGCCCACTCTGTGGCCTGTAGCGTCTCGTAAACAAATCTAGTCTTTTCATTCCTGTTCCATTCGTATGGCTGCAATGGAACCGCTGTTTCTAGACCGCTTTCATCTTTCTGCAGGGAGTTTCAGCATCTTCGGAACATCACAGGATCTTCCCTGACTATGGAAACTTTTTAGGTAAACATTCAGCCTATTCCAGAGCTTCTTAGCCGGGTGAGTATTGAACATGTATTGAGAGTCTACTAGTGTGCATCAGGGTTTCTCCTTGTATGAATGTCTCCCGTGCCCTTCAATCCTTCCATAAGCCTCAACATTTCATTGTCTGGAATAGCTCATGGATTCCCGTAGAGCTAAGGGTGAAGATTGATGTCCAAAACTTCAGACCGATAAGCATGATCCGTCTGGATCCTGCAGATCAAACATAGATGCAATCAATACTCCCAGTAACATTGAATGAGACTAGCATATTACATCGACGAGTCCTGACACTCCAAAATCATACCCATTGTTCTGTCCATATCCCGAACACACTCCTGATCTCAGAAAACTCGATGACAACCTATCACAACACTACCGTTCTCTCTCACAGTGCCCGATCTCCACGCCCCAAGAGGCTCGCTCTCCTACCCCGGAAAGCTCCCCCGGCCCGACCCGCCTCCCGCCTCCCGCCACCCCGTTTCGCTGCATCCAACCGCTTCCCAATCGCAGTCCCATGGTTCGCCTCGCCTTTTTCCGTTGAAGTAATATAATCCAACCCCTCTCATCTACCCAGCTACCCCTCCAAGCTAATGCACCCCTGGGGGCCACTCCGCAGCTTCAACAAATCGCCAGACCGCGAAACAAATCCAACCATGGCTCTCCGTACGCCTACATGTCCCTCGATCCCAGGGACTGCACGATCCACTCCCCATGCCAGCCACGCGAGAACTCTCACCTGAAACACGAATCATTCGCGCTCGTGAGCGATGCAATGCGAGTATCCGCCAGCCCACGGGAACTTGCCCTGCCCTGCCCTGCCCTGCCCTGCCCGCTCCACTCCACACTGACACTCCAACCCCCATCATCCCAGCCTCCCACCACACCCGCATATGCGTCCTCCAACCCGCGTGCGCATATCCTCGGTCCAGCAATCCCGCAACACACCTACATATGCACTCCTCCCGAGTATCCCCAAACCCCGCCGGTGTGCTCCATCCACGTGCATGCAAGCGCCGCAATTCCCTCTCCCCCTTCTGCCCTTCACCCCCAAAAGATGCTACCGCTACTACCGCGGTACCTCAGAAGGCCGCAGCAGTCCGAGCCGACATCGCACGAGGCCCCAGCCCTTGCGTTACGCTGCTGCTGCTGCTGCAACGCAAACAATGTATGCAACCTACCCGCGCATCCTAGGCCACGTGCGCCCATTCTCTTCCCATGCCCGAGCCTCACGCCACTTGCAGCTCACCCCGCTAGTTCCATCCCTTAATCTCCAAAAAGCAAAAAAAAGAAAAAGAAAGCAGTTGCGAAACCTTGCGATTTGGCGCGCAAAACTGCGGGACTGTGCTACGACCGCGTCGTCAGCTGTTCCGAGAAAACGAAAACCGCTGCTTCCGAGGCACCAACGAAAAACTAGACGCAGTATGCTTTCGCGGCACTCGAGAAAAAGGAGCAAAAGAAGAAACATGTAAGTCATTTGCTTTTTTGTAGGTGTGAATACGAGCTAGATAATATACCCGAATATCATGAGGAAAGAAAAGAAAAAAAAAAGCCGTTTCCCAGATTGCGCTGCTCCGATGATGAGATTGCTATCTGTGACGAATTGTCGTCAACTCGTAAAGATACCTTTTATACCTCCCCCCCCCCCCCGGAGTTGTCTTCATTATAGCCATGTACATGGGAGTCATGACCATATTGTCGTAATCCATTTTCCATACCTTCGTCATCGTAAATCATATCCTCACGATATCGCCTCAACACATTACCCGACGAAAAGCTTGCCCGAAACCCCATTTTCGCGACACGTTTCCCTTTACAAATCATTCTCAGATCTCATCTTTCTCATCATCCTCAGAATCTGTTGTCGTGAAACGACGTCGGCGCAGGCGAAGGCGTCATCGTCTCGCCAATATCAATCAAGCTCTGGCTCATCGAGCTCTTCAGCCTCTTCGCTCTCTCAGCGGGCGTCTCGCCACGGAAGTTCTCTTGATCTTCGTCCCGTCCTCTCTTATTTCCAGGCGTCTTGGGCGCCGCCATCACGCTTCTGACTCGACCCGCGTTCGTCTTGGGTGGCGAGCTTTCATTGGCGGTGCGGTGACGCAGTGGGTATCTGGAGCTCTGGCTGCCCTGGGAATCGTCTACCTGGGTGACTGGTGGCTGTGAAGTAGATTGCGCGGCAATTCGGGTCTGCCGAGCGGCCAACGACGCAATGCGATCCGACCGGTGGTGGAAGGAGGACGATGGCTTCGGAGTAAGCTGTCCCGTCGCAGCATCATCCTGCGTCTCGTCGACGTCGTCGGTTTCCATCGAATCGAAGACGACTTGGCTGTCGGGGAACGCAAACTGAGCATACTGCGTATTCGTTCTGGGTTCGGGCAACGTGAATTGAGTATTCGTGAACTGCGTCACGCTGGTATCTATCGGCAGCGCCTTTGGCTGAGGCAATTCGACGAACTGGATTTCAGTCAGCTGATGGAATCATCTGTGTTGTAAACCATCCACATACATGATGCGAAACTTTCGTCATGGGGTCGAAGTACTCGCGCATCATTTGTGCGAATATTGGCTCAGCCGTTGCAGCCGTGTATTTTGGCTTTGATCCCTTCTTCCTCGGTCCTGGCACAGGTACAACATAGCCTTGCTTGCGAAGATGATTAAAAAGTCGACTGGCAGTTTGGAGATCAGAGCCTGCCAAGTCAGCAAGTAATAAAGGCAACGTCAGAGCCGGATGAGGGGAACCTACGGAGCGCGGCTGAGAAATCTCGATCGTTGGTATATCCTTGCTTCTCAATGATGTGCATTCCCCGTCGCTGTAAAGCTAGGTCCCTCATCTCTGGTAGCCGAGGCGCTTCCTTGTCTTGAAGAAGGCAATTGTAGCAAGCATGCACTACCGGAATTCTAGGATCGTCTGACCCACAGTATCCATAGCAGTGTAGATGCTGCCAAGTATCACAGAAGCTACAGTTTATCTGTAACACTCAGTAACGAGCATATTCAGGGACGTGTAAAGGGGCTTACCATGTCATCTTCGTCTTGGTCCCATCCACACTGGCAGGAAGTGATGTCCTTCTCCCCGGTGAGGTCGACAGAAGCAGAGCGCCTTCGCTTGCTAGACGCGTTCTCTCTTGGGGGGAGAAGTGAATTTCTCCTACCATCTAGCTCCTTGATCTTTCTCTCGGACAGTTGGGCCGGCGGCATGTTTTCAACCATCTTCAGATGACGATCCATACGGCTCAAAGATTGACTCAATTGCTGCGTCTCCACCAACTCACTGTCTTGAGGAGATGGCTCTAGCTGTTTGATTACATTCAGTCAGCAGAAGCTCAGTCTGAAAGATGTTGAGGCAGGTGATGGCCAAACCTACCATTCGCTCCAGTTTCTTCTTGATCTGGACATCACCCGGAGGCTGGGTATCTTGAGCTCGTGGAGAAGAGGAAGCTGACATGTCAATGACCTGGTGCGCTTGTCGGGCATCTTGTGTTTCTCGAGAAAGATTGGTGATAGGTGCAGGATTACCAGGCATTGCTCGTGTGTTAGCTTCATCAAGATCCATCTCGTAGTCGTTCAGACTATCCTCTAGATTGCTGCGCTGAGTTGGTCCATCTTCAGGGATGCGAGCTAGCACGTCAGCCTGCGGGTGCGGGTTAGAGCCGCGAGTTGTTGAATATCGATCAACGCGATGGCTGGTTTTCTGGATCGACTGAGAAGCTGAAGCGGCCATTGTCAAAGCCCTCATCTCTTGGCTTACTTTGAGAACCGCAACCCTCTCTACATTTGTCTGTTCCGCGTTCTCCGTTTGCTCCGCATGCTCGACAGGAGCAGGGTCTTTCAGCACCTCAATATCGAAATCTCTGGATACCGGTTCGGTGTATGTCAAGTTGGCCGGAAGGCCACGATCCACTCCAGCAGACTGGCTCGATTCCTGCGTAATATTTCGTAGATAGGATACTTTGAGTGTGACAGCGTGAAAGCCACCATCCATTGTTCCGCAAGACACGCTCTCCCTCTTCCAATCAGTGTCCGGAAAGAAAACAGTATCACTATCAGACTCTTTGAAGCCCGGAGGCTCGTAGTCCGGATCGCAATCCTCAGTATAGAACAGATGCATGTTGAGATATCGTCTCGAGGGAAGATCGGGTAGGGTACCACAGAGGGCAATCAACCTCCGAATGAACATTTGCATGGCGTATTTTGCGTTCTTTATGGTTACAGATTCAGCTTTTGGGCCGGTCATCTCAATTCCTACCACCGCGACTGAGCGGTCTGGCGACCGTACGTAATTGAACGTGAATGTGTAGGTCTCGACGACGTTGGAGGGGTGGTCTGCATCTTCGAATATGTTGAGCTGGATGGCACGGAGATGGCCGTGCTTCAAGGCATCGAACGCGCCGTTCTCCTACACTTAGGTCAGATATCTCCGCTGCTAATTTTTCCTAAGGAGGCGGTTTTGGATGAATATACTGTCCCGGTGATGCTTACAAGCCAATCAAGAAGTGTGTCAACAGCTTTGCTTCGCCCCCGCCTCAGCACTCTCATGCATGTTCCCTTGAGTTTGGGGTCGGATTTGCCTTTGTCTTTAGCGCTGGCCTGACTCGAGGAGTGCTCTGGAAGGTAGTTGCCAGCAGCATAGTCTTCGTAGGGCCAATGAGTGTCGCCGTAATCGTACCATTGCTCATCGAAGCAGCCTTCCGGGAAAAGGCTCCTAGATCGGATGTGAGTAGAAGATGAAAGTAACAGGCGGCGAGTGTGTTACCTTAGGTAGGAGAGGCAACTGATCTGAAACTTCATTAGCTAAGCCGGCCATGCAAATGAGATGTGAAGCTTACAGAGCCATGAATAAGGCTTTGGACAACCTCTGTGCTCTGCTGTTGCTCAATGAGTTGCGTTGACGTGGTCAGGGTAGTTTGATCGGTGCGCTCGATCGTCTTTGCTCCGAGGACTTGTGGAGCGGCAGTGGCAGTGGCAGTGGCTTTACCGCGCGAGCGGACCTTAGTGGCCTGTGTGCGAGGCATAGAGCGCAGAAGGAGGAATTGCAGTGATGAGGAGTGGAGATGGTGTTAACGAGGGATGAAGTGAGGTCTGAATAAGCTTGAGACGAGAGCGGGATTTGCCGCGTCAACTGAGATGACGGCCACAGAACACCTCAGAATCCAGAGACCGTATACGCCCCTCCATGCATAGCACGCACACAGAGCAACAAGAACATCGCGGCCTCAAAGTTCTGAGAAAGTGCAAAACACCACCCCTCGAGGGAGGAAGGGGGTGTAGCCACCCCCAAAAGAGGGTTTCTCCAAAAAGATCCTGACAAGAGCGGGATTCGAATCGGGACCTAGACAATGAATATCAAAAAGAAAAACAAGACCTAAGTTAGCATGTTGGGAGATCCGGGGCCGACGCCACCGGGGCATTCCTGCTGGTTAGTACAAGGGGTGCTCAAATATTTTGAAATATATACATAGGTTGAGAATCGAATTTGTTGTAGGGAGGGCACGTGAGTAAGAGAGGGCTCCAATGCCGGTGGGCTCATCTCACCTCAGTGCAAAATGTAAAATACTGAAACGTCGCTGGGCCAACGAGACCTGCCTATAAATGAATACCTTCCGCCTTCCGGTCGCATTATATTCATCTACAGCATCTCACCTCCATCAGTAGTGGTACACCACTCCGAGGCTTCGGAAAAAGTATCTGTGTTGATAGCAATTGCTCTAGAATATGAAAGAGCCTACACAGGAAAGGCTCAAGTCACGTGTCGGTTTGGTCTGGATTAAGGTGGATGACAAAGCAATTCGCGGAGAGCCGCTTGAAAACATGCCTACGCGTGGAAGTCTATGCCTATTATAGGAAAGAATTATTATCAATCCTATCTAGATCTTCAGAGCAAGGCTTCCTGTCGAACAGTTGATTGTTCAACGATGACGCTTAGCTAGCACGCATGCGGGCCACACAAAATTGTGCACGACAGCAAGGCTAAGGGCCTGGAGGGGCTGAGGCCGAGATAGTCGAAAAGCCGAATCAGATGTCCTACATCCTTATATCCGGAATCCTCGCATCCGTGGGTATTTATCGTAAATGAATTGGAAAGGTCTAGCGAGCTCTAGAATCACAACACAAGTGGGTTGACGGCCTAATGGCAAGCTGAAGATGCGGCACAAACGATTGAGGTAGTTTCAATCCCGGGACATTTCATCTTGAAAATGGAGGATGATTGCCCCTAGGCAGGGTTTCCGCACTTTCCAAATCATCAAGCTCTTAGCAGATCTTTGCGCTGATATCAGTCTGAACGGAAGAAGATATCTGCATCAGGCGTTTCTGTTCGTTGATAGACTAGGAAGAAGGGGCTATGCAGCCTTTCCCAAGCAGCAACAAATCCACCTGCCTAGAAAATCGGTACGACTTTCCCAACGGCGTACATCCCTTCCTCACTCTCGGGTGCAAGCTTTCCTATGGTTTTAGCACGTCTGAAGCGTTTCTATTGATATTCAAGGACTGATTTGGTATTCTGGGTGGTCGAGGCGGTGGATCGGGGAGGGGTTTGTAGCGGGTGATTCGTAGAGAGAACTATAGCTAAGGCTGTTGGAGGGTATATAAGGGAGTAATCTATTCGACGTAAGCTAAGAAGACAAATTTCGGAGTCAAACACGAACAATCCATTACCTGCAAGATTTCGACTCATTCACAGATCTATCTTGTCTTTGGTTAGTCCCATCACCCAAGTCGCTGCACAGTATCGATTCCCATTATGTTAGAGAGAAGTCACCTCCATGGAGGTCGCTTCCGGTCTGGAGGGAATCGGAAGAGTACCTGCTCTAGAAACCCGGTTGTGTTGGGCAGTGATGAAGCAGAGGAGAGGTAGTACGTCGGCTCGAAACATCCCCGGCCCGCTAAGCCTATTTCATCTCGGAAAGGTGCATAAGAGCATTAAGGATATTCATAGTGTGCGACTTTTGACCCGACACAGCATACGTATTACTTACCGTTCTGCGACTGCATAGTGCTATCACTTCCGCACATCCATTTGTCAACGGGGCAATATCTATGCATTCAATTACTTCGTACACTGCATTTATTCTCTGTCATATTTTCTGTTACTCCCATAAAGCTATCTTTAATCTTCTAACAAACACGCTGTAGGACGATGCGAGCGGTGCTCGTTTCACTAACTGCGGTTCATGTCCTTCCTACCATCTACTGCAAACCCACTCTATATTAGGACGACAACAATATGCTTCGCCCGATGCTGTGTCTCTTTGTTTCCATATATTCGTTACCATGGCCCCCAAGTCGTACTCCCCGACCTCACCATGATTTCTGTGTAAACTCAGCCCCCATAACACAACCTCTATGAGATAAGGTAACTATAAGTTCCTTCTCGATGCTGTGTCGCCTTGTTTCAATATAGTTATTAACATGGCCCCAAACCGTGGTCCTTGAGGCCACCAACCTTTCTGTGTAAACTCAGCCTTTTCCCTTTCCCATTCACTCTTCTGCTCATTCAGTGTTTCCTCAGCAACTAATTGTCATGGCAAACTTCGACTCAAATAAATGGTACCAGCTAAGCATAGGGTTGAGCGCAAGCCATCTGCTCTCCATGTGTGGTATGAATCTGTCTACGACCGGGGGTGACCCAGGTTTGGGCGCTGCATACTTCGGAGCAACAAACTCGTCGGATGCTAGCCAACAGTGGCAGATCCACCCAGTCCATACTTCCACCACCTACGTCCTGCGCACGAAGGCCTCCGGTCCGCAGCAAGGGTACTTGGGCACCCAGATCGGCCTAGACGAGACCACCCCGGGCAGTACCTGGCCGCGCATGGCGTATTATGGCCTCAGCGACACATCGATGTACTGGCAGATCGCACCGTGGGGCGACGGGACGTTTTACATGACGAACGCGGCAAACGGGACGGAATGGCATTTGGAATCTGAGGGGAACGGGCATATTGTGATGAGTTCGGATGGTGAGGCGCGGAACAACCAAGCATTTTCTTTCAAAGCTATGGGCGAGATCAATGATGCTGTGTTCTCAACGGTAGATGTGAGTATCCTAATTCGTGGTGTCGTTGTTCTGGAGTACTAACATCAATGTTAAGGCTCCTGGCGTGACAGTCACTTCGACACCAAGTACTGCTCCAGCATCTCCACCTGCATCTTCCACTTCGGCCATGTCAACGAACACGAGCACTGCTGCAACCACAGCGGCCACTCCAGCTCCAAGTACTACTGCAATCTTTGGATCCGCAGCTTCCGGCTCGCGTGGCCTATCTACCGGAGCTTCTGCAGCCACTGGTGCATCTGTCGGGGCCATTGCTCTGGCTGCAATCATAATTATGGTATGGTTCCTACTTCGGAGACGAAGGCGAGCAGCCCAGCAGGCCCACGGAGATGTCAAGTGCCTACCGCAGGAGACAGAGGGTTCCCCCACGCAAGAAGTAGATGGATCCCGCTCTATACAAGAATTACCGATACCAAACTCAGAGACGAAGTACGAATTGGCCGTGACACCATCCGAGCTTTGTGGAGATGAAGTACCAGAGAGGATAGTAGAGGAGTGTGAAAGTGAAGATAAAAAATGTTGTGTGGACTGATCTCAAAGGTCGGTCTAGGGGTTTCTTTTTAGTCACAGGACCAATATTCTTAAATCAACACTCCCCTTACGTTTTTGGAAGCTATTGCAGCGCCGAATATTGCACGGTTTACAGGCACTGCAGCATTGCACACGATGGAGCCTTTTGGAAGTTGAAAAATCAATAGCGTAGCAGCAATCCAAATAGCATATACAAAAATACAAGCAGTATTGGAAACCCAGGACTGTCTTTCGCGTAGAGTTGACCGAGAACTCTGGTATGGATAGGTTCCGCATGCACTATAATTAGACTAGTTAAACGGAGTTTGGATAGAAAGAAGAGTTGAAGGTGAGCAACTCGAGTATCTATCATAACATCAACGGTCTGCTCAGTGGATAATCTCATCTGATCTCATGAGAGATTGGAGGGATTTGTTTCGCAGCCTGACGGTCTGCTCTTTTGTTCCTGGAAGAATAAGTGTATCATGATCGGTGGAGCGCGTCACCGTAATATGTACGGAATGGGACTCGAAGAGCTGTGTTCTATCCAGATTACCGCCTCAAGGAACTTGCATTCGGCTTTGAGATTCACCCGCAGTGTTGTAACACTTGAGTCATGTGAGTGTTGACGATGCGGCAAAAGTCTGCACACAGCTATTCTGTCTTGAAGTGAGTGGCCAACCCAAGCACGGATCCTTCGCCACCATTTGCTTCATGATGCCTCCCGACGCTGGATCGAGTGCCAGCGTTGGCTCGGTCGGTGTTGCATCCAGAAATTGCGTGGGCCCTAGCGTCCCTTTCTTTCTGCACACATTTCATGCATGGTGTGACGTTGCCTGAAGGCCGTGAGGCCTGTGAGTGATTTAGATGATATTGGCGGCCAGGCGGCTCTGCCTGAAACATGATATAGCGAGGCAAAGCAAATAGACCGACGCGCAGAGAGCGCAGTTACTGGCGAACTGCCGGCCACCAGCATCCCATGTATCCCGCCGAGTTTGCTCGAGTGCACGAGTTGCCAGGAAGTGGCTGAGGTTGGGAAAGAAATTCGAAGGCAGGAGGAACCTTTGCCGAGCTCTCCAAAACCGCCTTGGACCTACGAACCCCTCCCCTTCGCACCACCACCACAACTCCTCCCCACTCTTCCTCCTTCACTCTCCTCTCCGGTCAGACGTGTCTTTCCAGTTGTTGAGCTCTCTCTACTCCGCGGCCTTCATTTCAGCACATATCCCATTTTCCGTGCCAGCCCTCACCTCTCCTAATCGTGCCGCCATAAGCAGACCTTACCTCTTGCCCCGGTCACGACGCCACTACCTTCACCCCAAAGTGCTGCAGCAGCGGATCGATTCAGATAGTGCCGTTGAGCAAAGAACACCGATGACGGCCTGATCCACCAGAAGTTCGGCCTCACACGCGATTCCCGCCGTGTTGTCCTCGCGTTCGGGACTCCCTTGATCCGCCCTCCTCCCTTCCATGGACACCTCTCCTACCGACACCGAAGCGAGTACAGACACAACCGGGTTTACTTCGTTTACTTCGACGGTGGAGAGGTCTGGGACGCTATCGCCTCTTGCCGCACCCAAGAACATCATGCCGGCAAGGGAGGCTGCCCACGGACTCGATCCCGGGATGGAGGCATCCTATGCCACCCTTGGCCAGCTGTCCTACGTCCCGACAACGCACACAACCGTCGTAACCACTACGACCACGACCAAGATCGACTTTCCGCCGATCTTGCTGCGAGCTCCCCGGAGTTTGGTGGAGCGGGATCCCAAAATATACCCTCTGGCGTGCTCTCCAGCCCCGGAGTCTGTCAGGCGATTTGCTTTCGATGCCGGAGGCACACAGGCTTATTTCAACGAAGCCGACGACGTCCAACAGTCTCTCAACGAGGTACGTTAAATCGACCACAGCCTGCCCGTCATCACACCACTTTCCTGAGGTCGACCGACTGGTATATACTATTGCTAATGTATCTTCCCTATCAGTATAACACTCGACATGACGCCCTCATCGCTGCTAATGGAAGAGTGGAATCGGTCCAGCACTATAACGCTCAGTACGAAACGCCAAACCGTACTACACAAAGCTCGGGTATTACTGGTAGAACACTAACGGACCCTCTAACAAGGTCATTCTCGGGTCGTAGAAAGCGCTCCTCGTCGCCACCCTCTATTGCTGAAGCAGCTGAGCTCGCAAGCTTACAACGGAAGAGCAAGAAATCTCGGGCCACAATACTCGGTTGTCAAGATGCTGAGGGAACGGTTCCTGCTACTCCAGACACGGATGCGGGGACATCTGGACGCTTCAAGATTCCTAAAATAAAGGGTGGCTCGAGGAGGTCCAATTTGCGATCCTCCAACCAAGGCGAGAGTTCTGGCTCAGGAAAGCAGACCCATAGCGACTCGCAGCTCCCGCCGGATACCTGGGGGTTACGGGAAGTAGAGGCACGCCAATCGCCTGCGAATCAGACGAGGAACCTCACAACTGCCAACTCGGGCGAAGGAGCGACTCCAATACATGAATCTCGTTTTCACGCTGCAGTGCTGGACGGCCCTGGTATTTCCGCAACCCCGCCCATTGCAGAGACCGACATGGAACCTGTTACTTCCTTCTCTTCTGGCGATGTACCGTTCGCAAGACCAGCTCGTCCCGCTCCCCTTGACACTGTATTAACACAGGATGCAAGCCTCCCGAGCCCGAGCCTCTCGCCAATCACTGCTGCCGCAAACCTTGCCCATAACGCAAATCATAACTCGCTCAGAGGTGGAGACGGCCAGGAAGAGGATCCGTACGAAGTTTCAATTTTGGATATTTCGGAGGACAGGTCGGATCAAGCAAGCGGGTTAACAAAACTACAAACCCGCTCTGCGTCGCGAATGCAGCACATCGATCTACCGGACCGGCTCGATGGCGCAAGTCCGAACCCACAGCTTCCTACCCCTACCGTCATGGGCATACCGGCAATGCTGGACTCCTTTGACTCAATGCCGGAGCAGATGAAGACCTACGTCATGTTTCACTTGCTCCGTCGGTGCACAAAGCCAACTCTCCATTTCGTTGCCGACGTCGTGAACCCTGCGTTAAAATGCGATTTCCTGGGACTGCTCCCACTTGAGCTCGGCTTGAATGTTTTGAAATATCTAGATGTCAAGAGCATGTGCAATGCCGCACAGGTTTCGAGGAAATGGAGGCACATTGTTGACACGGACGAAACCGCCTGGAAGGACCTACTAGCAAAGGACGGCTACGAACTGCCGGATGGAGACCTAGAGCGAGCAGTAAAAGAAGGTTGGGGTTGGCAATACCCTCATTCTTCGGAGAGCTACGAGCGGGACCTAAGGGTCAACGCATATGCCGCCAAATCCGATGGAGAGTCGCCTGGATCTTCCGGCTCGAGCACTGTTGGCAGTTATGCTGACAGTGAAGGCCCTGCGAGTACTAAAGCGATATCTGCCAGACCTAAGAGGAAAGCTAGCTCATTGAAGCTTGGAAACTCGAAGAAGCAACGCAGGAAAGGCCCGACAACGAGCAAGGCACAAGCACCAAGCTGGAGCCGATCTCTAGGAAATGCACACGGGCCAATCGCTATCGCTAATGTAGCAATCTCGGCAGTTCCAAATCCTAATATCGGACTTCCCAGTCTACGAAGCCTGCATCTCTTCAAATCTTTGTACACCAGACATCACCTCATTCGAAAGAGTTGGATGGAGGAAGAAACGCGACCGAAGCACATCGCGTTCCGCGCCCATCAACGACACGTCGTCACTTGCCTTCAATTCGACACGGACAAGATCCTTACTGGCAGCGATGATACTAATATTAACGTTTATGATACAAAGTCGGGAGCGCTCCGCAGCCATCTTGAAGGGCACGAGGGGGGAGTATGGGCTCTGCAATATGAGGGCAACACATTGGTTTCTGGCTCAACTGACAGATCGGTGCGGGTGTGGGACATCGAGAAGGGCAAGTGCACACACGTGTTCCAAGGCCATACTTCTACAGTCAGATGCCTTGTCATTTTAAAGCCAACGCCGACTGGAGAGATTGTGGATGGCCAGTCGGTTATGATGCCTAGAGAACCACTCATCATTACGGGTTCCCGGGACTCGAGCCTGCGGGTTTGGAAGCTCCCTCAACCTGGTGAGCGTTCTATCATTCAGACTGGTCCGCCGGCCAACGATCACGACAACCAGTATTTCATCCGCGCCTTGACTGGCCACCACCATTCTGTGCGAGCTATCGCTGCACATGGAGACACCCTCATCAGTGGTAGTTACGACTGCACCGTTCGTGTTTGGAAAATATCAACCGGTGAAACGGTTCACCGCCTTCAAGGGCACGCACAGAAGGTATACAGCGTTGTTCTGGACCATGCTCGCAAGCGGTGCATCAGTGGATCTATGGACAATATGGTAAAGGTTTGGTCGCTTGAGACTGGTCAATGTCTATTCAACCTTGAGGGCCACACGTCACTCGTCGGGTTACTCGATCTCAGTCATGAACGTCTCGTTTCTGCGGCTGCGGACTCTACCCTGCGCATATGGGATCCGGAGAATGGGCAGTGCAAGAGCACTCTTAGTGCGCACACTGGTGCTATCACCTGCTTCCAGCATGATGGACAGAAAGTCATCTCAGGATCGGACCGCACGCTCAAGATGTGGAATGTCAAGACTGGAGAATGCGTCAAGGATCTTTTGACTGACTTGAGTGGCGTTTGGCAAGTCAAATTTAATGAGCGACGGTGTGTTGCGGCGGTGCAGCGTAACAACATGACATACATCGAGGTAAGGAGCGAATCCCGGATTACATGCTGCAAACAAGCTCTGGAGCTAATCACTTCTCTAGGTCCTTGACTTCGGCGCTTCCCGAGATGGCGTCCCAGCCGACCAGCGTGGCCGCAGGATTGTTGTCGATTCCAAAGGTCGCGAAGTTGAAGATCTCGACGACTCCCGAACTCGGGGAACTGAAGATATCGAGGAGGTCATTGACGCGGACGCGCCATGATCTCTCGTCAGCCTGAGGATCCTTACTTGATGATTATCGGCAATTCAGGTCAAAATACGGCTTCACGAGATCTTCAACGCCAACTGCTGCATCCTTCAATAACGAAGGCCCAGCTCTTCATCGGCGAAGATAAGCCACGGAGGACGTTCATTGGGAATATCTGGTTTAAGGCTTGCTGGCCTTGTTCTTGTTCTTTTGTCTAAGTGCTAAGCTGTGATACCCTCTTTCGCGGCATCGTCCGAAACTTCGGAGGCATCGGCCTCACACCTGCATCAGCGTTATTGGGGCGTTAAGCGTGAGATGGGCGGACACCACTGCATGTTTACGGAGTTTGCTTTAAAGGTTTTATGGTGCAGCGGGCCGGTGGGCCTGGCGTGTATATATAGCTATTGGAAAACCGCCTAGTGAGCGTCAAAACTGAATAACACAAATTACGATCTTGAATCTCTGTATATGAAGTCGTGAGAATCTGCTGAGGACTTCCCTCGATTTGAAGTCATCTTGGATTTTTATGGCATTCAGAAGAGCTTCAGATAGCGTCAAAAGCACAAGGCAGTTGTATCATAAAATGTGAATTCTTACCCCTAGTAAGAATTGTGATGCAGGCGGGGGAGGATGAGCTCATTCCACTTCGCAAACAAACGCCACTGCGCAAAATCATCATCCACAACAAAGTCCTCACTGCCGACCTCTCACTATGCGCGAAGCTTACAGCAACACCGAGAAGCTTTCCTAATGCCATCTTACTTTTTCCATCTCGCATTTGAGCTTTATCCATACCCCACCGGCCGTGCGCAACAGCCATCCACGACTTCGCTGCAGCCTGTCTATACACCTCCGTTAGGTACCGACATATTCACCTCCGAGCTTCCTGTCCACAGGGTCTCTTCCTGGGGCTCTGCACCTAGTAGACCGAGCCACCGTCGATCCAAGACCGCTACCTCGAGCAGCGATCTTCCCCCTCTATCCACGTCGCAGGCTCGACCACTGGCCCAGCGGAGGCTCAGTCACCTCAACGGACACTCCTCCGGGGATCACCGCGAGAGTCCAGTACCTCTGGTCAAACCTGCCTCAAGCGGTACACGTACACAGCACCCGGCTTCGCAGGACTGGCGATTCGGCAGTGTCTCAATCCAGAGCATAGATATGAGCGCAGTCACGAACGGAGGGGATAACAGGCCGCGGGGAAAATCACTGAATCATACAACTCACGTTGGGGCAAGCTCTGGAGGTCTAGCAACCAAGGGCAAATTTGTTCCTTCGGATCCCAAGAATACAGAGGTTGGGTGGGGAGTGGTGCATCTATATCGAGATGGCCAAGAGACGCCAGATTTATACGATGATACAACGTCAAACACAGGGCCGGAAGGTGTAGGAGCTGGTGGAGGATCAGATGGGAGGGCTTTCACGGAGGAAGACTGCACCACGCTGTGTATTCTCGCCGTGCCATCGTACATGACACCGTCTGACCTACTTGGATTTGTTGGAGAGCAGACGAGGGAAGACGTGAGCCACTTCAGGCTAATCAGGACTGGAAGAACGAACAAGTACATGGTGCTTATGAAGTTTAGGGAGGCTCAGAAGGCGAAACAATGGAGAAAGGAGTGGAATGGGAAGCTTTTCAACAGCATGGAGGTAATTTTATTTCCAATTCGTGCTCATGAGGTTGATGCTAATAAATATCATAGCCCGAGAACTGCCATGTCGTCTTCGTAAAGTCTATCGAGTTTCAAACTGCGGATTCTAACCGCGATCCGTCGAGTTTTCCAAATATGAACAACGATCCTTTCACACCTGCTGCCACGCCTCAACCGACTGCACCTTTACCAGTAACGGTTTCTTCCCCAGTTGAGACGTCGCCGCTTGCCTCATCTCTCACTACCAAACCACTAGCTCCGCCCACACCCTCACTTGTAGAGCTCCCAACATGCCCGGTCTGCTTGGAACGGATGGATGAAACAACAGGTCTTCTTACCATCCTGTGTCAGCATGTTTTCCACTGCGCTTGTTTAGAGAAGTGGCGAGGCAGTGGATGTCCTGTATGTCGATACACCCAGAATGATGCGCTGATCGGGCGTGGTCACGGTGATGGAGAAGCCCCTGAGAACGAGTGCAGTGTCTGCGGATCAACATCAAACCTGTGGATCTGGTACGCATAGCCTTACTTTTTTTCAAGGATTACACACTGACATTTGCCAGCCTTATCTGCGGCAGCACAGGGTGTGGTCGATACGATTCCGCCCACGCCTTCGCCCATTATGAGGCAACGTCGCACTCATACGCGATGGACGTCGTAACCCAACACGTCTGGGACTATGCTGGCGATGGTTACGTCCATCGCTTGATTCAAAACAAGGCCGACGGGAAACTTGTAGACCTCCCTGCATCCTCTCTACGGCATCCATATCTTCCGGGCGATTCGAACACGATGACTGGCTACGCAACAGATACCGTGCCGCGAGAGAAGCTAGACAATATGGGCACCGAATATGCCTACCTTCTCACGTCGCAGCTAGAATCTCAGCGAGCCTATTTTGAAGAACAGGTTGAACGCGCAGCGGACAAGGCAGCAAAAGCGGCCTCCGCAGCAGATGAGGCCTCTCATACAGCTTCGGCGCTGTCTCAACAGTTCTCAGCGCTGTCTTCGAAGTACGATGAGGCGCAGGCATCCATCAAGAGTCTCGAAAGGGACTCTGCTCGTCACGCTGCGCGCGCAACATCGGCGCAAGAGCTAGCTAGGAAGCTCACGAAGCAGTATCAGGAAGAAAAGACGATCAACGAGTCCCTCATGACGCGGATCTCATTCCTGGAGTCCAAGGTCACGGAAGCGGAGACGAAAGTCAAGGACATCGAGAAAGAGAAATCGGACTTGGAAGAGCAAAACCGTGATCTGAGCTTCTTTATTAGCGGCCAGGAGAAGCTGAAGGAGATGCAGGAGAACGAGGTTTTGGGACTGCAGGACGGAGAAGTGGAAGCGGGGAAGATGGAGCTTGGCCCGGGCAAAGACGAGGAGAAGAAGGGGAGGAGAAAGGGGAAGGGGAAGCAGCGAGTGTGATCGGCTGCTGAACCGGTGGAATTAATGGCGTTGGGAGGAATATGATACCCTCGGGCGGGCCCTATATTGAAAGACTCTTACCTAGACAGTTAGATATCACAATAAGAAACCATGAACTTGGAAAATTTGGTACTTCTTATGTTAAGGTTCTAGATACTGCATAGTCACGTGCTCTCAATTCTCGATCCACGACTAAGCTTTCGACAGCTTCAAAAAACCTTTGTCGAAAGTTTGTGAACCGAAGAGTTGCCAGAATTTCCTCTTAGATTGTAAATGGGAAGCAGTTGAGAGCTAGAATGAGCACGTGATGGCTTTGAGAGGAAGGTCTTGGCGTTACAAGGGTTAAGCGAGGTGTAGAGGACAGTGATGTTCTTCACCTCCACATGCCAGACCCACCTAAGCGAGAATATTCACGTGACCGAGAGTGCCTAGATCATTCCCGTCCTCGAGAGGGAAGCGACAACGCGCTTTCCAAGCATCAAACCTTGCAGCATCAGTGTCATGGAGTGCTACTAGTAAGTAGGAACGGCGCAATTATTTCAGAGCAATTTAGTGAGCCTTCCATCTGTATCAGAGCTTCGTAAATTAGCCAGTCAGATCCGAGTGACAAATAAAGAGGTAAATAAGAGATATATTTTCGTTGCTTCTCTACTTCTGTACCATCACATTCTCTGACAAATGGTATGGACCTAACCTCCTTCTTCCAATGAATGCTGAAGCCCCTGGCGTACATGGCGAGAAAGGAGTGCGGCTTTCCCAGACGAGTTTCCTGCTCTGCAAAACGATAGGCCTAGCTCGCCCTTCCTGGACTCGTCGATATATTAGATGTTTGACAAGGCTGTCCTGTTTGTCACAATCTAAAGGACGTGCTATTCCTGATCGTCCGACCTCTCGAATCGCATCTCATGAAGGATTCCCCTGGCGAAGCTCGTATCAAGCCCGGATCACACCACGATGCCCTATCCTCCACGTCCGGCTGGCTGGGCGATGTTCCTCCGTGCTCGACAAGAGCTGTTAGTGCATTGACGGGCTGCGGTCGGTGGATGTGACTCGTGATAAGGCGTGGTGTCTAAGACGTGATGGAGTGACCTGGGCGGCGATTGGCTTGCCCGGGCGCTTACAAGTGTGGAGAAGCAAAAAGCCACACCAGGACCGTGCCGTTGCGGGTGACAAGGCTACGGCGAGGCATGAGGGCATTCAAGTCGCGAATAGGATGCCATTTACAATCGCTCGTCACAATTCTTATCCTCAAGGCTATGCAGACAGGGTCCTCAACGCACAATCACGGCGGGAGGGACCCCTCGTGGTGCTGGCATCATGCCTCATGCAAGCTTGGACTGTCAGTCCCCAAAAGCCCCCGCGTAGTGCCGTCCCAGTGCGCCTATCGGCAGCCCTGCTGGCCTAGCCGGCGGTAAAGTCGATGCATGTTCCTGGCTTGAATCACCAATGTTGCCCACGGCCATCCAATGAGGGCTGCCAGCTGCTGTATCCCACCTCGACTGGCCCAAGGGCTGCGTCCACCAAACCCTCCAGACCGCTGCGAGTCGATATACATAGCCGCTGCCCCTACAAATCGCCGCGATGCCCGTTGTTACACTTCGCCTGCCCCTCCGCTTCGTTGCACGTCGCAAACGTCGTCGCAGCGAGAGAAGACCAGCCTGGCAACCGCCATATAACCATGTTCAGCTGTGTGGGAGTAATCTCATCACTCCTCCTGCTGGCCCACCACGCCTGCGCTGAGCCCGGTTTCATCTACAACGCCCCAGCTCCCTCTCCCGAGGACGGTCCTCCCCTCTCCGCCCACGCATCGCGAAACAGAAGACTCCTCCCGGCCCAGATCTGCGGCATTGTCGGCGCCTACGTTGTCACCGTACTTATCTGGGGCGTCCTGCTCCTCACCATCGGCCGGAAGATGAGACGCAACACAGAGACCTCGCCCAAGTCGCTGGACATTGAGCTGGTCAAGGCCCGACCCTACGTCAACGCAACCCCATTGTCGCCGCTATCCTCCAAGTCTGCGACCTCGTGGTTCAAGCGAGGCTTCAAGAAGAGCACCACAAGTGTGAACAGTGTTGCCAGCAGCCCCATCAGCCCCGACGACGCAAAGAGTCCTACTTCTTTCGACCAAGCCATCGTCGACTCTGCCAAAGCACAACGCCAGTCCGAGATGGAACGACTCTATGCGGCAGTCATGGACCATGACGCCAAAAAGAATTCATATAGCGCAGTTTCGACCGCAACACACGATAGCGATGAAGATGATAGCCGGGCGAAGAACCAACAAGAGCAAGCACAGAGCCCGCCCAGAGGTGCAAGGAAGCTACCTCCAATGATCAATACATCAGGAGAGGGGAGACTCGTCATGCCGAACTACAGCAACCCTACGAGCCCTACCAGTCCCCGAAGCCCTGTCAAGGCCATTTACCCACCGAATTTCCACCAGCCTCCTGCGACTGCGCCGCTACCCCGCGCACCATCCAGTCCATCCAAAACGATTCCCGCCAGCCCACGCAGTGTATTGTCAAAGAAGGACCGAACACCGTCTATGAGCTCCGCAAGCAGCAAATCGCGACTTGGCTTGAAGAATCTGCGGATTTCTGGACCCATTCAGAAGTACCCTGGCGAGAGCGTCTACGATGAGGCACGCACACCCCTCTCTCCCCGCTTTTACAACCCTCCTGCGCCACCATCTCCCCCGGATATGTCACCAATTACTCCCGCATCCCCTGAAGGAGACTACACGTATGAAGGTCTTGACAAGGTGCAACCACTACCTCGTCCAGCGCCGCAACGTACTGGTTCCTCCTACAGCAACCCACCAGCCATTGGGTCTGCGCCTACTTCATCGCCCGGGAAGTCTGCTGGAGGGGCTCTGCCCTTCCGCGCTTATGGTGACGGAGCCGCCGCCTTACCGTCCACCAAGACCACATATCTTGACCGAAGGCGAGACCAGCTGTCTCTGCAGACGCCCCGTACAGGTGTGCCTGCCACCCCATACAGTCCCTACATGCCTTTCACGCCCATTACACCGATCACGCCTCATCTGGTCGGCAAGAAGGAGCGCAAGGCGATGAAGAAGATGGAAGGGAAGAAGGTCGCGACAGAGAATGACATTGTGCAAAGTCCGAAGGAGATTTTTGGAGACGCGTGGTAATTTGGGTGTGGGCACGACGATTTGGAGCAACATGTCTCTACCATTTCAATGTACAATTTTTCCTCTTCATAGCCTTGACAGGCACTGGGACGGCGTTGCATTATTGGATTATGTGGGAAGCGAATCAGGGGATGCCCGGCTGAATGGTCGTTGGCAGGCGGAGTTTTTGTTCGAGGAGACTTCGTTTTAACGATTTTGCTGATGATGTTTATTTACAGCACGCATTTGCATATATATACATGGCTATACGCCTTTTTTTAGACCACAATTGAGTCAAGGATTTACACCTATCAACTCCCTTAATTCACGCCAATCATTCACGGAGCCCCGAGGAAGCTTAGCAACTCTTATCAGGTGCATCAACCAAAGGCATAGCCAGATAGCGTATGGTCAACCTGGGCTTTACCTAAAGTCCGATTCACACTACACTTGGCTTGCAAAACATCCTTGCAATATTGCCGTTTTGTACGACTTTGGGAAGTATGCTTGCGCTAACCCGATCCTTGGCGGAGTTACTGAGCATAACGCCGGGATATTGTGAGGTGACTTATTTCCCACGTCGCTATAAAGCAGCCAAAGAAACCTCGTTTAATCCATCAAAATCTAATCATCAATTACTCTTCGATACTCTTACAATAACTCCGTAGAAACAAGCCACCATGTCTCTCATGCCCCCGCCCGGACCCCCAAAGTCCCTTCTCGGACGACACCGCCAGCTCGCGCCCACCGCGGCCGTCAAAGTCAGCCCCATATGCCTGGGCGCGATGACCTTTGGCGACAATTGGAAGGACGCTCTGGGCGAGTGCAACAAAGAGACGTCATTCGCCTTGCTGGACTACTTCCACGAGCAGGGCGGCAACTTCATCGACACGGCTGTCAACTACCAGTACGGCCAGAGCGAGCAGTGGATCGGAGAGTGGATGGAGAGCCGCGGGACGCGGGACGAGATGGTGATTGCGACGAAGTACACGGGGACTATCGCACACAGCTTGCAGAAAGAGGGGTTGATTCATGCAAACTTCGGGGGGAACAACTCGAAGGCGATGCATCTGTGCGTTGAGACGAGCCTGAAGAATCTGAAGACGGACTACATTGACTTGGTAACTACAATTCCCTTCCTCACCTCCCTCCTCCTGTTCTCCCTTCCTTTTCCCGTTCGCGGAATCCCAACGCGACTCAAATACTGATGAGAAGCCAAGTACTACGTCCACCTCTGGGACTACACAACCTCGATCCCCGAGCTCATGAAGTCGCTCGACAACCTCGTCGTCGCGGGCAAAGTGCTCTACCTCGGCATCTCCAACACCCCGGCCTGGCTGGTCGTCAAGGCCAACGACTACGCGCGGCAGCACGGCCTGCGCCAGTTCTCCGTCTACCAGGGCCAGTGGAGCGCCGCCACGCGCGACTTTGAGCGCGAGATCATCCCCATGTGCCAGGCTGAAGGCATGGGGCTCGCGCCCTGGGGCGCGCTCGGCGGGGGGTCGTTCAAGCTGCCGGGCACCGTGACCGAGGGCGGTAGGAAGCTGCCGCTGATGCAGGTCCACGCCGAAAATGTAACCGTGGTGTTGGACAAGGTGGCGAAGAGGAGGGGGACTGCTCTTACGAGCATAGCACTGGCGTATGTGATGCATAAGACACCCTACGTCTTTCCCATCTGCGGTGGGCGGAAGTTGGAGCACTTGAAGGGGAATATTGAGGCGTTGGGGATCCAGCTGAGCCAGGAGGATATTGACGAGATCGAGGCGGGTAAGTCGAATCCCCCTTCCCTTTTTGCTGAGAAGGCGTTGAGAATGGTTGGAACTGACGATGGTCGACAGCATACCCATTCGATATCGGCTTCCCGCACTCTATGCTGAACGGCGCCAACAAGATGATCACCGGACCCGGCGACGTCTCGTTCGCGTCGCGGATGGGATATTTCGATTGGGTGGAGAACCCGAGGCCGATTCCAGCGCATCAGGGCCCGTTGGAAAAGATGCATACGCCGCCGCCGTGGATAACGACGAAAAAGGAGGACTAAGGAATGGAATGGACCTCTGATGTATGAGAAAGAAAACAAGTAGAATACCCCTGCAAAGTGCGTAAAATTTGATGCATAAAAAGTCTACTTGCCTATCTCATAACTACCTGCCCACCAAAAAAAGAAAGGGGCCAGTCAAAGTCCCACAGCCGCAACCATGTATCGCCAAAAATTTGATCCCCAGATATGCTGCTAGCAAAACGAAATGCTTCCACACGGATTTGAACCGTGGACCTCGGCATGACAGTAAGGAGATACTAGTGCCGCGCTCTACCAACTGAGCTATAGAAGCGGTGAATCCATTTGATGCTGATTGGCTGAATAGGAACTGGGCGAGGAAAATTTGTGTATATGACAGAAGACTTTGAGGAGGAGAAAGTCATTTTCGTTGGAGTGGAGGGGGGAGAATAGTATTGATTGGGTATGAGGAGGAGATTTCTCTTGGAGGGATGATCAAGCGTGGTCTTCGTAAAGCGTAAGTGTGCGTCACGTGAGAGACATGTGATTATGAAGCCAACCGCCGCCCTCTGGGCTCTACACTTTCCTTTCAACAACAGCCAAAACTTTCCTTTCCAAACAGTCATGTGCTAAGGCATCCGCCACCCCACCTGTAGTGGGGCACGCAGAATGATTTTCTTGACCTCAGTCTGATGAGAAATGAATGCGTAGAAAGCAGGGCTTTTATAGGATATTCTTGTACATACTCTACGACAATATTGTTTTGGGCGTCATTTGTAGGTAAACCTTTGGTGATTCAAGTTGCACATCCTCTCTTACGCTCACCTTTTCGGCACTGGCGGTATCATCTTCAATTCCGCAAACTCATCCAGCACCTTCCGTATCGACTCGGTGGTATCAACCGTGCCGAACCATCCCAGCTTACGGCTCTTATCCATGCTGTATGGAATCCAAGTTGTCAGTAAACATCATTTGCGCCCCATAGCAACATTCAACTCCTCCCACAGCATGTAACAGCAAGAGAAATGAAATGAAAGAAAATGAACATACCTATAATCCGTCTCCACACCCCCCAACGCGCCCTCCGTAAACGCAAACAACCTCTCCACATCCCACAACTCCCCATGCACCAACCCCCACCTCTCCGCCACCTCCCCCCACGCCCTCCGCACCCTCTCCGTCTTCGCCCACGCCGTCAACCCCATCTTCCTCCGCTCCCACTCCTCCCCATCCCCCGGCCCCAGCACCTCCATCCCATACCACCCCGCCAACGCCTCCCACAGCCCTCCCCACGTAAACGCGCTGCCATCACAGCAGTTAAACTTCTCCCCCGCCGCGTCCTCGTCGCGCACAAACACAGCCCACTCGGCCATGTACGCGTTCAGCATCGCCGAGCTCTGGCACTGCGTCGCGCGCCACCCGGCGGCCGTGCCGGGGTAGACGAGCGGCTCGGCGAGGTGCGCGCCGACGGCGGCGTAGATGCCGAGGGGCAGGACGACGTTCATGGCGGCGTCGGGGACGGCGCCGGGGATGTACGAGGGCATCGTGATGGTGTAGGAGGTGTGCTGCTGGGTGGCGCAGAAGGCGGCGAGGAAGTCTTCTTGGGTGTAGTAGAAGTTTGGGGCGAGGAGGACGCGGGGGAGGGATTCGCGGAGGGGTTTGGGGGTCTGGGGGAGGACGTGGGCGCTGGGGGAGGGTGTTAGAGGGGGTTGCGTAAAAAGGGGGAGGGGGTGGTACGGACCCGTAGTTTTTGGCGCCGGTTTGGAGGAGGATGCGTTTGGGGTTGATGGAGGCGAGGGGGAGGGAGTCGCAGAAGTTGGAAAGGAGAGCAGCTACGCGTTCTACAATCAGCCATCGTCCGTCTGCATGTCAGGAGCTCTTCGTACTGTTCACTCGACACATCTCTTCCGCGTCGGACCAGAGTCTCTCTCCTGGCTTCGGTGCTACCTGGATGTACGCGAAGAAGAACACGTAGTCACTGTTCTCATCAGCAGGGGCCCAGAGCACATGAGCACATGGCGACAAACGCTGTAACTCCCTTCGATTTGAGCACCTCCGCGATCTCACCCGGTTTCTTCAAGAGGTCAAGAGCAATATGCTCGGCATTGCTTGGAAGCCCTCCCGGAATCGCTGGAGGTCGTCTCGATAAGCAATATATCTTAGTCCACCTATCTGGGTCCTGAGCCAAGACACGAAGCATATGGTAACCGGAGATTCCATTGGCGCCTGTGATGATGGCGGTCAGGCCTTTAAGCTCCTTCGGGTAGACTGGGAGGCCGTGGTAGATGCTGCGGGATTGAACTTGATGGATAGTCATTTTGGGGATGTATTGAAGGGTTCGGAAAGAGACAAAGGAGTCCTGGGCCAATGGTAGAGTGGAAACTGCTTAAATATAATTTGGAGATGGTACCTTTGTACCGAGGTCGTGTTGCTAGATGTGACGTCAGTATCGAGTAGTTATTGAGATGTGTGGGCGTACTTTCTAAAATAGTAACCCGAACACCTCCCTGCAGCAACAGCATGACGACTGTAGGGAGGGATGTTGAAGCGGGGTTTGAATTTCCGAGGGCCGACTAAGAATGTGTAGTGATGTTAATATGCTACATGCTCTGGTATCGAGAACTATGCTCCACATCCAGGCTCGCCGTGGAACATGGCGAGGCCCCAGAGGCAATTATACTTCAAGGGTTCTTTGGAGACAACCAAAGGTAAGACCAAATCATCATTTACAACAGTTATATTTCCTTCCACTAGCGCGGCCGCTAGCGAGACTATGTTTAAGCAAGCAGATGCACGTTACTATGTAAACAAGTAGCTGTCGGAGAGCGCGCAACTATCATGACCGCATATGATTTGGTGGATTTCCTAGGCCCGGCCTGAGAAGACAGGAGGATCGGTAGCAAATGGTGAGGAAGGGGGGCTATGAAGGACAACTCTCCACTCTACACCATTAATTGGCGCCTGTAGAAGGTTGAAGCTTGGCAGCTAAACCAAAACAAGATGTTCGACGAATAGATTCGGATAAACGAGTTCGAACTTTCCCAAACGAGTGGAGTTCATATGCTGAATGCTTTTCGTGCAAGAAGCGGAAAAGGATTGCTCTAGAAAATCTGCGCGTTGATTTATTTAGTTTAACAGGGCCTAAAATGAATCTGAACCGATATCATTTGTTGTATAGAGCTCTGGAGTCTCGCGAAGTGAACCCTCTCGTACTCAAACCTGCATGTCGTTTCCTTCTTCCTAGCCCTGAGGTATAATGCATACATTCCCTAAACACCATACGCCTGAATGCCGCTTTCCCATTTCATTGGTATTGTACATGGCCAGAAGCGTTATCTTGTCACTTCAACTATGCACCCCCGAGACCACACATATCACTGCCGTGCTGTTGATCATTCAAAGGGGTTCTTGGGTGGCTGCTGAGCTGGAGGATCGGCGAACGGATTGGCGGCTGGACCATCATGCGCAGATTTGACTGGCGCACCCGAGTAGTATTCGGCGGATTCACCCGATGTTGCAGGAAGCTCGACTGCCGTTGTTGAAAGAGTTGATTTGTATTGTGGAGCTGGCATCCGCTCGGGCTCCGGGTGATGGTATTGTGGAGGCTCAGGAATCGGCGTAGGATTAAATTGTAATGATTGATTGTGACCGTACTGCGGTTGGGCCTGGACTAAGGGCACACTTGCGGGATTGGCAGTCGTGCTTTCGCCATGGCCTCGCTGTTTGCGGCTCTTCCTTTCTTTGATGAAAATGACGAGGGAGTAGATGAGGAGGGCGAGGAATGAGGCGCTGGCAGGGGATTAGATATGTCCAAAGAGAGTTACATTAATTGAAATTGGAAAGGATACTTACAAGACAAGAATGGTGCCAAGGAGGCCTATACGATTGACGCCTGGTCGAGCAAGGGCCACTATATCAAGGACGAGGATGACGGTCCAGATGGTAGTTTGAATGACGTTGAAGAGAAGAAAGGCTCCGGGTTTCAAGGAGTGTTTAGCAAACATAATCATCGCCATGATGTCCAGGAGCAAACAGATGATCAGTAAGAGCATGAAGAGAATAATCACGCCCCATGACACGTTCTCGATATCGTGCCTGGACCGAATAATAACGATAGCCCAGATGTAGATTCCGATGAGGAAGACCATGAAGCTAGTGCGAAAGGCCCAGAACGGGAACAGAACGCGCTTCTTCCATGGTGTTGTCTGCGTAGAGGCCATAATGTCGAAGGCCGGAGACGGCGCTGCGGGAATGATCAGAGGGGAGTGCTGGGAATTGAGGGTGGACGTGTCGTCTTAAGGGGTGAACGAGACGAAGGCAGCGAACGAGTCCACCGCGATGGTTTTGAGGTTGAAGGAAGAGGGGCGGTGCCCCAAGAGGAGGTAAAGCCTAACACCTGTGCCGTCCTCAGCCCCACATGGGTGTGTTTCATGGTGAAGGGTGGAGAGGAACGCGCTTGTGGCGCGCGTTCATGCCTGGCGGCCATTTTAATTTCCAGCATTCTCTCGTTAGGTCATCGGTTCAGATGCAATTGAGAGAAATCTCACCCGCTACGGTCTTTATATCCGACCACTTTCCGTCTCGAGAGAATCCCCGGGGCTAACACCAGCCTGCAAACCCTGTCGGTTGTTTTGCTGATGTTATGATTTCGTCGAGCTACCTACAAAGGTACATAGCCTAAGCACTTGGTAAACAATGCCGGCCGGGGCCCCTGCAGGAGTGGCTGGAGGTGTGGCGCGGCTTAGTTCCAGCGGAATCTCAACACCATGCCCCACAAATTTTTCTATCACCGCTGACACCCGCTACGCTATTTGGACGTCCCTCGGTGAATTGAGCCTCGATATACCCTAGACTTGGCTCTCAGCCTTCGTCAACGCAGACATGGCCCACTCCAACCTCTCGTCGCCCCTCAGCTCTCCCTCCGCCTCGATAGTCGCCACACTCTTCTACAAGTCCGCAACCCCGCAGCACGCCCACGCCCATGCCGACTCCGCGCCTCACAGCCCACGGGACGCCCTCCCACCCACAACCCTCCACCACCTAACAGACGGTGCCATCCCGACCGAGAACCTCTCCTCCTACCCCCTCGAGCCCCCGACCCCCGGCCCGAGCCCACTCGACCACCTCTACGGCTCCTACATCTCGCAGTCCTGCCTCACGGACTTCCTCGCAACCCTCGGAAAGCTGATGCCTGGCTTCGAAGAAAACTCTGTGCAGACGCGGAGCCTCGATGCGCCCGCGCCGGGCTCGAAGGGCTGCCGGGTGATGGAAATAACCATCGCGCTGCCTCCGTCCTCGTTCATAACGCTGGATGCCCTGCGCAACGACGAGGTGGTGTCGCGGTTTGAGCGCGAATGGAACGTCGAGGCGGTGTTCCAGTATAACAGCGTGTACCGGCGGCACAAGCGCTTAGCGGTCTTCGACATGGACTCGACGCTCATTGCGCAGGAGGTCATTGACGAGATAGCGCGCGAGCTGGGCGTTGAGGACCAGGTGTCTGCGATCACAGCTGCGGCTATGAATGGCGAGCTGGACTTTGAGGCGTCGCTGCGGAAGCGTTGCGCCTTGCTCAAGGGTGTCCCGAGCACGGTTTGGGAAACGTTGAAGCCACGGATAACGCTTAATTGTCGGAGTGGGGAGCTGGTGCGCGCGTTGAAGCGGCTGGGATATAAAACGGTGGTGCTGAGTGGTGGATTTACGCCAATGACGGGTTGGTTGGCGGGATCGTTGGGGCTGGATTATTTCTATGCGAACAATCTTGTTGTAAGTGACGACGGGCAGACCCTGACGGGCGAATTGACCGGAGATATTGTGCATGCGGAGAGGAAAAGACAGCACGTGCTGGATATCGCGAAGAAAGAAGGCGTGATATTGGACCAGGTTTTGGTCGTTGGTGACGGCGCAAATGATCTGCCTATGATGAGCGTAGCAGGATTAGGAGTTGCTTTCAACGCGAAGGCGAGGGTGCAAATGGAAGCGCCAGCAAGACTCAACTCGCAAAGTCTGCTAGATATATTGTATCTGCTAGGTATTTCGAAAGAAGAGCAGGACGTTCTACTCAGGTAACATTGGCGATGAGCAGTGCATGCGTTGTTCAACCATACAAGAGTCTAACCTTGGCTCAACGCCTTGAGAGCGATGTCGTTATTAGATGGCTGGTATTCACTTACACTCTCAGATGACATGTGGTAAGCTTGGTTTTTGTTATGTTTAGCAGAGGCCCAATATACCGACATTTCAAGATTTCGAACCTTCTATTTCGCATAGCTATTCCATGTTGAAGGTGTTTTTATGTGCTCCATTAGCGCTCTGGAAGTTTTCATCAACTGCCTGCTGATATTTAAGAGCGGATTTTCTTTTGGTGGCTTGGCATGCAAAGCTGCGTCCTGTCACTATCTTGACACCCAGTTCTGAGAAACTTCCGAGAACCAGGCCAGCATCCATGAAACTCATCTATTAGACCTGACATAGCATTACCGCTATCCGACTATCGCTCTAACCATCTCTTGCAGTACATCCCTATTCCAGGTAGTCCCCACCCGTCTCCTTATGTATCACATCAAACATCGGCTTCGCACTGAAATAGCCCGCCTTGGGCGTCCCAATCGCCTCGTACGTGAACTTCGCATCCTCCTCATGAATCTTCACCGTCTCGCCTCCCCTCCCCTTTGCCGCCGCATCCGCCATCAGCTGCGCATGGCAGCATTTCTCCATGCTCACGAACCAAAACACAGTCTCTTCCACAGTGCCGCCCACGGTTAGCAGCCCGTGGTTCTGCAGCAGCGCGGCCTTGTTGTTCCCGAGCGCTTTGGCGATGTTCTTCCCCTCTTCTTCGACGAGCACGATGCCGTTGAAGGAGTCGTAGAGGACGTGGTCCTACTCAATATCAGCCCCCGAACTCTACTCTCCCTTCCCCTTTCTCAAAAACTCGAAATAATCGATCCAAGTATAACTTTCAAACTCCCAACCACGATAGTACCTACATTATGAAAAGCGCACGAGTCTTGCGTGATAGTATCCAGCTTCCGCCCTAGCGAGCAGAAACTCCGCCCATATATACTATGGCTATGCGCCGCAGCGTTCACATCCGGCCGCGCCTTGTGGATCGCGGAATGGATCCTTAAGGTGGTAATACACATGTTAGCGGGTTCTCATAAAGAAGGGGGGTTGAAGACAGATACTAGGTCCTCTAGTGTTGGTTGTCCTTGAGTGCTACTCAAATCGGATTCAAGATACCATTTTGGCTTGAGTTGATGCTCAAAGCGACTGAATTGGGTGCTCAAACGCGACTTAAGTGGGTATTTAAACACGACTTGTGTCGTGTTTCAACACAGTTCTAGGAATAATGATACCAGAGGACTCTGGTATGTGTATTAGGACCTTACGTACATATACGCCGCCGTGTTGAGCAGCCGCACCGGCCCGCCCTCGAGGATCTCGCCCTCTTCGCTGACGAGGATCAGGTCGGAGGCTTTGATGAGGCTGAAGGCGACGCCGAAGGGGTTGACCCAGAAGGTTTCGGGGTTGACGGGATCCTAGAGGGCGGGATACTCGTGTTAGTATTGGGATGTGGTTGAGCTTTAAGTCTCGTGACTAGGTTGAGGGGAGGCATACGCGCATGGTGATATGTCCCGCAACGCCCTCGTCGAAGCCATATTTCCCGAAGATCCGGAACGCGGCGGCGAGGCGGCCTTTAAGGTATGCGCGCTCCTTATACGGGTCGTCGAACTTGGGGGCGCGTGGCCAATGGGAGGTGGTGATCTTGTCTTTTACCTTTTTCTCGCTCAGGCCCGGCTCGTGAGGGGCGGCGGCCGTTGGCTTTATGGAAGAGCCATTGGACTCTGTGTTCGTTGCGGATGGGGGTGCCATGGTTAGAAATGAGAGGACAGAGTTGAGAAAAAAGAAGAGGTGTGATTAAAGATGGATGACGCCAGTGAACGATTTATGTTTATTTGGAAAGAAGCGCGTGGTGGTCTAATAAGTAATGGGATCGGTTCAGGGAATGCTTGCTTTTCCTACGCCCTATGTAGAAGCTCCGAGGTTCGCTCAGTCGAAAGGTGCATTTCATCGCGTGCATGATGCAAGAAGTGGGGGAGGAATGAGGGGTCCGCGAGAGTCTCCACTATGTCGAATCAGAGAGCTGTGGACCTCTTGGGCGCTAGATCATGCGTTGCGGAAATAAAATTAGAGGCGTGCTGATTGGAGGAGTCTTGACAGTAGAGTAGTGTAAAGAAGGCAGAAAATGTGCGAGGCTGAAAGAAGATAATTCAATGAGATCGTTGATGTCTTATATCTCGATACTGTGGGTGTCATTGAAAGAGGCCCTTCAGCTATTACCTGCCATATGAGATTCTTGAATCGAAGTTACGCCTCGTAGAAATTAAACTATAGTAAGAACTATAGGATCGCCCCAGACAGCGTCCAAAATGTATGAGAGAGACTCGAACACATAAGTCGGTCGTTCCCATAACCCAGCACCACTCCCATTGCCATAATAAACTGCTACCCATGACGTCTTAAACCACGGCTCCCTTCCTCTCTTCCATGCACTTCTCCAACTTCTTTATAGCCTCCTCAGCCAGCTCCTCTACCGTATCCACAAGAGTAATACCAAACCTATGACACACAACCTGCACATTCCCCCTCTTCCAGAACCCTTTCGGGCAACACACCACCACCTTCCCATCGCGCGCACGCAACCCAAGCTCCATCAGGGTGATCGGACTCGAGGTGTCAGCTACAAAACAAACAGCCGTAACATCGGCTGCCGCCATTTGGTCCAGCTCCCAGTCGACCTGTTCCTTGAACTGAGGATTCGAGATGTCTTCCTCCCAGCTGTTGTCCCAGTCGTCGCGTCGCGGGTTGAACACTGTGATGGGCAGGTGTTCGAGCTTTTTGGTTAAGGCTGTCTGCCAGTCGATGGCCTTGCCCCTTTCGATGCTGCCTGCGAGGAAAATGGACGCGGCTTGGATGGTTTTGGCCGAGCCCGGTGGCTTGCAGACGGTACATTTTGCATTAGGGGAGAGTGGGTTGTCTGTAGTAGCCATGCTGATTGTTTTGGATAGTGACGTTTATATGAGCGGTGTAGTCGTGGTCTGGAGTCGCTGGTCGCCTTACATGTACCTAAGGAGGCAGGTGGTCAGTGCTTATATATTCAAGGCACCAACAGGCTGAAAAGTAATACGCCAAACGCATGGTAAGTGGTAGGCGCATGTATACAAATATAAGGCTATGCGACCACATGTATAGGACACTATTAGAACAGATAGACCATCATGATATCCATTCTTACTGCTCCAACACCCTCCTCGCTCCATCCACAATCCTCTTAACCTCCGAAACCCCCCTCTTGACAGCCTCCTCCATTTTTTTCGTCGCTTTTTGCAAATCGTCCGGCCTTACACTCTTATCCACCTGAAATTTCCTCAACTTCTTGTGATGCGCCGCTCTCGCATCCTGCACCGCCGTCGTCGCTACCTCCCCAGCTTTATGCGCCGCCTCTAGCGCCGCCTTCCGCGACTCTCCCGTCGGTGGGGGTATAGGGACAGGAATCGAGAGCGGGCTATCTGGGTGCGGCGACTGCGGCGCCAAGTTGTACGGACTAGCCGCTATAGCAGAGGAAATAGGTTTGATATGCTGTACCCCACACAAATCCATTAGCGTCGCGACCGACAATCAAAAGCACACCAGATAGTCTTGACAAGCAATTGGATTTTCCGCTTACCTCCTTCTCGCCCACAATAACATTCAACACCCGCCCCTTGGGCACCACCTGCGCCAGCTCCTTCACCCTCGCCGTCTCCTTCCCCTCCCCCTTCCCTATTTGCACTTTCAACCCCTCAACTACGTCCGGGTTGAACCGCCCGCCCGACCGCAGCTGCGACAGGTCGTGCGTCAGCTTCTCCATCGCTTTCAGGATGTTCGATTCCAGCGGCGAGAGGTCGTAGGCCTGGTCCGTGGGCGTGTTCGCCGAGGCTTCGGTGACGGGCGGCGCCGAGTCGGTGCGGGCGTGCGACATGTTGGCTTTGCCGGCTTTTTTGTGGAGGGAGGGGGTTGTGGCGAAGCTTCTATGGGTGTTGGGATTGAGGTAGGCGGTTGTGGGGAGGAGACTGGGGATCGTTAGAATTTGGGCGGGTTTTTGTGCAATTGGGATTGAGGCGTACGTTTTTCGGGCTATGGAGCCTGTCCGTGATGGGGAGAAGGCGCGGATGGTGCTTTGGATCCATGGTGTAGGTGATGCTAGGTTGATTCGAGGCATGGTGATGGTGGGAGAATAGGAGTGGGACCACTGAGGAAGCTTGAGATGTGGGAGTGAAGCTCGGACCTAGAACACCAAGGGTCTCTACCCACTTTCGCGAGGATGTTACAATATTTTAATTATTTCTTATATCTAGCCGTGTTGAACAGTTGATGTATAGAGCGTCAGGTTTTGGGGTCTTGCTCAATTTGCACTATACGTTATCATTTTGCATCACTCGCTCAGCCATTATAAGTATCTATAGAGTTTGGGAAACTCTGAAACATGCCTTATATTCCTCAGTCTTCCTTTATTATATCCCTGTAATTTCCTAGAAGAAAAGTCTGTCTGGAGCTCTGCTGTACTCTCTATATCTTCGACATAATCGAGTTTCCGGTAACCCCAACACCTTGTAATAGCCGCCAAACCTCCAGCCCCCTTTCAAGCATCGGATCCTCCCCACACACCACCGTCCCTTTCGGCGTCAAAGTCCTAATATGCAGCGGATCCGTCGTACCCCAATCCATCTCCTCTCCATCCAAAAATTTCGCAAAAAGATCATGGAACGAATTCTTAATCAGACTCTTCTCCTTCTTCAGCAAGTTCTCCCCATTTCCCCACATCCAGATCGCGTAATCCGTCCCATGAGTGACACCCCATTCCTTCGGTAGGCGGTTATCGATACATCTCGCGCGCCACTCCATGCGATACCTGTATATCAAGTCGCCGGCGCCATGCTGTACAAGCGCGTTCACAAAACCGCGCTCAAGCATGTGGATCTGAATGTCTGCGTAGATGCGCCCAAATGCATCCGGCCAGTCTTTGCAATCGGCGGGGAGTTTGTCCTCGGGGTAGTAATACTTGATCAGGGCTTCGCACGCACGGAGCGGGTAGTCGGCCTGGATGCGGTTGAAGAGCGATTCCAGACTATTCTTAGGTGGCCGCCAGGTGCCGTAGATGAAGTGCTCGTCTCGGCACTCGCCGATCAGGAGCTTGATACCGCGCCGCTTCATTCGTTCGGCGAAGACGCCGTTGTCGATTTCTTTCATCAGGCCGTGGCGGACGAAGTGGCCGTCGGTTGTGGCGCGGAATTGGTGGTGTTTTACTCGCATGGTCGCTTTTATCAGTGTCGGCGCGTCTAGAGCTCGGAGTCTGGCTAGCTTTTCTGTGGAGGATACGCTCAAGGGGATTTTTAGCGCAGTCAAGAGCTCCTCGAATTGCTCTTGCGCCTCAGCGGTAGATTTCGGCTGAACACCAGGTCCATTCGACCACATGATGGCTCGCCGGACAATAGCTTTTGAATCTGGTAGTCCCAATTCGTATGCAAGTTGGTGAAATGTGGCATGCGACCCTGCGGAATATCCACCGATAGTGATATTAGAAGCATCGCCGCCGAAATAGCTGATGTTTTTGTGCGTCCACTCGAGCGCGAGCCGTATGTCCCAGAAGCCGACGTTCGAAACAATGTCATTAGAATCAAAGTTCTGGCCCAGCTCTTCAGATGCGAGGAAGCCGAAAACATTCAGTCTATAGGCGGGCAAGACGCAGATGAATTTCGCGGAGGTTTCGCTGAGCATCGCGCATAGATCTTGTCCATTAGGATTTCCTAATTGAAGGAATCCGCCATCTACATTCATCAGGACTGCGTCGTTTTTGGATGGCTAGTATAAACACTCACGGATATTAAAGAAGACGGGCCATCCTGGATGAAAGCGTCAGCATCCATGATATCATACGATTGAAATGGAACCAAACCTCCAGCCGGCGGCTCTCCTACAGGCATCCAAATATTACATTGCAAGCAATCCTCGTCCCAAAGGGTCATGTCAGGAAGATCGCTCTCAAGGCCTGGCTGTGGGCAAAGTGCAGTACCGCCGGTATATCGTCCTGGATTGGCTCTTGTCCCATAACGGTAGCATGAGGGTAGAGGCCTCGGTTTCCTCCATCGGAATGGACCTACCGGTGGAAGAGCGTATGGCACTCCTCCGAAGTAGTGGCAAGTAGGTTTTCCTTTGATTTGAAATGTGAGGCCCTCGATGAAACCGCGGAATTCTAAGTCGCGAACGCAAGGCTCTGAGGTTTTCGCCATCATATATACAATGACTACTGTACGACTTGATATGGTTTATGGGTGCAAGTAGGACTAGTTCGACTGTGACAGCACTAAAAGTCGTGCGTGCATGAGGGGACAAGGGAGGAGACGTCGTCCAGAAAGAAGCCTAGAACGTCCGTGCCGAGGGATCTTCATAATCCCTACTCCAGGAGAGTCAATCTTAGGAACGAAACGCAGAAACAATGATGCAATATATCATTTTACACCCAACAGATGTTTGCTGTATATCTGTGCTAAACACAGGACGATTGATGTTGTTGATTCTTTGCATCTCGCCCAGATCTCTGCGAGCCTGCTGAAGCCCTCCACATATAGAGCTCCCTTGACGTCGTTATGCAGGTTTATTACACATGTCACACTCGGAGGTCTAATTTAGCACGTTTGGAATTGTACATTGTATTTCCTTCTAGGTTACGTAGTTATATGGTCCCTAATTGCGTTACACAGGTGTCAAAGGTGATGAGGAAAGCTTTCAGGTCGAACCGTATTCTTAAGGGTATATTTACCACCGAAACCTGATTCTGTCCAAGTTGGTCCTCCAAAGTATACCCTCTTTCGGCACCAGTTCCACCAAAAGCCACAATTCCAACCATCATTCCGCCTAAACTTCTCACAGGAAGGCGGCCTCTCTGGCCTCCTCCTTCACCTTTTCGACCTCTTCTTGCTTGATTTCTCTAGCTTCTTCCGCATCATCTCCACCCTCTCCCGTACCCTCCCCAGCCCCCTCCAAGTCCGCAATCCGCTCCGCAAGCCTATCAACCTCCAGCTCCAGCGCCCCAATCCGCGCCCCCAGTACCTCCCACTGCGTCCTCAACTGCGCAGTCAAGCGTTGCAGCACCTCATCCTTCCACTCCTGGTTCCTCGCAATAGCATGCCGCAGCAGCTCAGAATCAGTAGGCTCAGCAGGAGTCGGCGATCCTCCATAAATATCCTGTCCACCATTAGAACGTCACGCTTCTGTAAATGAGACTCCGGCAGCCACTCACATCGAACTCGCGCCTCATCTTCTCCGACGAATTGACAAGTGCAACGAATCGGTCCGCATTGAACGGCACGATCTCTTCCTTTATCTGCGTAAAGCGTGTTTCTGAGATCTTGCCGCCAGAGCCGTCGGGGAGGTAGCCGCCGCGTGCGACGTAGGTCACGTAGGGGAAGTCGGCAGCAGTGGCCTCGCGTGGTGGGGCGTTGGTAGCTTCAGGATTGCTAGGGCCATGTGAAGTTGTTGCCGTGGCGGCGGTCTGGGTTGCGTGGCCGCGCTGGAACGGCCTTGAGGGTGGCTTGCGGAAGAGCGAGGTCGTGAAGCTGGTGACGCGCGAGTGGAGGCCGTGTCGGCTGGTGCGGCTGTTTGCGTGGTCGTTCGAGGCTGTGGAGGCCTCCATGGCTGGTTGGGGTGGTCGCTGGCGTGCGGCACTTGCTGAGCCAGTTTGTGTTGGCTTCATGTTGAGTTGCGAGGATGTGAAGGAGTGGTGATGAAGTTGGAGAGAGGAGCGGAGATTGTGGACGTTTTAGAAAGGCCAAGCCCTTCTAATGGTCAAGTGAGGTGGTAAATATTAAGCGCGCTAACCAGATTCGGAATTGGATTCTGATATCTTCTCCAAGCTCGGCGTCGTTCTTTCGTCTCGACCGCCAACCGCCAGCGGCCAGCTTGAGTCGAGGCTTGTCAGATTGAATCATACTGACGAACTCAGCAAAGCGCCTACAAGCAGCTCCACCACCTCAAGAATGTCCGGCGCCAGTGTCCGCGTCGAAGGCTTCCTCGAATGCCTCGGCCTCAAGAGCCAAGACGACCTAAACCGCTTCTTCCTCGAGCGAGACGCCTTCCTCACGCCCTGGGCCGAATACCGCGACGAGTGTCTTCTTACCCTCCAATGCATGGAAGACTCCGGCAACCCTCACCTTACCCCATGGGTCGCATTCAGAACCATGATGTGTCTCCGCAAAGGCTCCGCCGACAAGATCAAAGATGACGCCGACGAGCGGGTCAAATGCCGCCTGTACACCGTCCGCTTCCTCTTCGATCTCATCCAGAACCTGACTAAGCCTGGTGAATACTTCTACGGCAAGAGGGGGGAGGATCTCGTCGAGAAGCTCTTCAAAATGACGAAGCTACTGTGCACCCATTACCGCGCCAAGGTGTTCCCAGTCATTCATGTCATCGAGCGAAACAGGCCGTCGACCGTCGAGGATTACGAGTACTACCTCCTCGAGCGCGATAACAGGGTGCGGATGAGAGGCCACACGCCTAGCCGTTTCGACGAGGTCGTGGGGTCCGGGAACGTCAAGGCTGCTGTGAAAGCCCGCCAGCCGTCTCAGTCCGCGGCTCCGATTCGCAACGTCGAGCAGGAGGATACGCCAGCGACGCCCAAAACCCGACCTGCGCCCAAACCTCAACCACCCGCAAGCGTCGCTGCACCCGTCTACGGTTTTAGGAGGGCCTCCAACAGCCTCCAGCGAGCGGCCGAGAACAGGACCGCGATCAGCTTCTCTATCGATGGCGAGGAGTTTGACAGTCCAAAGGCGCACGAGGCTAAGGAGCAGGAGTTGGTGTACCCCAAATTTAGCGAGGAGGGAGCAGCGGTGAAGAGGGTGGATGAGGAGGCCAAGAAGCCTTCAGATGAGGAGAGCGATGAGGAGAGTCTGTTCGTCCGAGACCGCACGACTCGCGAGTCGTCGGATGAGGAAGAGGCCTATGAGACTGCAGATGAGTTTGGTCTTTGAGTGGATTTGCACAGTTGCATGGACTTGTGGAAGGTTCCTGGGGGAATCGGAACAGAGCGTTGGTCGGTGGACTTGCCAATCATTGCAGAGAGCGGAGGACGCCTCATGGGAGTAGGATAGGCGGAAATGAATCATAATATGACTGCTGAATCCGCGTGTTAGCATGTAGCTTCTAAGGATGAGATTCTTGTGAGGAGTCTTACCCAGTAGCTAACACCGTCAGGAGGGCTTCAAAATATTGACTGGATGGGAAAACACACGCCGACTTCACTACTGGTGGGAATTCCGCAATACTACACCCTCAATACGAGGCCATCTGGATGTATGCATTTCAGACAGCGAAAAGAGTATGAAGGTCCTCTTCAGGCATCCCTAAATCCCGACTTCAATGTAAAGGTTAAGGGTCTCAGTGTCGGGTGGATAAGGCGTACGAAGTTCAGAGAGTGCAAACACCTCAGAGGTCACCCTAACGTTCCATGGAACTTCTGTCATCAATGTCAAAATCGGAAACCTTCATATCAATAGGGCGAGGAGGAACAAGAAAAATACTATGAAAATCGCTTGGTGATCACACCGAGATATAATGAAAATCTCACCTTGATGTAGCAAATGAGACACTTTAAATTAGACCGTCGTGATGAATGAAGTTCAGGCAGCGAAAATCACCTAGGGATCACCTTGACACATCATGAAATTTTCCAGTTTGATGTAAAGATCGAAAGCCCCCGAATTGAGTCAGTGGCAGATCCAATTCTATCTCATACTTAGACATTAATAAGAATCATTAGACGTAAAAACCCAGCCCTCGTGCTCATGATTAAGGCTACGGGATAGCAACGCCAAGGGAGCCCTCAAGGGTGATTAAAATCGTAATGGTATGGCAATTCTCCGGCACCTGATGTCGAGCGCAATGACGCCAGGGAAGGCGATCCTCGTACCGTAGAAGACGGACTTCGTGACATAGATTGGAACCTCTGAGAGCGTAAAGAGTTGGCTGAAGGATTACTGGACAATTGGCGGGTTCCAGAACTTCGCACATCAAATCGCGATGCCGCAGTTCGAATCGTTCCAGGGCTCTCATCTCGTCCGGGGTCCGACGACGTGCTGCTTGTGTAGTATGAATCCGTTGCATCAGGAACGCGAGGCGTGCGATAGTGGATCGCGGAGCCCGTTGAGGTTTGCGTGGAAACCGAGGATGTGAAACTGAGAGCATCGGAGTCGATATCGCCGGCCTGGATATTAGCGATGAGCTCGGCATCAAGCTCCGTCATACCGCTCAAGATATCGGCGAACACAGCCATAAGTTCTCGGAACTCGTGTTCAGTCAGCGGCGTGTTAGAGAACCTTGCGAACTCATACTGCGTCAAGAACTTCGCGCCGAGTGTTGGAGGGTTGATGAGCCCAAAAGAAGATAATCTCGAAAGATAGTCCCTTAAGCCCATAGTCGCAGGGCGCTGAAGGAGTGCTACTACTTGTGCATCCGGAAGTATTGGCGAGGTATCTTGCGGGTGTTGGCCCGGGTCGAAGGCCGGGTCCGGAGGAGCGAGAGAGACGGCTTTAGCTTCAATGAGATTTGGGAGCTCAGGAATGACTGTCCAGAACTGTAGGTTCGGTAGGTCATCGGAAGAAGGGGAGGACCAGCCTGGATGCGCAATCTCGCCCCACGCCGGTAAAGCTGCCGAGACTGGTATGACCGTGGCTTCCATCAGATGGCTCCTCCTCTTGAATGTAGTATGTTGGCGCTCCGCCGTAGGTGGCCTACTACCCGCTGTCGCATCATCCAACTCTTCATCCTGAAGTTCCCTTGGCCTCGAGTCCCACGCGACGATAGCACTCCTCTTCAGATTCTTGACAATCAGCCGCCGAATCAGTTTGCCCACTTCGCCGTCTTCGATCGGGAGGTAGGGCTTCGGTATGCCTTGTAGAGCACTGCGGTTTGTATAGAGGCGGGTAGAGTATATCAGGATCGTGATAAGAAAGGTAAGCAGGTAGACTCCAGCCACGACGAATATCTTCTGGATGTCATCGCTGCGGATGGACTGGTAGATGGTATCGGCGGGGGTGACGGCGAGGAGGACGATAGCAAGGAAGAAGAGGACGGTATAAGTAGTGCTGTACCAGATACGGAACAGTCGAATGCGTATATGCATGCTTTTAGGAATCTACATGATGCGCAGAGGTGTTGATGTTGCTGTGTCGAGCGCGATGATGCGGCAGCGCGCCGGGGAAGGTCTTGGCAGAACAAAAAGTGTTTAACGCCGTCGTTCATTCACCAAACGCTTTGACCACCTGCAACAATATCCACTTCTAGTTAGATCAACATTCGCTTACCAAATAACGTTTCTCATTCATTCAATCGCGGGTGGATTTGTTCACTAGTCCGAAAACTGAGCTTCGCGTTCTCGATCGTCCGAAAGGGTAGCAATTTACATCGAATAGCACATTTGAGCTCGCACTATCAAGAAGTCAACAGCAATTTTGCCCACGCGCTCTTCCGCGGTATCATGATCTGTGAAGACGTCTATATTCTGTTTATTCGTCGTAAATTCCAAATAGACCACCGAAACGTATTACGGCCTGAGCCAAGGAGCACTGTATATCCTAAAGATGCTGCACTGATTCTCCCCATACTTGCGCCAACGCATATAACAACATGGTGAAAGGTCAACTGCGAGACTGGAAACCGCGGAGAAAGAAGTAGGAAACCCAAAGTAAATGGCCACGAAAAGAAAATCGGTGATACTCATGCGTTCTAGCAGAGCAGAGAATAATTTCCAAATTGAAGAAACCAATCTGATTCTGCGAAAATCGATGAGACTCATTTTGAAAGACCAATAGCCCAAGCCTCGGAACTCATCCGAGTAGGGATATGCAAGCATTATGGTAGGTACTGTCATGGTTTCTAGGGTGAAGCGAGGACGGAGGGCCTATAATCCGTCAAATGTGTCAATCTGATTATCAAAGCCCATGAAAACATCGTGCTTGCTCGAGTTTTTACTGCGATTGGCGACCGACTGACTTGAAGTTCGGGATGACGAGGAATGGAAGACGTCCAAATCAGGGCGGAGGGATGGCTTGTGGGTTCAAGACGGACCTTGGCTTGCCATACTGTAAGGACTCATTCCATGCTGGATGTTTGCCGGCTTATGATTCGGTTGTGACTGATTGAAACCAATACTAGAGGAAAGGATTGTCCGCGGACTAGCATGCATGTCAGGGACTGTACGACCGCTATCACTGCTCGGCAGTCCTCTTTGCGGAGATTGGCTCTGGCCCCGAGCTGGTATCCTTGAACGTTCTTCGGAGGTACGAGACGTGGATTGAACATTCCGGCTCATGGTAGAGCCCGAGAGCACGTCTGCTTGTGAGTTGTAGTGAGATCTGCTTGAAGTTCTCGAACTCTTGATGGCGCAAGCACAGACACGCTCTAGCAGAGACGTTACGGCGTCTTTCAGGTGAAAATTGCCGGTCTCAAGAGGTTCAAGTAGACTCCTGGCTTCTTCGGTACTCCAAGATAAGGTGCAACTTTCTTGAAAACTAGCGAGGGATTGGGCCCAGCGGCTGCGGAGCTCACGGCGACCGAGGAGGCTTTGGATCATCCTGGAGTAATCTAAGTTGCCTTTTTGCATCTTCGGTTCGACTTTGTAATGGTCATCCTCTACATGCAGGCAGCGATCATCAAAGCTGGTAACACCCTCGAACAATTGGCCACAATAGGGACATGCGCACGCAGTTTTTCGCTTCGAATTTGGTCCTGGCTTCCCTATGATTTCGCAATCCGCATAAGTGATGGACTCGTGGTCGTGTCTGTTGATGTGGTGGCGCTCACAGCCGTTCTTGGTAGGAAAGTCTAATGGACAGTGTGGACAGCTCCAGGTCATTGTTTGGCTATGATGACTCTTCTCATGATTCAAACAATATCCAGCTGCCACAAACTCCCGCCCGCAATACGTGCAAGCCCAGTCCTTTGGCTTAATAGTCTTACTGTGATGACTCTTCTCATGATTCCAACAGTATCCAGGTGCCGTAAACTCCCGCCCGCAATACTTGCAAGCCCAAGCCTTTGGCTTGATAGTCTTACTATGGTTTACGACGTTGTACGAAGTTGACGTAGGCGTCGAAACCGTTGGTGCGTTGTGTACGACTTCTGATCGATGATTTGAGTCGGAATTTTGAGGACGAAAATGCGTCTCATTAGGCGGGGATATGTCCATTGGCATTGTTTGCTCATCATTCAAGTATCCATTAGCCCCCAGGTTGACATTCGGGGGCTGATGGAGAGGTAGCTGATATGAACTTGAGCTGCTGGGGAAGGAAGAAAGCCGAGATGAATACCCCGAGTCCCGAGACTGGTGACTTGATTGCACTGTGCATTCATTAAGGCTCTATACATACTGTGGCCTAAGAAGAGCTCGTACCATTGCTATTGATGACGGCTCGTTGGCACTCTAAGATTTGGCTATGCTCAAAATCTTTGAACGCATCAAAAAAGTCCAGACTGGAAGCACCATGTTTAGCAAATTTCAGGCCAATATCAATATCCTCAGTGCTATATCTTCGCAATACATCCATGAGTTCTAGCTTTTTTGCCAGTTCCACGCCTTTGACGAGCTCTTCAGCTCCATACTTTTGAAAATAGCTTTTGTATTCCGGTTGAGCTTCAGCAACGTCCAAGGCTGATGGTTTCCAATCTCTGGTTTGTAGGGGCAGTGCGTGATGGGAGGAGGACTGATAAACTGAGTAAGGTCCACGGGGAAGCTGGCTATTTGGCCGTAATCGCTTTATCTGAGGGGATTGATCTGAGCTAGCCATTTTGGAAAAACTGGATACCTAAGCTAGGTAGCTAAGAAGAACAAAAAGTAGAATAACGAGTGCCATGATAAGAGACCTAGACTAATTGTACCAAGTGGGAGCTGCAACACCCTCCTGGCGGAAGTTCCCTATGAGCCGTAGAATAAGTAACGTAGAAGTCTGCCCCACCTCGTGCACGGCCACCAGCTAGAAGAGGCCACCGGCTCGTGCACGCGATAGGCTTGTGCAAGCTTTTCGTCCCCCAACAAAACTAGACTAGAGAGCAACACCCTAATAATATAAGCTAGAATTGAAGTATAGTATAGAGTAGTATAGATTTATATATGTCACGGCTTGAACGGTGAAGCTTGCTGCACAGCGTAACACGTGATGTTAGGACCCGGCGAGAGGCCTTGTTGCAAGGGCCTATGCGAGCCTTGGCAGGAGTATACCTGCCGACCGCCGCCCTGCCTCCTTGTAGCTCCTTGAGCTACGTCTTGTTATTCAACCCGCCTGCCTGCCGTGCATTATAGAACACGTAGTGAATTCAGTTATTACTTCTACCTACTTGCCCGAGCTAGCTAGGGCAATCCTGCCGCCCGAGACCGTGACAATATATAGTAGAAATACATATGCAGATAGATATAAAAGTAAATATTTAGAGGCCTTCTGCCAGTCCTCTAAGTTAATTAGAAGCGGTAAAGTAAGGGGTATATGATTATTCGAAAGGAGGTTGTTATGGAGTGGAGTGTAAAGGTGTTCTATTCGGCTAAAGCTACGGCACGGTCTTAATGTTATGATAGTGCTATAAGCAGGAGTTTAAGAGCTTAGAAGGAAGCTTTAATTAGATGCTAAACACGTTACTACGTGGGGAATCAAGACGTTGTGTAAGGAATAGGAAATCGAGAGCGCCGGCGAAGAAGATATGCCGGCGGAACGTGCGTATGGCATGAGCTCGCGAGCTCCGTGCGAGATCAGGTGACGACGCTACGTGATCTAGTCTATAACCTAGACTACGACCTAGACTAGGTCACGTGATCTAGGCTACGTTCTAGGATATAATCTAGACTAGGAGCTAGACTAGACACGTGATCGGCGAATTATAGTGGGTAAGGTGTCACGGGTGGTTACCGTGACACTTAAGGACCGTGCTGACTAACCCACGCGCACGTGCTGTTGCGCACGCAGCGTCCGTAACCGTAACAAGGGTATACAGTTATTTAATATAGCTTATATTCAAGTTTTAATAAGTTATTATTTAGTGGTTGTTAAGATATTTTGCTATATAATATTGATTTTTTAGTGTATATTGGGCTGGACCGCTCGCTTAGGTAGACCGCTTGCTTGTGGAGTACGTTAGATTAAATAGAAGTAGAAGATAAAGAAATACCCTAGTACCTTAGCACCACAAAAGAATATATAGGCAACGCGCGTGGCACTGCATTGCGAAGTGGAAGGCAAATGATGTACTTTGGTGCCAGTAGTTGAAATGCAGGTGTGGCCTCGCGGAAACTGTTGCAATCGCTCTACGGTGGCTGTAATTGGTCCCTATCATGATGCCACATTTGCAAACACACATTTCAGACCACGATAAGACCTTTCGTAAGCTTGCTCAAACCACCTTTGAACGGACTGTTGATTTAGTCAACTGGCAAGCTGGCAGGACTGGTGAGGGTTGATCCCCGAGATGAGGCGAGGCTCTGCCGACAGCGGAGTTCACTTCACGCACGGGCCCTTTGGGCCTCTACCTACATAATCATGAAACATTTGGGTTGGGCTCAGTCTTCCCTTTCATGCGATAGCCTGTAGCTATATTTTCCAATGGAGGACATTCCAGTGATATCGTGATAGGACGCCCTGCAAAGCTTTGCATGCATAATGTATGAGTTGGACGTGAGGCATACTTCAATCTTGATACATCGGCGGGTGCTAGTAAATGCCAATCAGTTCGGCGGCTTGCATGTATGCTTGACAGAATGTAGAAAGGATACAGGCACAGATTTCACACGTCATGAAAAGCCCAAAACACCTGGTACATGGTACAACAGCATGCGTAGAAGCGCCCTTTCTAGAAATGACGAAGGAGCTTTGCCTAGTGGTCGTATGGCATTTGATAAGACTGTACATATGGAAAGCCCCCCGCAGCAAGCAAAGGTGTCTAAGGTGCAGACGTCTTAGATTTGGCCTGACTAGTCGAGCATGTGGCCAACCTGCATTCGACTGGCAAAGCTCGCATTATTTGAGCAAAGATTGAAGATACTGACGCCACTTAGAGAGGAAAACACACAAGAAACATAGATATTAGAACTCACCTGAAGCCTTCCAATCGCATTTCCCGCCTGGTACGGTTTCTCGGAAAGCAAGAGCTCCGCCAGTTCCTTTTTCTTGTGCTGTATATCCATCACACACTACGACTCGTTAGGCAACATCGCCAAATCTAGGAATGGGCTACTGAACCTGCTCGAAAGAACCCTCCATAACGAATCGGACAGTCGTCACATCCTTCATCTGGCCCATCCGGTGGATGCGAGCGAGGGCCTGTTCTTCAACCGTTGGGTTCCACTGCGGCTCCATGATATAAGCGCGGGAAGCTGCAGTTATATCAAGACTGGGGACCGTTAGTAGTTTTCCTTGTACTCTTGTATTCGATTCATACCTACCCGACTGCTGCGCAGGTGATGGTCATGAGAATGACAGTAATGCTGGGATCGTGTCTGAAATTCTCCAAGACTAGGTGTCGACATTCGGGTGAGAGCTTTCCGTCGAATCTAACGTACTGAATGCTAGCGGTTTCAAGCCCTCGTTCGATCAAATTTAGGGTCGATGCCCAGTATGGAAATACCACGCTATTTGTGTCAGCCTACGTAGTCTGAAGATGTTTCGGGTTGGATCTCATGGCAATACATACCTCTTCACGTCTTGAGAAAGACTTTGCAAGTCCGTTACAAGCGCTCTAACTTTCGTCGGGAGATCTTCTTGAGGTGGCTCATAAGCCGTGTTAGAAGGCGTTGATCGGCCAGAAGAGCCATTTGCAGATAGACTCAGAGACGCAGATAGACTCAGAGACACAGGTACCATGTGACAAGACGGGTTATGGCCGCATACAGATGCTGATGTCTGACGAGAAAGCTCCGAATGTTGCTGAACACAATTGGAACATATCACTTTAAGACAGCGAGACAGGTGAGCACCATAGGGAGCACTCAATCTCAAAGTCATGAAGTCCGTCTCCATGCTCTCATTTGTTTCGATGTCTAAGCCACAACGAGCACATGAGGCTTCTCCAACAGCTGTCAAGGATTCAAAAGCCTTTTGGGCCGTCGCAGCGTTCCAGTCGGGTCCTTCTCCAATCATGGCTTTGTTCGGCTTCTGAATCAAAGCAGACTGCCGATGGACTCCAAGATTGCATATTAAGCGGAGATCGTTGATCTGCTGTAAAACGTTAAGGTAGGTCGTTTGAGAGGTCATAGCTCCATGAGATGGTAGGGCATCCTGAAGCGCACGTACGACCTTCGTTCTAGATGCCTCATAAAACGAATGCTCCGAGCTGCTGAATCTCAATAGAGAAACTTTGTTTGATCGAGAGGGCAGATCGATGGTCCTTTTCGACCGACGCAGGAGAGTGTACCGAAGTAGAAGCTTAAGACGTTCGAGAGCCACAGTAGGTTGTCCCGATTTCCACGTTTCGATGAAGTCCGAATTGAAACATGCTGGATCATCATAGGGGTAGACGCGTAGAAGCTGCAACAAAGCTGCGATGTCCGTGAGCCGATTTTGAAGAGGAGTTCCGGTCACAGCCCATCGCGAAATCGCGATGATTGAAGATACAGCTTTGAAGGTATTGGTACTGTTGTCTCGTACGTAATGCGCTATGAAGATCAGCAAGAGAAAGAAGAAAGCGGGGTCATCAAGTTGTCTACCTTCATCTAGCACAAGTCGCTTCCAACGAGTTGAAAGTAGTAGGCTCTTCTCCGAGCTTACTCCCTTCCTCCATTCGGATTCGATAGTTTGATAGGTTGTAATTATGACGTTAGATCTTTGCAATTGGAGGAGCTCGGTGATGCGATTGGGACCATGATGCCGCCGGACAACAAGTACTCCTTGTTTACAGTGTCTGGAAGGTCAGCAACTATGCAAGGAGGATGCTGCGTTCTCATACCTCTGAAACTGTTCTTCCCACATGGGTATTACTATGAAGCGTTAATGAGTATTGCAATGTATGAGAAAAGTAGGCCACTTACGAGGGAGTGGTACTACAAGCAGTGTTGCGTCCGTCGTGTTCTGAGCATCGGACAAAGATGCTGAGCCGTCCAAGTCCCCAAGCCGTCCTCTCTGCGACGCCAGAACGTCATTGACAATGAGCGATATAACAGTCAAATACTTTCCAAGGCCCATTGGATCTGCAAGGATACCACCGGAAAATTGGGGAGGTGGATATGCTTGAGCTCTACCAGTGATGTTATTTTTGTAAACTGTTGACATGACTGAAGTTTCCTGGCTCCAGACGTCTTTGCGTGCGTCTTTTAGGGACCGACCTAGCTCTCGACAAATCATGAAATGTAAAGCTTGTTTCTGGTGTCTAGTGGAATGTCAAATCAGTTCTTCTAGCATGGTGTCCATATTGCTTACTGTAGTAAAGTTGTTTCGAGCTGTAGCGGCGACTCCGTCTCGGGCAAGTCTGTTGGAGCGTTCAGAGCTTCAAGGAGGTCGTTTTCATCATCAGCGTCAGTCAATTGTATCTGAGGCTGTGTTGTTTGGAAATCGAATGTCATCGGGCCATCATCGTCTAAGCTAGACAAACGATGGGGGTTGCGATACCGAACATTCCGGTGACATCCAATTGGGTCTTGCAAGTAGACATTGCAAGCTTGCAAGAACTCGCCAACTTGGTCTGACAGGCTTGCTGGGCCGTAGATAATTGTATTCAGGGACCGTCGGACTACTCTTTTGACTGTATGTTTCGTAGACGTTCCCGATTGGACCGAAATGGCTAGTTCTAGGTCGATCTGTTCGTCCTTCGAAAGGGTTTGGAGAATCTGCGCTTCGCGAGGGTCTAAAAAGCCTTCGACGGAATGGTTTTCCAGCAGGTAGGGATGTCCAGCAATGGAAATCCCGACTGGAATGTAGGAGAAAGTATTTGGCAACGCGGTCGAAGGAAAAGTGGCCTCGAAACCTGAGATCTTTTGGGCGTTATTAGCTAAATCTAACACAATGTGGTCGTCGTTCAGCCCAGGGCCTCACAGTGCACAAACCCGACCCTCTGCATTTAATAGTATGCAGATTGATGGATAGCCCCAGAGTAGAGAATGACGGGAATGAACTGAGACGTAGGAGAATAGGAAAATAGTCTCTCACCATGCCATAGCAAATGTCATTGTCTACATTTCGGACGTTAGGCTGCAATAACAGTGGTGTTTCAAGCTTCTCAGCAAAAATGACAGATGGATCTACGGGACCTGGGGATAGAATAAAACTATCAGGAGCGTGTGATGAGGTTCCTGGGTACACTGCGGGCCAATTGGCAGTGCCTGTAGAAGGAACTTGTACCCCATGGTCATGATTGATAGGCGTTTGTATCTGACGCGCTCTAGAAGACGGACGCTGCGATGTAATCAGGGACGCAGACCCAAGATCTTCTAGAACGGAGCATGACCCCGCGCTCATTCCATCATCATCCAGAGGATTGTTTAGGGGATTGTTTCTTCTTCCGGGCACAGTGACATGATTGTTGAAGCCTAAAAGAGAGTGGTCGTATTCTAAGCTGCAAGACCATGTAGAATCAAAGGTCACCGAAGAGTTGACTAAGGCAGATGCAGTTCCATGATAGCCACGCTGGTCTACACTTCTTTGTGCCCATGATTGTATATCTTGACCTCCTGATTCACGCTCACAGAGATCATTGCCGTCCAACCGACGGCGCTTGGGATGGGGTTGCGAATGCTCGTCGAGAGAGAAATTCTGGTTGGTGTAAGAGGCGTCAGAGAACTGCCAGAGCAATGTATCGTTCGCATGGCGAATAGGAAGTGTGTGTTCGGTTGGCAGATTTGCTTGAGCAGCGGGATATAGACTCATCGTTCGATTGTGTGCCTGTCTTCGATGCTCAGTCAGTGCGTTCTAATAAATATGCCCGGGGAATTCGACAAACCATGGCCCTCGTAACCCACGAGTCGAACTGCTTCCCATCTTTGTTGTCCGCCTAAGTAATGGTCAGTCAGCCAAACTCTTCGTGTTCTTTGCACACGGAAGCCATGAGGCTGAGGCTTCGAGCTGCGCCAACAAGCGAGTGCCACCTGCATGAAACCCGCGTCTGCCTTGCCTGCAGATGGACATGGCCTCCGTGGCGAAGCATGCTCGAAAAACCTCACAAGACACAGCTTGGGAGTCAGCTTAAGAGAACATACGTGCTCCTTTATTTGCGTCTTCAAGCTATTCCGTCTTACCTAGAGGCCGGGTGACCTCCTTCCATGCCCGCGGCGATGGCCTCAAATGCGGCGTCGGCGATGGCAAGCTCGGTCCATCCAGCTGCTCTCAACCATCACTCGCACGACAAGCTCGACATACCTTCCAATCAGCATTCCAAAGTTTCGAAAGCACAGTCAAGAAACTGTCTGCTGATGATGCATACCTCTTCAGGATTACTGGTCTGCAGGATGTGCGAGATGCAGCAAAAGACATCGAGAGGCAACTTGCGGCTAGGCAGTGCCTTCGTAACATGAAGCGGATACAGCCCTTGCTAGATGGGCTCGAAAGATATTCTAAAGTCGTTGAAGTCTTATGCAATGGTACCCCTTATTTGCCTTGGATATGGGTACGGAACTCCTCGCCGTGTCAAGTAAAAAGTTAACCGTTTGATGTCCAGGCGCCCATCAAACTCATGCTACAGGTACAGCATTCATCTTCATACCTTCTTGATTTTGTCATTACGGATCTCAATTATGCAATCATTCTTTGTTTCTCACTAATCGACGGCCCCAGTTGGCATCTGATTTCACTACAGCGTTTGAAAGACTCATTTCCGCATATTCCCAGATTGCAGAGAATCTATCTCGTTTCGATCGCTTAAGCCAAGCTTTTGGAGGGAATCCTGAATTCCAGCAGGTACTCGCCGTAGTTTACGCAGATATCTTGGAGTTCCATCGTCGTGCCTATAAGTTCTTCCGAAAACCTTGTACGCAGAGTACCCTTTGGACCGCAACAAGAAGCTAATAACTACTTAGCATGGAAATGCTTCTTTCTTTCATCATGGGGAAGATTCGATAACCGCTTCAAATACATACTTGAAAGCCTTGCGCGACATTCAGACTTGGTCGATCGGGAGGCTAATGCACTATCAATCGCAGAAGCGAGAGAGTGGAGAGAACGGACGACTCGAGAAGCGAAAAAGCGAGAGACTGAAATGGCCGCGGCTCAGTATCGGCACGTTCTGAGCTGGCTTGGAGATCGAACCGCCGACCAAGATGCACAAGATGAACAGGACAACCGGCTTGATCAACTCTTGGGTTCCTGCTACCCAAATACGGCTGAGTGGATCCTAACTAGATCACCCGTGAAGAACTGGCTCAGAACACAAGGGAACAAGCCCACACTGTGGCTCAAAGGAAAGCCGGGCTCTGGTAAGAGTGTGCTTTGCTCTAAGCTGATCCAATTCCTCCGAAAAGACGGTCAATCTAGCGTTCTCTTTTATTTCTGTAGCTACGCGAGCGCTACGTCCAAACAATCGACTAGGATACTAAAGTCCTTTGCTATTCAAATATTGCGCCGGCATCAAAACCTCTCATCTTACGTGTATGATGAGTATGTTCTCTCGGGCCAAACACCGTCCATGCAGGCGCTCAAAAGTCTACTGCCAAATCTACTTTCCTCAATTCGGGGCCCTCGGATGGTTATTGATGGACTAGACGAATGCCTGGACTCGGAACAAAAGGAAGTCTTGAAAGATATTTTGGCATTCTCATCGAATGTTGCGTACGGATCTTGTCCAGTGCTTATTGTCAGTAGAGACGTTAGGCATATTAACGCAATGCTGTCAAAAAAACCCTCGCTTTCCCTAAACAATGAGGAAAGTGCCGTCAATGCTGCCATTGGCTCCTTTACCAAACAACGGCTCTTGGAGATGCAAACTAGGTTTCAGGAACTTGACATAGATAGGAGCACCATGGAAGATTTCGAAAAACAAATTGTAGACAAAGCTAAAGGTAACGAGCCCTCTCTAATACCATGAGAAGTATCAAAAATGGAAATTGCTAACACGCCACAACAGGCATGTTCCTTTGGGTTCGACTTGTCCTTGATATTTTGGAAGATGATGTATATAACGCAAACGAGCTAAAGACAGCAATCGATGCACTTCCAGCGGGCCTGACAGAGTTGTAAGGCTAACCTTGATATTCTCGATCTCGGCTCGATGTTAATCGATCGCCTAGTTACGAACGAATCATACTCCTAGTGAAACGCTTTAGTCCTCAAAATTACGACAAGGCTGTTCGAATCCTTGAATGGATTACCTTTGCAAAGCGCGCCCCAAAGAAGTTCGAAGTCCAAGATGCTGTAGCACTCACCGCAAATAATAATATTCTAAGCGAGGATACGAAATTGCCAGAAACAGTCCTGCATCTTTGCAGACCCCTCGTTGAAGACGGACCAGATAACACAATCGTATTTGTTCACTTCACGGTTTATGAGTAAGTGTATTCTACTAGCTTCGTGCCTATTCTACTAGCTTCGTGCCTATTCTTGCGCTTCTAACTATGCGAAGATACTTTCTGCATGAATCGAGTGGGCCATTTTTGCACAGAGAGAGCGCGGAGTATAATTTGACGCTCTCCTGCGTCACTTACATGCTCCAAGGAATGAGTTTGATCAATTCTCGCCTGTCCGAGGAAGAGCGTACCGTAAATGTCGGCAAAGGGTTTCATGGCTTGCATCTATACGCTGTCGAATACTGGCTGGAGCACCTTCTTGATTATGCCCAAGCTCGACAAGTCATGCGCGTCTCAGATCCAGCCATGCTATTTAAGAAAATTTGCAGTCTGACTGCTCTCCATCGAAGATACCAAAGCCGTGTATTGGGCGTCCAATCGTCTTCGTCGGACTATACGTCATTCAGTTTGGATGCCGAAGACGACGCGCGTCTGTCTCTTCTGAAGTCACAGCCCGAGACTTTCGAAATGGTTCGCCAGTTGCTCCAATTTCGACGCCGTTCACAGCTCGAATCCGAGGATGGCAGAGACGGTATGTCCGAAAGCCGAATCAATTAGCTATTCGCACGTGATCATTACTGATTCATGTCTTCAAGGTCATGCAGCGATGTCTATGAAAGACCCGACACCTTTCAGTAACACCCTCCACAGCTATCAAAGGAGAGTTCAGCTTTTACTCAGCTCCACGACATTCCCTGGTCTCACTCCAGCTCAGCTCACATCCTTCAAAGCAACGTATAGCTCGACAGCTTTTACTTGTCGAATTTCTGGCTGCGTTCAATCCACAACTGGATTTACAAGCGATGAGCTCCGACTACAACATGAACGAACCCATGCTCCACGACTTGCTTGTAGTGACTCGAACTGCAACTATGGTCTAACGTTCGCTTCGTTGAAAGCTCTTCAACGACACATAAGGAAGAACCACGAGGTTATCGCACCTGCGATTCCACCGAGTATCCGTCGAACGGCTAGGGCGATATCGCCCCTGAGAGATGGACCAGCAGGACAACTAATGTCAAGCCCAAATTTACAGCCTACTGCCACAGGCTTAGAAAACTGGACACACGGTCTTGGAAGCCTACTGGAGCCATCTCCCCAGCAAAAGCCACAGGCTCACGTGCCTCCGGAAAGCCCACAGAACCAGACGCCCATCAACCCAAACGCAATCAATCCCCAGGTCGCTGCCCGCCTAGTCCAGCAGGTCCAAGATAAGGCTGCTGCAGCAGCTAACGGTCCATCGATGACACAACAACAAAGGGCTTCTCTGTTACCACCGAATCTACCGCCTCAGGCTAGACAGCACATGATGGCTCTACCTGATGACCAGTTTCGTTCGGCCCTCACCAAGATGGGCTTGAGTCGGCCGAAGAGTCCGACACAAAACACTACGTATTCTAAAAATCCCCCCTCTATGGCCCCTGCACTGGCCAGTTCATCATATTCCGCTGTTGCGGATGGTGGAATAAGTGTAGCTCACGTGGCTCCTGCTCAGCTGGCTGTCCCTGGCTATTCACCTCCACCTCCGGAAAATCTTGAACTTACCAATGCATCACAGCGTTACCTGTCATTTCAGAGCGATTCCTCCGTGAATAGGTCAACGGGACCTTCAGATCCTCTCGCGATGCCTATCTCTCGGCATGACAACATGTTCTCGTTTGGAATTGACTCTGACAATGAAGACGATGCGGGTGGTGCATTCCCCGACCGTCATAACAGATCAGCGGGACCTTCAGATCTTCTTACCGCGTTATCTGCACCTTGGACGAACGAGGGCATCTCTCGACATGGAATCATGTTCTCGTTTGGAGCTGAGTCTGACAGTGAAGACGATGAGGGCGGTGCATTCCCCGAACGTAAATCACACGCAAGCCCAGTACTCCCCACGGATGAAGAGCCGTCACCGAAGCTGAAAAATCACGCACAATTAGACTATGAAGCACAGCTGGAACTACTTGAGCAGCAAAACAAGAAGAGGCTGACGATCGCACGACGAGAATCACCCGGGCCCCAAAACCAAGAACAGGAAATTTCTTGGAACCCTCCAATAGGCATTCCCAAGGTACCGTCTGGTTGGGTAGCTCAGTGGGACAATTCGTAAGTCTTTGTTCTCTACTTTCAGCAACAGAAACGGCAATTAGCTACCTTATACCCTCTCCCAGAAGAACTTGCGCTTACACTGTTCCTGAATAGGTCTCGCACGTTCTACTACATCCAACTTTCTACAGGCGCCTCTCAATGGAACATGCCAACCACTGCTGCTCCACCGGATGAGTTGCCCAACAGTCTACAAGCAAATAAGGAATTACGAATCAGTCCCAGCGAAAGCCCGAATGACGGCTCAAGCCAGAATCCAACCCAGAACTCGAACTCCTCGTCCCAAGCTCCGGTCGACCTCCCCGGATTTGATCACTGGGCTAATTGGGATGATTTGACGACAAAATATGGAACGGGCCCCATCACCGATGCCCTTTGGAAAGCTATAGAGGCCCTAAACCTGCTGAGAAGTGATGCTGAAGCCCAGGAACGACCCTTTCTGCCGGACGAACGTATCGTTGTCATAGCCCGTAGGGTGTTGGTCAGCGCACGACTTGAGCGTAAAGTGTATTTCCAGGAACTTATTACACAATTGCCCATGTGCGAGCAAGAGCTCCTCGCTGACCGTGGTGTTGACCCACTGTCTTACGGAGTTGTCCTGGATGTTTTCAGGAGCTACCGAAACTTCCTCGCGAGAGGAAAGTTGTATATCCCGCAGCTTGACCCTCTTGATTACCACCCCGATGCGTTTGAGGCCTGGTTTTTCAGTGACCCTACTCCTACAGCAGCGTCAGCGTCACCACATATATCATCGCATAGTCAGGAAGCACCTCGTAGTCATAATTCTTCGGCTGGCGGTACGCTTAGGGCACACCTCGAATTTGCGGCACAATGGCAGAACGTGCAGCAGAGTTCCACAAAGGCTCACGCAGATAGCCTGGTCCAACAATAGAGTGAAGTCCTCAGCAAATCTATAAGTTATAAGGTACCTTCATCTCTAAATCCAGCTCTTCAGAGCGACACATCCGAGGATGCTTCGCTACCATTGGATCCCTCACATCCCCCAACCATTCTAGCTACACCTAAGACGGATGGCCAACTACCGGATCTTAGCACGTATGAGCATATTATACGCACGCTTTCATTCGGTAAACCCTCAATCTACGGCAGAAGAAGCTCACAAGTACGCTTATGAAAATGAGAAATTTTTTTTCTCACTTTCGAAATCAAAGGTCAGCTTCCATTTTCATGAAACTCCCGTTGTTAACTAAATGATCTACACAGGACGAATACCTCAGATCAATGAGGAACTTGTTGACAGAAGTGAGGTACCTGATGGGGGAGTAATTCTTGAAATCTGGGTCGGACATATTCCAAGTCTTCTAAAATCAAGCAAATTTACCTTAATGATGCACATGGGTCTACCTATCTAGGTACCCTAGCACGCCACGCTGGGTGGGGAAGAGTGGCAGTCTATAGGTACACACTCTCCAAGCTGCTTGTGTACAGTACTAGGCCATAAGTTTGGGCACCCGCATAAACCACTACACGGGTTCTACTCTTGACCGCTCGACACCACCGTAAGGAGTAGCCCAACCAGCATGTAGCCGGCTAGCCAAAAGGCTGGCTAAATCCCACTGCATCGTCATTGGCATCGTGTTCGAAGTTCTGAAAGCCCATAGGGGTACTTCAAACAGTGGTAAGGGAGTGTCCAAGCTTACGTCGCAGGACTGTACACTTGTTTATTACTGTTTAGGATGTTCCAATGCATTTCTGTGCCTGCGTACGCTTCTTTTTTTTTCTTTTTTAGCACCGGTTGAGGTCCTCCAGTATAAGATGTTTAGTCAAGAAATACCAGTATTGGCAAGCCTGATAGCTCTCCGGGCCAACTCAGACGATGTTAAAATGCTAATTGTTATCATCCTGCGTGGCTACAACTCGGGGGTTTTTTTTTCGCTCTCTAATTCCAGTATCTACGGCGCTGGCATCTCTTTAAGGAAGCAAGTTTTACATTTCGCTTGTTTGTCTAGCACGCCGCCTCCAAAATACATCATCTCATTAAGAAGGGCAGCGACTTCTATTCTAGCAAGCCGAAATCCGAACCTTAGCATCATGGAATTTTTGCGTACTCCTTCACGCCTTTACAGGCTCCCTCTTGTGCACCAACACAAAGCCCTCCACCAACTGCGTCTCCGCGGCCGCCTCAACTTTCAAATGATCGTCCACCGGCCTGATCCCCATCGTATCCCACTCAGTATTCACATCTATCCTCGGCTGCAGCCACTGCCATCCGCCATCCGGCCCACCAAGTGTCATCTGCACCGCCGGCCTTTCCTTATCAAGCTCGCTCCTAATAACACGGGTGCCGATCTGCGTCCGGAATTTGTGGTCTACCTCCGGCAGATGCGGCACCAGCAGCGGCCCTACTGCGAAGAAGGCATGCATGTTCTGCATCGCTGCAATCAGTCGTCCAGCGCGGCAGCGCTACTTCGACCAGTGGGAAGAGCGAGCCGGAGTACGTGTGGATCGGGCAGCGCGGGTCGAGGATGGCGCTGATGCATTTGAGCTGGGCGGCGTGCGCGGATGGCATGTCTAGGGTATCGCCGGGGAGGAAGTACGGCTTCGCCTTCAGCGGCTCTGTCAGCGGCTCGAGCTGGGAATCCGCGCCCGTGGGGACCTTCTGGCGCGAAAGGCCGTAGCCCGTTGAGATGGCGCCAATGTTTTCGCGACTGCTGAAGGTCCCGACTAGCCCGTCGAAGGCTGCTGTGTGATTGCCGAGCGCGATAGGGAACTCGTATCCGAGGAGCTCCCGCTCTGGCACGTGCTGGTCTGGGGGCGAGGTGAGCAGCGAAGCATCTTGCAAGGGTGGCGTCGCGAGCTCTATGGAGACGCCGACGTCAGCGAGGCAGAACGGACGACTAAAGGCTGCTGGAAGCATGGATTCAAAATCTGCGCTCGTCGAGCGTACCGAGTCGACGGCCTCAACGAGCATGCAGAAAAGGCTGTCGGTGAAGTAGTAATCCTCCAGCATTCTACTGACGAACTTGGCCAATCGGCCTACCGTTGGATGCAAATGCGATCCAGCAGGACCGAGAGCAGACGCTGTCGTCTTCGACTTCCGGTCGATTAGAATTTCGCAGGTGAAGCCGCCATCGGGGTTGTACACTTGGATAGGGCTGTCTTAGAAGTTCGCCAGTAGCCAGCCCCAGACTGGGTTGTCCCATTCGCCTGCGATGCGCCGAGGGTCGCCATCCTTCTCAGTCGGCATGACGAAGCAAGCAGTAAGGCGAGCGCGCTGGTTAATCCGTGGCGGGATCTGGAAGAATTGGCAGACGTTCGCATCTTCGTCAGCTTTCACCGCCGTGTTAGGGAAGTACTTCTCGCTTTCTCCGTCTAGGACGCCGCATGCCAGGCTGGGAGAGATGCAGGGATACAGCGCGGAGCTGTGTTGACCTGCTTCTGCAGGTTTGATCGCTGAGACGACCTGGCCGAACTTGTCAACGATGATGAGGTTCGTAAATCGCACCTGTCCATGTGTCACCGGCTTGAATGGGCTGAAAGCTGTGTATGTTGGAGGCAGTGGCGTCGTGAAACCATACGGCGCGAGCTCATGAACACCGTCGAGCAGATGCATAGCATGAGCATGAAGACCCAGAGCATTTTGCATCTCGGCGTCTTTTTGATCGGGTCGCGGACTGTTACCGCAGCGCAAGGTCAGTAAGTGGTCAGTAAAGCCACCTAAGGGAGATGAAAAATACTCGAGACGCGCCGCTGCCTCAAGGGCCTTCTCTCTGTCTGCAGCTGTGTCTTTCAGCTCATCGTCAAGCACGTTTTCAGTCTTCTTCGCAAAGAGTTGATCAAGCCGCGATCGCAGCGTCATGCCCGACTGTGGTGTGATGGCCGTCCGGCTATGAATGGTGCGACGGTCGGCGCCAACGGGGGAATCCGCGAGAGCTTTGTGCCCTGCAATCACATATCGCCAGCGACCGCTGAGTTCGTCTGGCTCGAATGACCACATGTTGAACGGGATGTGGTAGTACTCGACCTCCCACTCGATGAACAATGGGAACCAACCTTGCTGTCCTTTCATATCTTCCATTTCGTTGTATGGATTCTCAGGCCACTTGCCATATGGCTCCGTCACCAGTGCGGATATGTACTCATCGAGACCTGCATAACGAGGATTCGGCGGCTTCGGGGTATCCGCGAGTGTTGATACCTGTGATACTAATCGCACAGGCAGAGGGTCCGAGAAATTCTTCGGCCAACCCGACTGTGCGCCAGCAATCAGGATAGTAGGGTCTTGATGCACGCCGAAAGCCCGTCCAGATGCCGCCAAAGCTTGTTTCCCATTCATCAAAGATTTGAGCTGGTCTTTTGTATCGTTGACCAAGCGCCGGTGCTTCTGCTTGGTGACTTCTAAGCTCTGGGCTCTCTGGGCTATTTCTCTGGCTTCACGTTTGATGGCAACTCGTCTTGTGTGGTGTACTGACCTAGGCAATCTGCGCAAACCAACGGCGTTCCACCAGCACCCGAACAAGCTCTGGCAGAGTTAGCGCCTCTCGCGCAAACATGCATCTACATGCATCTGTGCTGCGTTAAGTTTGTCAAGCAGCTTACGATGGGCATCAGTCGGGGCAAGCTCATCGGCCTGAGGGCTAGAAGCATCGGTATGCTTAGGCAGCTTCCATATCGTTCCCTTAGAGAAAGCGCTCCAATCGTTGGACGAGACTTCATCAGCGGCCTGACGCTGAGCATAACGTCATCTCGGCGAACGATCAGCATTATCAACTGGCCAAGCAACTTGTGTACGGCGCTAGTGCTGTCATCTGGTCCGAGCTGGACATGGAGGTAGGCCGCAAGTGCGTCAAGAGCGTGTGTTCCAACCACGACTGGTTGGACTATGTACATCAGCTTTTGCAGATTGACAGACGGAGTTTCCAAATTCCAGCTCTTGCTGTTGAAACGAACATTACGCAAGATTCCGTGGGTAAGCGTGCGCCCGGAAGGACTAGCGGGTGCGCGGAGGAACGATGCAGCACCGGTAGGGTCTGCTACCAGCGATAAAGCGTCCAGTAGCTTCTTGTTTGAGAACTCGGTGCCTTGGGAAAGCTGGTTGACAATCGCAAGAGGATCATCAGATGGATTGGAGTGGTAGCCAAAGACGAGGTAGTCGAAAGTGGCATCTGTGGCACCACCCAAGTCATCAAATACGGAGAACACGCCCATGTTGTAAGGCTGATAGTCGGCAAAAAACTCATTGCCGGACTCGAAGGCGTTGAATGGCCGCCGGTACGTTCTCTGCTTTCCGTCCTGGCTGTTCTCTGCGAATACTGACCGACCCATGAAAGACTTGTACTGGCTTTCGAGAGGCAACTTGGGGTCTATGGCTGGCGAAGTAATGTTTTCAACGTCTGGCGCATCCCGGGCGCCGAGCTCATCATCTTCAATGCTGCGAATGACGTTTCTTTCGACGAGAATTCACTTGGCATCGACGCCTGAGCAGTTCCGTTTTGCCACTATCCATCGGTCTGGTGCTGGACGGAACTACGGACTCGATCAACGATGCATACGGGAATGCGCACGGGGCCAATACGTACTTGAACGTCTCCTCCTTTGTCATCGTGATTCACCGAGTAGCCAGCCCGCACTCGAGCTTGATCATATTGCTTGCGGGACTTGGTATTGGGCTCGGCAGCACTTTTCGTGGCCGTAATACCAGTCCTGTAGAGATGAGGCAGGCACCAGCTGAGATATACGCCGACGCGGTCTTCTCTAGGCTCGACTTTGACCATATCGACAGAGCGAGTGTTCATGTGTGGTGATAGACGGGTGGCCGAGACATCCAGTTGCTCCATGATATCATGCGTTACCTCTCCCTGGGCCGGCCGCAGCGCTGTAAAATTGGGCTGGACGAGAGGAGCAACTTGAAGGTTGCTGAATCTGAAGTCTTCGGAGATGACGAGCGCTTGCAATGCCATGGGTACAATGACGGTCGAAGCTGCGGTCAGCGTGCTAGGCTCTAACATCGTGGGCAGAGTAGTTGAAGCCATTCTTCAGGCTGAGGATATCGTATCCGCAGTTAGATGCAGGATGTGGGAGTGTGAGGGACAATGAATTGCTGAGCTACTGCAATACCTGGACTGAGGATGGACCGAAGTGTAGACTGGCCTGATTTCGCGACGCCCGGATGAAGCGATGCCGCATACCAGCCAGACTGATTTCGTTTGCCATAGGCGGCAAATATGAAGGAGTACTGAGGGGTTGGGATACTAACGCTCGTGTGGTGGTCTGAAGTAGTTATTCGTAGCGTCGCTTAGAGAGAGTGCCTGGCGGGAGTACGGCAACTACTTCGTACAGTAGGTAGCAAAAGCCCGGTAGCGCCACCTCCCATGCAGCGACCACGCAGGTGGCTTTCGATAGTTTTCTTTAGCGCACCTGGGATCGCTCAGTCCGAAGTGCAGAACCTCTATATTTTTGTGAACACGCGTTTGGGTAGGGAATTTCAGATATTTGGAGCAGCTTGAAAGTCCTCGGCTTGGAGTCTTCGCGGCCTCTTTGAAGATTCACATTTGCTTCTCTCTTCCCCAGCCGTCGCCGTCCTCTCTTGTGGCAGTCATGTTATCATCATCAACTAACGCCCGCTACCCAGCCTTTTCCCACCAGCCTCAAGACCGCCTGCTCACGAAACATGTCAGTGCGGACGAACGCCCAGAGCCAGAGCACATCCGCCTTTGGTCTTACCAAGAGCCGGTTCTTCACCTAGGATCGTACACTATTACAGCGAGTCAAGATGTGCAATTACCATCAACCGAGATCAAGCAACTGCCTCCGTCCAAAAAAACCGTTGATGTTCTCCGTCCCAAGTTCAAGCTACTTCATCATGACGACATACACAGCGTCTATCCGCCTCCAGGACATAGCGACTATAGTCAGACGCTTGCTCATGTTGTTTTCGGCCATCCCACTACTCCATGGGAGCGGAATATCAGCACCGGCCCAGCCGGATTCAATCGAATGCCATGGCTGGCCGTCTTGTCATTTACGGAGGACGAACTTATTCTAGACAGTGCCTCTTGTGAGAAAGCACATCTCAGCCAAGTACTCCCGTCAAGGTACGGCGTAGTAACGATGACCGCCAAGGAACTTTTCGACGCACCGTCGGTTGCATCACCGCTGAATCAACAGAACTCGGTTCGAAACTACGAAGATAACGACCCCGTTGACGTTTTGTTGCTCAAGCCGAGCGTCTTCCAGCAACTCTTCTCTGGTGTAGACGAGAAAGGAGATTCAAAGTGGACCGGGACCGCAGACATCGCTCGTTTTGCGATGATGGCACACGTACGCGAGACTCATGGCGGCTTCATGGCTAGTACCGATGCCAGCATTCCACAGCCGCAGTTTTCAGTTGTAGTGAGCCCACGAACTGGTCCCACGGGCGTAGAGCAACCCAAGCGAGTGATTTCACATTTGATTTCCCTCGAAGGGGTGGACAAGATCAACGTAGCCAAAAATGGCAAAGAGCTCGTCGGCTTGGCTTCGCTCTACAGCTGGGACTGGATGTGCATCCCGCATGACCATGGTGATTTTGCGGGTGTCATGCAGGGATTGGGAGGGAACGTTCAGCCATTGAGAATTCCGGATAAGCAGCTTGAGACTCTAAGAGGTGATGCGGCAAAACCAAACGAAATGTGGCTCTTCGAAATGCTTCATGCAGGCTATAGTCTAAAACCCCATACTCTTAAGACCGGGGAATCTTCTACTGCTTTATTCCGAGGACCATTCTTTCCTGTAAGCCCTCCAGACGCCGAAAGTATTCGCCCGTTTCGATCGGACGGTGAGAAGCTGCAGCTCATTGACAAGACCACGGGCCTAATCGACGTTTCTTACAATACAGCTTGGAACCTCGGCCGCTCCTTAGCCATAGGTGATCGGTCCTTCGCTGCAAGTCTACTCCGACTACGCGGTAAAATTCGTGCCACAGCCTTGAAGCGCACAAAAGCAGAGGCACTTGGCGATTCTAAGATGAATGCTGCTGCGTATTTCGAAAACCTCAACGAATCGCTTACTCAACTCGTTGAAGCTCACAGTACGAGCCTACTGGAGACGAAGAGCGCAGCAACGCGATGGTTACGGACGGATGAAGACTGGAAAGATTTGCCTACCGTTCGCCTTGCCCAAGCCATGGAATACGACGTCGAAAAGCTAGCGAATCATATTCACGACGTTGTTGAAGTGCTCTTCGAAATTCCGGCAAAGGACCCTGGAAACGCCGAGGCACCCCCGATTGACCCAGATGCTCTGATTGTGCGTAAATGGGTGCTCGATAAATTTTACCTGGCTACGGTGCCTCTCCACTACCTGGTCCCTGATCCCGACATGCTTCCGCGAGAGACGATCCGCACCTTTTCCGTTGACTCTGCGTGGATTGATTCTCTCATCGACGGAGGTCTTAGTCTCGCCAACCACTATTCCGGTGATGACGATGTCCTGGGCCTCGAGATCAAGAATTGCATCAACTCCTTCCTTAAAAAGCCGCTTGCCAATGGGCCTAATACCGGCACGATTCTCCAGGTACCAAGGTGGGGCTTCTTGTTGCGCAGTACTGCTGTAACAGCATTTTCTGATATGAGAGTCGATGCCAAACGGAGCAATGGCATCAAGGAGGTGCTGTACGTGCAGGTCCTGGCGGATGATATTCTTCTCTGCCTGTTTGACAGCGTCCCTGGCCAGAACGGCTTGGACGAGATCACCATCTCGCAACCCCCTCACCAGCAGAGCTTTGCACTTGGAGATGAACTGTCTCCAGACGAGTTAATCATGATCTATAGACCAGTTCCGACTGATGAGAGCGTGAAGCTAGACGACACAAGATTTCCCAAAGCTGTATGGAAGAAGGGGCTTGGTGGTATGGAAACACTTTATAACTCAAACACAGGCAAGCTGGAGAAAGGGCAGCCCCTTGCTGCGGTGTATGACTGGAATACACGCATGATCCATCCGACCATTCTCGCGCAACAGTATCTCTCGGCCATGGACAAACTCACCGAGAAAGTTTTCACCTGGTCAGACAAGGGAAGCCCTCCGTCTTCGGTGCTCGCGACTCAGTTGAGCAATCCTATCCTCCATCTCACACTTCGCATCAAAGCACTAGAGGCTCACAGCATGATGTGATCATCTTTAGAGAACCATGGCCCACCTGCCGACCTTCGACCGGCGGCAAGATTATATGTCAACTAACGTTTCCGGGCGCTCGAAACCAGTAATCTGGTACCAAAGAAGTCGATAAATCGCGATCGTCCACCCCCTCAAATATCAGAGCTACCCACAGGCCCCCGTTCTCCTCCGCCAGTGGTCAGCGTTCCAGACAGCGCCCTGCGCGCTAATCGCATAACTTCGCAACGGACCGAAGGGCACAAAACACACCATTCTAAGACAGACGACCAATTCCTCGAGCACCCCGTGTACGAGCCATGTCCCCGCTTCGACTGGCCGACCATCTCCTGCTTCCGCATCGATGAATCCCGTACTAAAGACGAAGAGCTCATCCGCTATTCCGACCCCAGGCCTGTGGATATCGTATTCGCGCTACGCGGCTCCACGGATGCGCAAGCCATGCCCTCAAGACTGCCAAACTTGCTCGAAGTACACATACCCGTAATCATGGCAAAGAGCACCACTGGCTCTAGGATACGGGGACTCTTCACCATTCCCGGCACCCCAGCAGCACCCATACTGCCGACAGTTGAAGGACTCGGGCGCGGTGCGCGGTGGATATACAGCGTGAAGCTTGTGATGGGGAAGCTCTACGAAATAGACTCTCAGCAGGCGGGCCTAGGACAGAAAGTCCCTACGTCAGGATCACCAATGCCGCTTCTCGTTATCAGATTGACGTCGCGTCTAAGCGAGGCGAAACTGAGCGAGGTGGGACGTGAATTAGACGCCTCATTTTTGCTAAAGGGATGTTGCCTTTGCCCGGCTGGCTTGACGCCAGGTTTGAGAACGTATCAAGTCTATAATTTATGGTGGTCGTTGCCAAGTATGACGGGGTACGTGAGCACACTCGTCTAGTCTAGATATCAGCTTTAATAATTGTGGGCAAAGAAGTGTCATATTGCAAGAATAATGATAGAATGTCTGGAACTCGCTACACCACTTAAGAGCACGCTCCAAGTTGGTACATTAGGCATACTTGCAACACCAAAGTACCTCGATTGTATACAGACAATACACCATTTTAGAGAAAATCCCGCTGAGAGTCCTGCTAAGCTTTTTTGGGCGGTTCAGCCCGGAGGAGAACGATAATCATCGCGGTGTAATTTACATACAGTGGCTGTAAGGCCTATAGCCGGGCTCCTGCAGGCGCTTAGAAAGTATAAAATCCAACAATGGGCTACATGCCATATAACTAGAAAATTCTAAGCAAAACTACACGACCAGATGAAAGCCCTAGACAAGTTATGTCCTTATACACAGCTGTGGATGTTGATCGATACTCAGACGGAAGCCACAGGAAGCGTTGCTGGTTGCGCAGTATCCACTGATCCTGCGCTAGAACGTGGGGGGACTGCTTCTGCTGCGTAGAAGGCGACGTGGCAACTAAAGGCAGAGACAGAAGGATATCGCCTTTATTAGTGTGAAGTACCTGCCCGTCTGGCGAGAAGGCCACCGCCGTGATATAGGAGGAATGGCCCTCCAGC